GCGGATCGGAGGACGGTAAAAGGCGCCGCCGCCAGCCACCGTTTGAGATTCTGCAGTCTCTGTACGCCGTCTCGGTGCAAGTTCCTGTCTTCCTCGCCGCGCTTCCCCATGCATCCATCCATCTGTCACAGTGTTACCTACCCGCTTGTCACCCAGTCCGTGTCCTCCTCGAGATCGAATGGAGGAGAGGGAATGAGAGAGCCAGGGGGGGGGAAGCCACACACCACGACTCACTTCACGCCCCCGTAACGCCTATCCATCCTCTCTCCCCCCACTTCTTCATTATAAACTGTATCCGTACGGAGTACTTAGTGCCTGACTTATGTAGTACAGATGGTCTACCAACGTAAACCATCCACCCACACTTCAACCAACACGTTCGACTCGTTCCCCCCACCCCGGACCGGAGCTGATCCCGAAAAGAATACCCCTGCATGCCGAGAGTCATCATCTTCACCGGCGCCCCGGAGGCCGACTGGTCCTCCCCGGACCTCCTCATCCCCCCCTCCGCTTCCGCTTCCGCTTCAGCCCCGGCACCCATCTCGCATTCGACATCAACACCCCCCGCCGCACCACCGGCCTGGCGCTCCCTCCCGCTCCACCGCCGGCCCCTGGTCACGGGCTTCTCCCAACCCCACGGCCTGCCCTCCGACTTCCTCCCCCCCGCCCACTTCTTCTCCCTCTCTCTCGACGCCGACTCCCAGCAAGACACGACAACCGCCGGCGCGTCCCAGGAGCTCCTGTCGCAGTTCTACGACCACTCTCTCGCCCTGCACCACTCTCTCGCCTCCTCGCAGCTGCCCCCGCCGCTGACGCCGTCGCACCCCGACACGCCCGCCGCCGCCGGCATCCGCCGCGTCCTTCCCCCCTCGACGGCTGAGCAGCACACGGTGTCCTTTGACGAGACGACGGCCACCGAATCCTTCGTCTCGGAGACGACCGACTCCTTCCAGGACACCACCGCCGCCGCCGCCGACCTGACGTCGTCCGGCGCCCGGCCCCCGCCCGTGACGGCGCCGCCCCACCACCACCTGAGCGACCTGAAGGACATCCCCGCCGGCCCGGACCTCCTCCGCCTCGCACCGCAGACGGTGACGGTGAACCTCATCGCCGGCGTCATCTCCGTCTCAGAGCCGCGCGGCGTGACGACCCGCTGGGGCAACGAGCTGTCGCTCGTCGAGGTGCTGATCGGCGACGACACCCGCGCCGGCTTTGGTGTCACCTTCTGGCTGCCCTCGAGCGGCGGTGGCGGAAGAGACAGGGACGAGGAGGGCACGACGCCGATGCGGCTGCGGAGGCAGGACGTCGTCCTCCTGCAGAACGTCGCCCTGCACGTCTTCCGCGGCAAGGTGTACGGGCAGAGCCTGCGCAAGGGGCTGACGAGGACGACGGTGCTGTACCGGAGGAAGCTTGGCGACGACGACGACGACGACGAAGAGGGCGAGTACTACCGCCGGAGGGACCTGGAGGCGGGCGGCGGGGATGGGGCGCACCCGCAGCTCGTCAAGACCAAGAGGGTGTGGGAGTGGGTGCTGAGGTTCGTGGGAGGGGAGGAGAGGACCGGCACCAAGGGGAATAAGAGGAGGGGCTGGGATGCGCCGCCTGATGACACCCAGTGAGCGGCTTCACACGTACACATACACAACACATACATACATTCTTCCTCTACAGTTTCAATGGCACAAAACGCATCATTCAATATCACAACAAATTGCATTCAAAAGAGAAGGAGCATCCAACCCGGCGTACGCTCCATGCTGCCTTGATCCATATCGTACAGCGATCGTTCCACACATCTACACAGCAACGGCAGCGGCGCCGCTCTTGTCTTGCTGTTTGACACTCTTCCACTGGAAACCCAAGCAGGCAAAGAAGGCGGCACACACGCCAGCGAGTGCGACATAGAACGTGTGCCTCAGCCCCACCATGTAGGCCTCCAGCACCACCGGGATCAGGTCGACGCGGCCCATCTGGGTCAGGATGCGGCGGACCTGGTCGGCTCCCGAGTTGATGAAGATAGCGGGGTTGATGCCGGGGGCGTTATTGGTAACCCCGTCAATGAGCCCCTTCTGAAACAGCGTCTGGCAGACGGCAATCATGACGGCGCCGCCCAAGGCTTGGAAGAACTGCACGCAGGCCGAGGCGACGGAGACATCCTCCTGGGGTAGGACGGTCTGCACGACGAGCATGCCAATCTGGAAGCAAACACCGGTGCCGAGGCCGGCGAGGACCTGGTAGCCGAACCACGCGCGCATGGGCGTGTCGACGTCAAAGGTTGTGATCAGGCCGGTACCCACGGCGTACAAGGCGACGGAGGGGAGGACGACGGCGTTGTAGTAGCCGACGTAGGAGATGAGCGCACCGCCGCCGATGTTGCCGACAACAGACGCCAGGAGGTAGGGCAGGATCTTGATGCCGGCCTGGACGGCGCTGGCGCCCTGTATGACCTGGAAGTAGATCGCTGGTGGTCTGCGTCAACGTGCTGTAGAGAACGACAACGCTCGGCGAAGGGATGGGCACTTACACAGGTAGTAGATGAGGGGAAAGAAGCCGGCGCTGAAGAGGGCGCCAAAGAGGAAGGCGCAGAGTACGTTGCGGTCTTTGAAAAGCTTGGGGGGCAGCGTGCCCCTATCGCCCTGCCACAACTGGATGGCGACGAAGACGGCGGTCATGAGGGCGAAGCCGATCAACAGGCCAATGACGGTGGAGCTGCTCCAGGTGTACACGCTGCCGCCCCATTGCAGCGCGAGGAGCAGGCAGATGATGGCGGGGATGAAGATGGCGGTGCCGATGAGGTCGAGCTGCATGATGCGCCGGAAGATCGACTCGCCGAGGACGTTGTTCTCCTGGTTGATGGTCAGGAGACAGATGATGAAGAATACGACGCTACCGCCGACGGGCAGATTGACGTAGAAGCACCAGCGCCAGGTGGCCTTCTCGGTGAAGACGCCGCCTAACAACGGGCCGGCGACGGAGGCAATGCCCCACATGCCTCCGATGAGGCCTATGGCTATGGGCCGCTTCTGGAGGGGCATGGTGTACGCGATGATGACGATGGATCCGGAAATCAGGCCGGCGGTGCCCATGCCGGCAATGGCGCGGCCGACGATGAAGGCGGTGGAGGTCGGGGCCAAAGCGCAGATGAGGGAGCCGATCTCGAAGATGGCAATGGCTCCGAGGTAGGACCACTTGATGCTGAAGAGGTTGTAGATGGTGCCGTACATGGGCTGCAGGGCGGTGGTGGTGAGGAGGTAGGCGGCGCCATACCAGCCAATGTCCTTGACGGTGCCGTAGTCGGCCGTGATGGCGCCTAGGGCCGGGGCGACGATGGTCTGATCCAGCGCGACGATGAAAACGGTTAGGCACAGCGAGATGATGATGAAGACGAGCTTCAAGCCGGATGGGTACACGACTTTGCCGTCCTCGGAACCGTGGTCCTGCTTGCTGATCGAGTGAGTGGCGGTGGTCATGCCATCGCGCGAGTGTTGCTCATCGGCGGTAACGGAGGGATAGGCCGACGTGGTGATGTCGTTGAGCTTCTTTTCGGGATACTTTGAGTCCATGGCGGCGGTTGACTAGACTTCTTTCCCCCTTTCGCCGCAAGGGAGGAGGAAACCTCGTGAATAGTGTATAGTCTTACAAGTGGTAGGTGACGAGGGTTACTTTGACAAGATGTAGAAAGGACGACCAAGGAGTGAGCCTAGAATAAGGAGGGCAAGAGCTAGACGCGGAAGGAAAGAGAGGGGTACTTATCCTCCTATACGCCGGATTAATGTTCGTGATAGTGCAAAATCGGAAGCTACAGCTTCCGCGAGTTACGTTTGTACATATGCCACAAGCTCTAATTACACATCTGCAAGCCGCAGGGATAGACTGACTCAATCCAGAGCTTCTCAGGAAAATGGGCAAGTAGGTTCAGCTCAGTAGGTTGGCAGGCTCGGCGTGTGCTTGTTTGCGTTTGAGTGGGCGGGAGGGGACGATGTGGACAGACAGTCTAGAGAAAGGACAAGGAAACTGTCCGAGGAGCGAGTTTTTCCTTGAGGGAAAAGCGATGATTACCACAGTTACGGTACCTGGCCTTACATGCCGTACCTACCATGCAGTACCGGTACTCGTGCCCGGCGAGACGGCGCACCGGGCCAGAGGCCGTTCCAGGGCGGCCCCACCATAGATACCACCTATTTTACCCTCCTAGGTACCTAGGTACTTACCTTGCGCATACTTCCCATTGCGGCTTTACGACGGCTTCAGTCCGACTAACATGGAGTTGACAATATGGCAGTGGGCCGGGGTAAGACAGCAGGGATGAGCAATTGCCAAAGAAGATGGACGAGTAGAGAGTGAGCGCATCATCGGTTCCGCCTCTCTCGGACGTCGGAACCAAGCCTTGGCCGAACTGGATCGGAGTGGGCCCCCGATCATCAACCCTGTTCGGTCTTTTCTGCCATCGACACTTGGTCTTGGGGATCACTGCACGCGTACCTATTGATCCTCCATTCTTCTTCGGGGCTCGCCGAGGGCCATTGTCGTTGCGGACACGGTCGGACGGGAGATGCGAGCGAGTGTTGTGCTTGCCCCGGGAGACGGTCGACAAGACGCCTTCCCGGCCGGTGTACACGATAAGGAAACGCCCTGCTAGGTATTTTAAGCCTTCCCCCGCAGCGTCCCGCGATTGGTGCGGGGAACATTAAGAGTTGTCTGGGCCTTGAGGCGCTGTTTCACATTGCGAATGGGAGAATGCAAGAGGGTGCTTATCGGTAGTGAATTTGCATCCCTACTAGGTACCTTAGCTAAGTACCTAGGCACCTGGGTACCTAGATAGGAACAGTGCCTACCTAAGGTATCCGTACCTCTATCCCTTTGAACACAAGCGCTACCTATTTTAGTGCCTTGGTAGCCAAAGGGGACGACTGGCAATGACATAAGCAGCCTGCTTACATAATTTCCCTCTTGAGTAACTGTTTTTTCCCATCCAGCCCAGGCCCAGGCCGGTTCCAGAACCTCAGTGTGTAAAGGATGCTCACACGTCCAAGGGGACGAAAGATCTCCGTGGTCGGCTGGCGCGAGGCCAGAAAACGGCATCGCCGACAGCTTCTCGCCAGCTCGTCTAGGACCCTTATCGGAAATCCACTCATATTATCTCCCTCTCTATTGTACTTGGAAACCTACGCGCGCGTTTTCGTCAACTTTCAGTCTGCTGCAGCGTGCTGCGCTTGACCACGTGACTTGGCAAAGTTGCCTTGCGTTATAGGCACCCTGCTTCTTGTTGGGATACTTCACGTGAGTACAATGCCTACAGACATATTCTTATCTCTGTTAGGCCTTAGAGAGCAGTGGCTCAGTCGGAGGCAGATGAGCACACATGAAACAAAAAAAAAAAAAAAAAGAAAGAGGAAAAAGAAGAAGGAAAAAGAAAGAAGGGGAAAAAAAAAGGGAAGAAAGAGTATTGAAGTGTTGGTCTGGTCACGTGGGCCACTGCCAGCCAGATATCCAGCCTCTTCACCTTGCCAGCCAGCAGTCCTTTTCCTCTAGTTACATATTACCAATATCAATGGATATTGCCTCGTTACTCGCCGCCACCCACATCACCTACAGGTTATAAGCCCAGGCCTCTACCTTTTCTAACGCTATTAAAGCTATTTAGACCTTTTTTTTTCTTTTTTTTCTATAACAAATATCCTTACTGATTTCGCATAACTGACTAGCGCTCCTGCCTAGTCAGGCAACTATAACAAGGATTTTTCACCCTTGCCATAACAAGGATTTTTTACCTTTGCAACAACCATAACAAGGATTCTCACCCTTGCAACAACAAACACCTATCACAACAAGGGTCCCTTGCCCTTGCCAATCAACCATAACCATAGCTCCTGCTATATCTTGCCTCACTAGTCTTCCTATTCTCCACAGCAAAAAGAACTATTGCCACTGGCTGCTTGCCATTAAGGCCCTTCTTAACAAGGACAACCTTCTTAAGTATGCTGAATCCAACATCCCTGCTCCTGCCAATGACCGTAAGCAGTGGCGGAAGGCCTGAGCCTCAGCCTACGGCATCATCATCAACAGCATTGGGCCTATCCTTCCTTGCCTTAAGGGCTCTGGTTGGACCCCTAAGGGCCGCTGCCCCTACAAACTCATAAGCAAGCTTAAAGCCATTATCCCTCAGGTGTCTAGTGATGCCATTGCTGACCTTATCTGTGACTATAGACGCCTTAACGTTAATGACTCCAAGGATCTCTTCAAGCATCTTAAGACCTTCCATACCATAAGCCAGAGCATCAATAGACTCATCACTGACCAGAAGGCCATGTACTTCTACTTTCTTCTAAACTCAATTTACAGCAACAGCACCTTATCTAGGATCTTTGACAAGTACGCTGCCATCAAGCCTCAGGAGGCTAACCTCCAAGATCTACTTAACAACCTCTATCGCAAAGCTAACACTATTAGCTCTATTATAGCTAGCAAGGCTGCTCTTGTTAAAGTCAAGGCCAAAGATAGCATTATATATGCCCATTGCAGTGCTAACCATACTAGCAGCAAGTGTTACTTTGCCTATCTAGAGCTTATCCCTGTTAATCACCCTCACTATAAGGAGCTTTACAAAAAGGCCTATTACTATCACTGCACTAATGCCTACTGCAACAACTGCCCTGGCTCTGTCTTTATTAGAGGTGCTTCTGGCGCTCTTGGAGGATCTTCTATTGCTAGATGAGGCTATATAAATACAGTTTTGAGGGGAGGATTTACATCACTTGAGGGGAGGATTCATGTATGATAGCAGTCTGGCTAGGCAGAGCTGAGGGGAGGTGTTGGTCTGGTCACGTGGGCCACTGCCAGCCAGATATCCAGCCTCTTCACCTTGCCAGCCAGCAGTCCTTTTCCTCTAGTTACATATCACCAATATCAATGGATATTGCCTCGTTACTCGCCGCCACCCACATCACCCACATGAAGAGTCAATTGTGCTAGCTATCCACTCAGAACGTAGTCATAGAGTGGTCGGTTCGAATGAAAATGTACTAATCTCTCCGCAAGCTCGGCAAAGGCCCAGACCAGCCGAGCGGGAACGCAGGCGACTTGAGAAGACTGACCAGAGGAGTCTATTATGACACTCCGGTCAGAATCGGACTCGTCACGTTTCATGGACGACCCTACTGTCTTCCCAAAACCACCATAACTTTCCTTGTCCGTCGACATCATAGTCTGGGCTGGTGCCATGACAAGGTAAGTATGCGGCCCTTGCGATACCTTCTTCATACCAGTGACAAGCTCTTTTGTGGCTTTCTCGCATATCAACTTTCTCTGTTCGACTGTAAAGCTGTCCAGAACTTTGCCAACTTCACCCCAAAGGCGCAGAACATCGTCTGGATTGCGGTTGTCGACGTAAACTGAGAGCGTCAGCTCAAGCTCAACATGCACACCAGGCTTGCCCTCGACGGAATGCGGGCTTTGGCTTTTGACAACGCTTCCAACCACACTGGAGAAGCCACCCATGACTGAAATGAAGTCCGGGAGACTTTGCTTCTGTTCCCCTTTCTCGTTCTTGTAGTGTCAGCCATGTTTTAGCAATGCTTTTGCGGCGTCCAAGTCCGCACAAGAATGGGGGTTCAGATCGGCACGTAGGATATGGCGGATGTCTTCGAACGTCAAACAATACGTTTCGGTCGCAATTGCTCCCAGACTTTTCTCCACACCGTTTCGAACACTTTTAGCCTTGTCAAGATCTCTGATGTACGGTTCCTGAATGCATGGCAAAATTAGTCTCACAATGTCCTTATATGCATTCAGTAATGCTTACCGCAGGCCTTTGGTTTTCTTGAAGGAAGTTCATGATGAAGAATGGTATGTATTAAGCTATGAGTAGATGCCGACAGGTATGTGGAGATAGAAATCCCTTCATCAGTGGATTTGTCGACTTTTATACCATCCACCCTTGGCTTGGGAGTTTACACGAACGCTTGATAGACAGCCTCCTTTCCACCCACAGAGGCTTACCCAAGACTCGTCCTGACAAGTAACATCGAACGTGCCGTCATGGGCCATCTCGGCAACAGGAAGATGGCTTCCTTTCTCTCCACCGTCTCGCTTTCGCCGACGCATGTCGTTGAGACAATGTGCTCATACCATACATTAAAGACTTGCATCATTTTTTCAGCTGAACAGGGACATGCGGGCACTAGTTCGTCTGATTCTGACGGGCAATTGGACTATACTGTAGTCTGGAATCACCAACTCACGAGGTCAGTCGTAATAAGAAAGCAATGCGCAAGATAAAAAGGCGCATTCGCCCTTGCACTGCGTAGAATTGAATCATCAAACACCTCGTTCTCTCATCATCCTCCTTCACTGTAATTCGTTTCGATTCTTCCTTTCAAAGATGGGCAATGCTCTAAGTGCCTTAATCGCTCCCAATGAAGCAGCTGACGAGAATGAGAGGAAGAAGAAGGAACAACTGGAGCTAATGATGAAGCTCGCAGATGCACGACTGGACACATTTCAAGGGGAGCTGGAGAAAATGTTCCTGGACCGTGAGTCGGCGATGAAGACTAGTGTGCCAGGAAAGAGAGCATTGAGATTTGAGCGTCACGTCGCTGTTGATGCTGAAAGCACTGTGGGTTTGCATTCAAATCGACTCCAGAGTCCTTCACAAGCATCCAGTCGCTAATCTTGCAATACCCTAGCCCGGAAAAGGCGTTGAGGATGCCGTGGACTCCTTCTTCGGCGCTTCTGAGACGGGGGCCAAGGGCGTCCTCGACGGTTTCAAATCCGTGGTCAAGACAGGCCTTTCTGCGATTCTCGGCGACTCCTCAGCTGGCGAAAGCTATGACAAGAAGTTCTTCGTTTGTATGAAGCAGTATGATGAGCTCCTTCCATTTCTGTTACAAAGCCAACGAATGCTGATCAATGTTATCTAGCAACGCTATCATTCGTGTCGACATGTATACATACAAGTACACCTTCGGTAGCAAGGGAGTGGTCGATGTGCACAAGAACATCTTGGCCTATATCCTGTGCATCTCCGTTGTCGATCATAGGGATGTTACCCTTGACGAGCTCATCTATCTCGCTTCTGAGTTTGCCGGCGACGGTGATGTTGGACCGGGATCTGGATTCCAGCAATACCTGGAGATGATTATGAAGACCTGGAATGCTCTGAGAGCTATTGATCCTCTGCCTGTTAGCGGGAGGCCAGCTCTCGAGTACCCCGTGAACCTGCAGCTACCAGTCAGGACTACTCCTTCAGCCTAAAATTGACCATTTTATCTCCCCTGTATGGGTAGCTAGTCGCACATGAATGTTCATTCAGAATCTTTTATCCAAGCTGTACTTTGTGGCCTTATTTGGTTCAGAGATGCTGTACTGGACGGGAAGATCAATTTCATGGGACAGCGTCAGTTTCTTGACTCCATTTATATCCACGTCGAGGTGACCAAGCATCAACTCAACAGAAGGCTTTTCCTGACAGCAGTCAAGCACCAACTTCGGTCATCGCACCCTTGAGGCTGTGTCAGTTCTGCTCAATGGCTCTCCTATTCAACAAGGGACATGATGGTAATATTGTCATCCAACAAGCATTCTGGATTTCGACTCCCAATGAAGAACCACACCGCTAGTCCATAGAGGGCGTTAACGAGATCGAGAATACTGCTTGAGTATGATCTCAAGGCTATCCGTCTTTAAGTGAATTCCCACCAGCCTGGCTGCGAGAAAGGGAGCCAGCCTGTCCGCACAATCCCTCCCCTGGAGGACGTGGTTGACAAATACAATGATGCATGCCTGGGTGAGCTTGACAGGGTCATGGTCAAGCTGAAGGACAGCAACATCAAGATGATCATTTCTCCCCATGACTCCAACTCCCTCCTGGGTGACTATCGCGCGTAGGTTGCCTGCACTTAGCTCCCTCCCAGACACGCCACAGCCTTATTGACCTGCATCTTCAGCGGTATTTATTACGACACCTTCGGCAGGGATGCATTCTATGTAGATCAAACCGCTTTTGATGCCTACGACGCGCGTCTGTCACGTATAATTAACTTTCAAGGCGCTGGAAGAGTGTCCCTACAGCCAGGTTGAAGATGTTCTGCCTGTTGCGTGACCATTTTGCGAGCTTCCATAGCGACGACGGCGACTCTGCCGCCTGTTCCACATTCTCACGGTGTATGGTTCGCAGTGCTTTTCGTATTAATCGCCCCTTCTGGTTCCTGGCTACGCGCTATGCCTCCCAGCTTTGTTCGGTACGTTCCTGGCTGTATATCCGCCTCAGGCGCTTCCTTCAGTGCATTGTACCGAGCCCTTGTTCTTCCTGCCGCGAAAGAAATATTCGGCGCTCTTCTTTTTAGGCATGATCACTGCCCTGTTCGCAAGGCTCATGGGTTAAAGGATCAAGTGATCACCTGTTGCCGAAATCCGCAGAGTAAGAGCAGGAATTGGGTATTATCCGTTTGCGCAGGTAGGAAGTATGATGATGAGATGGAAAACAAGCGACCGCAGCGTCTCATATACTCATGACATGAGCCCAGCGCCCAGCGCTATTGCGAATATGATATGCGCAATTTTCGTGTCTCGTGGCTAAGCATCAGGCAGGCGGCATTCATGTGTCAAGAGAATGAAGAGGGTCGACAGACTCCGGGCTCGCTAACCAATCTGTCCGCGCCTCACCCCTGGTTGCATTCAACTGGAGCCTGATCCATGGCGAAAGGCGCATGAATTTAAGGCCATACGTTGTCAATTCATAAATGGGTAGGTGAGAGGTAATAGGTTAGCATGCAGCTTGTCGGAGGAATGGGCGAAGTTGAGGTGAACAAAGGTGATGCTCACTGAGCAAGGGTGATCAAAGCCTGAGCAAGAGCGGCGTTGCTGACTAACCCGGCCGGGGCGCGGACGTCCTGGGTTTCGTGGTAGACTACCTAGGTACCTAGTCCTCACCCCTGCAACAGTGCCGCTGTGGATCAGCGAAACAAATGGCCAGAAGCACGGGCGCATCGCTGAGGTACCGCCCCTACTAATCTGCGTGTGCCGATACTTATCTGTCACTTGCAGAGTACCGCCTGCGCAAGAGCCCCAGCATCCATCACCCGCCAAGGTTCGCTGTAAGTGGCTGTATGCGCATCGCCCTCCCGCCGCGTCGACTGAACCTCCGCTCTTAACCCACGACACGCCGACTGCCATGAGAGGCTGGCCGCGTTGATGCCATTTCCCGTCTCGCTGGTATCCCCACACAGACGACGCTCCAGACGACACTGCAACAGTCTTACCATGCCATTCGTCGAAATACACCATTTATCCAGTATCTCAATGATCTTCCCAAACCCATAATCACGACCCCGAAACGTCACCGAGCCCACCCACGCCCCAGTACGAACGATCCACTACCCGCTATTGACAAATATAATCCCATAGCAGTCGACGGCCTGTCTTGTTCACTCCTCGCCAACAACGGTGCAACCAGCTCTGCTGATACCATGGATCGAGCCATGGACTTGAGGGACATGGACTTTGAATCCGCCATCCTCGACGACGAAAAGGACGTCGACTTTGTTATCGGACACGCTCTCTCTACCCCACACCCGCTGGGCCGCTCGCCGCTGTCCAAGACGCGCTCCATGTCTGATGGAGGAGGGACCCCGGTGAAGCTCACGCCCTCGCCGCACGTTGCCGACGGTCGCCAGACATCCAAAGATGACAACCATATCAGAGAATCCGTCACCACGCCCGTCACTCCCCACCGATGCGAGTTTCCCCTCCGAGGCCTCACACTGCAGATGCCTACGAACCGCGACCCGGCCTCCTCTGCAGCCTCCTCGTCCGCCGCCTTCACAAAACCCGCACCGCTGTCCCCCAAGCTCGATCACTCCCAGATTTATGCAAGCCCCACCAACATCCTGCCGCGTCGCTCCCGCGGCCTCGATTTCTCGCGTGCTGCTACCAGCCTGCACCACTCGACCCTCGCCGAGTCGTCGCCCGACTCATCGCCAACCATTGGGGGAAGAGCCATGAACATCCCCGGCCGCAGGAGTAATGATTACGGCCAGGCCGAGCAGACGACCAACTCGCTCTGGTCCATGATGGGGAACCACGAGCGCATGACCGTGTCCAGCTCGCTCGGCAGCGCGAACCATCTGGGCTCGGATTCTTCTTCGTCTTCCGACGACGACGACTTGATGGACGAGGATACGGACGAGCCGTACATCGGGACGCCCCAGGCCAACAAATCCGTTCCTCCTCTCGGCATCCAGCCGATGATGATGGCGCCGTGGGGAGGCTCTCCCGCGATGAACAGCCTTATGCGCTTTCAGCACAGGCAGCGGCAAAGAAAGCAGCCGAAAAAGAAGCACAAGCTGCCGCTAAGTCTTGGCTTCAGTCCCTCCACAAACGCTGGGGTCTCCAAGTCACCGCCCAGTACCATGCCCAAGGATATGGCCGGTCATTCTCGGCGGGAGAGCATCAGCTGGCAAGCGAATCAGCTCCATATATCCGGGAGCGAGGAAGAGCGAGCCGATAACGTTGACGGTCTTGTTACAACTCCCAGCCGCGACGGACAGCGTCCAACCGTCATGCGACGCGTTGTCACACGTCGTGGGAACCTGTTGCCCAAGACGAAGAATTTCGCTCGTATCAGGGCGGCCTTGTTCGAGGAAGGAGCCCCCATCGAGACGGAAACTCAACGAGAGGCCGAAGTCGTCCGTCAAGTGCGTGAGAGCGACGTCGACCTTGGGGGATCCCGTCAGCAGACGGTGCTGGCCACCGCGTACTCGTCGCCAAGTCTTGGACCCCAAGACCAGCACCTGGACGACATTCCGGAAAGCATGATCACCGAATCGGCCCTCAATCTCTCGGGCAGCTTTAAGCAACAAGCCTTGAAGAACTCAAAGGGTACCAAGTTTTGGGACACGTTTTCCGAGTCGAGCAGCATCGGCGCCCGCACAACGCCACCGCCCCCGAACGGGGGCTTGCCCCGCGGCTCGTCTTCCGGCATGAGCGAGGACATGTGCATGGACTCGCCGTCGCTCGGGCCCACGGCGGGTTTTGCCATGGCCGCCAGCAGCGGTGAATCTCAAAAGGGCGACACCCCTCTGCTCGCGCAGGGCCCACAAACGGCGCCCAGTGTCGCAGATATCACACGCCGCATCAACAGCAAGCGCCGGCGGGACGACGACCACGACCCGGTTAGTCTCAAGCGTCGGGCCGTCAGTCCCGGCATGAGCGTGCATAACTCGCCCATCATGCAGAGCCCCATGCAGCGCGACGTGGCGCCTTGGGGGTCGCGGCCGGGCAGCAACAGCGGTGAGCGCGGCGGAAGCGGCGCGGCGAGCGAGTCGGGAAGCCTAGGCGGCACCCCCGGCAGCGGCGCCAACGCCAGCGGCCGTTTGAACGGCAACAAGGGACGTGTTGGGTTCCAGGGCATGGTCGACACCCACGACGGCCTGATGCGTATGAGCATCGAGTGATTATTAGGTTTATTCAGGGCGCTCTTGGAGCATTGTCGGCGCAATCTGCATTCATTCTAGGCGTTTGGTAAGTGAGGGGCAACGACGGATATCTTTGGTTGAAAAGTACACTACGGACGGGGAATCAGGACGGCGAATCGGCAGGTTATATAGGGGGGGGGGGAGAGAGAGGGAGAGAAAAGGAGAAACCAACCAGTATATCCATAGAAGCCTTTACTCGGCGACACACAGACGTGGAAAAAAGAAACGCTACACACATAACAAACACTTCAAACGAAATAGAGTCGTAATGACCAAAGGCATTGTACAGAGTGATCATACGAACATGGCGGTGACTGTTGGCCGTGGTATCTTGCCCTTCCCCAACTCCTGTATACGCCTGTAACTGTAGCTGCAATGCACCCAGAACCCTCTCCCGTCCCCAGAACCAAGACCGACACGGGGGAAGAAGCGCCCTCCCCTCCCTCTCGTGTAGCTCGGCCCAACCCGGTGGCAGAGGTATATAGTGACTAACAATGGTACTAATAAATACCCTTCAAAAAAAACCTCCCATTCGACACATCGTACACATCTGGCTGGGAACCAGAACCCCCCTTTGCCTGCCTCTTGCCTCCTTACACCCCCCACGGTAGCGGGGGGGAAGGGGGGCCCAAGCTATTCGACGCCGACGCCCTCCTCGGGGACCCGCAGGCTGCCGAGCTTGTCGTCGAGCCAGCGAGCCAGGTCCTCGGCGTGGCGGCGCAGGACCACGACGCCGGCCGTGTTGACGCTGCCGACGCTGGCGAGGCTCGTCGTCGTCTGCGCGCCGACGCTGAGGACGCTGTCAGCTTCGGAGGGGGAGGCGGGCACGAGGGCGGGGGTGGCGCCGCCGGAGCCGCCGTTGGGCTGGTGGTGCTGGTGGTGGTGCTGCGTGTGCAGGCCGTGGGCGGGCTCGGGGGCGTTCGGATCGATGGACTCGGCGAGGGGCCCGATGCAGACGAAGAGCAGGCCGCACTTTAGGCGGCGGATGACGACGACGCCGCCGGCGAGCTGGACGGTGATGGTCAGCGGTTTCCCCGCGCCCCCTGCGCCTGCTTTTGCTGCTGCGCCGCCGCCGCCGGCCGTCGCGCTGGTGGTGGTGGTGGTGGTGGTGGTGTTGTCGTTGTTGTTATTGTTATTGTTATTGTCGGCGGACGACTGCGGCGGCGACGACGAGGAGTTTGGCAGCGCGTCGGGGATGTCGGGGGCGGTGGAGGCGTGCAGGGCGAAGAGGGAGGAGGCGACGGTGGCCTGCGTGCGCAGCAGGGAGACGGGCTCCGGGGAGGCGTGGGCGAGGAGGCGGCCGGAGGGGGTCGCGAGGAGCGCCGTGTGCAGGTGGGCGTTGAGGTTGGCGGCGAGGAAGGCCGTGAGGCGCTTCGTTAGGAGGAGGGGGGGCGTCGGCTGGGAGAGCGACATTTTTTAATACTTTTTTTTTTTTTCTTCGTCGTTGGCCGGTTGTGTCAGAGGTGAGGGGGGTCGCGATCGTCGTGATGGTGTGGTGTGGGAGTTGGGGGGTGGGGGTCGGGCCTATGGGACGGTTATCGTGTCGCTTTCCAATGGCTTCTTCTCCTTCTTTTTTTCTTTTTCTTTTTTCTGGTGAAGAGATCAAGACGGGCGTCGCGGTCGCCAAGACTAATCGACGGTATTCGCAGCTGGATCTCGGGCTCGAGGCCGGCCTGGGAATACGGGTGTGGCGGGCAAAAGGTACGGAGAGAGGTCGAGGTTGGTGAGATCCACGAATCGAGAGAGCTGTATTCGCACGCTGAGGAGCCTCACGGTCCGCGAGCCCGGGTGGGGCGACCTTGGCCGTCAACCGTTTCGAGGGTACGTACTCCGTACTCCGTACTACGACCGATGCGCCACGCACTGATGGTGGGGGCGGGCACCCGTCGCGTCCCAACTCTCGTCACCATTTATTTCTTTCATGTAGTTCCGGTCGCGCTGATGCGGATAGACTGTCATTGTGTCTGTCTGTACCTTGGGTAGTCTTGCTCCAGTGCCGTCGCGTGATGGATGGGATGAACGGCCATAGAACGAGCGTGGACTAGCTTTATTACCTGGCCGCAACCGGCGATCGGAGAACTATGCAACGGCGCTGCGGGATATCGGCACCAATGTGTGTACTGTACATCTACATTGTGGGGAACAGACCGACAGACCAACGCCAACAGAACCAGACGACCAGTGTAGGCCGAATCGACAACTCATCCATCCATCTCCTCAGCCTTTCCCACGGCGGCAGCATTATTCAACACGAGGAACCGGTACTCGAGGTCATCATCGACGTCCACGTACTCCCGTCCGTCCTCAGTCTCGCTTCGCCAGCGCCGGTACAGCACCTCAATCTCGACCGCCAGTCCCTGGGTGCCGACGGCCGGCGCCTCGAGGTCGTAGTTGAGCAGCATCCGCACGGCGAGGACGAGGTTCGAGGAGTAGCGCGCGCGGTGCAGCGCCTCGTCGATGTGAACGTCCGTCTCGGCGGTGCAGGGCGTGGGACAGTGGCACCCGCGGAAGGCGTCGTGCTCGCACTCGCGGCCCGAGTGTTCTCCGTTGTAGACGCAGCTGACTTTGGCGCACCGCCGGATGTGGATGCATCTGCAGGCTCTACACCCGTCAAGGCTGGGGAGGGAGTGGCCGGTCATCATGCGGAAGAGGACGGCGCCTAGGGCCCAGTGCTCGTCGCTGAGCGTGTACAGCCGTTTGCCCTGCGGTTTAGGTTAGTTGCCGCGAGCCCGCGCAGTGGGTTTCGAGGACTCACATTTCTCCCGGTACCGAGGTACTCTCTCCACTGCTTGGCCATATTGGCCAGGCCCATATGACCCTTCTTGGGTGCGATCGGGAACCCGATGCTGTGAGGCAGCGGCTTCTCGTCGTCGGGTGCCCCGTCCCGCCGCGCGGGCACGCCCGATACGAAGGCGTTTCCAAACTTGCCCAGCTTGCACACGCCGTACGTCTCCCTGCCGCGCGGGTGCTGGAAGAAGACGGTCTGGGCGTTGATGCCCCGGTGCAGGATGGGCATCCACTCGGCGTCCGTCCTCATCCAGCGCCGCTCGCCGCTGGCCCAGTTCACCTCCTGGCGGTACCCATCGTGGAGCCAGACGAGAGCGCGCATGATTGACACGAGGACGTGCCAGCATAGAGACTCGGGCAGGAAGCAGCCCGGGTCGGCGTCGGCGTCGGGGTTCGCGAGGAGGTTCTCGAGCGTGCCGGCATCGCAGATGTCCCAGACGAGGTAGTCCTCGGTGGCGTTGACGCGCGGGTGGACGGGCTGCTGGCGGAGATAGCCGGCAAGGGAGATGATGTTCTCGTGGTTGAGGATGTGGGAGACGTTGCGGCCGAGGTTGCAGTCGTAGAGGAGGTCCATGAGACCCTTGACTTGGCGTTGCCTCTTTGTCGTGAAGCTCATCGAGTACTTGCCCGCCTCGTAGTACTCGTCAAAGTCGTCCACTTTGCGCGCGATGAACTCCTCGCCGTCGACATAGCTGGGGTTCTGGGCGACCCGCCGCGCCAGCCATATCTCGTCCTGGACTCTCTTGACGAGTTGGAAAGACGGCTGGGGATGATCCAGGTCCTCCATTTTTTTTTTTTTTTTTTTTTTTTGGTGATTGCGACTAGATAGCGGCAGACTGATGTCAAGAGGAAATGCAGACGACGTAGATGCGGTCGACGGCCAGACATCGCGGCAGGGAACCTGAGCAACAGGATGTTGTCATCTTTGTAGGCCTCCTTTCCTTTGCAGGGCATTGTAACCTGCTGGGAAGCGAAGCGTCTTCATGAATGCAGCCCCTTCGCGGTCAAGACAAAGAATGGCCTCGCTGCCATTGTCTCCCTTTTCGATTCAACGGCTGCCGCCTTGGCAAGAAAGAAAAAAACCCCCCGGTTGCCGCTTGCGCCTCTTGTGCATTCAATTCCCACGACCGTCAGGATACAAAAGAGATAATCACCGCAGGACTAGTCCAGGTGTCCTCGACGTCGGAGCGATCATATCTTGCTCGGTCAGGTTCGCCAGACGTCGAGTAACCAGAATGGCGATGCTCTCTCGACCGATGCTACCGCTGCCTGTAGTTTCATTATTGGAGCACTGTCGCAGGCTTGACCAAACATTAGGAAACATCTCAAGCACCCGCGCTGAGGCGTCAACCACTTCGCAGACCTGGCCCTCGGGGTTCGCGCAAGCACAGCCATTCTTGAACCCACCGTAGCCACCATATCACGGTCACGCCTTTATCGGCGTGTTGCATCAAGATTGGGATAGGGATAAAGATAGCCGATCACCCGGGGTAATCCACGTGCACCTCGCAAGCACCTCTAACGAGAACAGCCCCCTCCCGCTGAGCAAATTGGCCGTGGAAGCGAAATGGTGCGACTTCCAGATGTGGGAGGCGGCCAAGATTACCCTAGGCGTATTTTTCCCATGGTACCCATATTCTACAGGGCCGGGTTGGCCAACAGCTGCCGTCTGATCCGAAAGTGTTTTTGGCGTTTCCCTTGCAAGACGTTTGCGGAAGCTGATTGGTCGGGTTGTGCTTGGGAAGGACTCTAAGAGTGACGCAAGGAGTGCCGCTGTCAATCATGGCTCGTCTGTACTGGAAACGACCCTGCCTGCGATCGGCTGAACCATCGTCGAATGATATAAATGGATTAAGTAACAATGCAAGAAGAGAAAGAATGTGTGTGCACTGGCCAAGTCGGAGGTTGAGGACAATAGGTAGGCAGTGATGCCCCTGTCAAGGTCCAGCCAGGGAGCCGTCTCCGGCTTAATCGACGACTCGACATCATGCGTGCTGGGGTACGATTCACGAACAAGGGCTGCGCGTTTCACTGAGACGGTTCCGGGCGAAGCTGAAAAGCGTTGAGACGGAATGACCGCAGGCGAGGATAGAGACGACAAGTGCTGCTTCCCTCTCTATGGGAACCGGGCAGGGGTGCTTGGTCGTCAGCCACGTCGAGTTTTTGGTCGAGGAGGCCTCGCAGCGCGACCTCAGACCAATCGCCGGCGCTATTTTAGCCTCACGAAGCTGACATTGCAGATCGCGCGGGGAGAGTGGCTGACAATTAGCCCACGCTCCTTTGGGCGGGATGGTCGAGGCCACGCGAGCAGAATAAACACGTTTCCACCATCTCGAGAGGTGCAGGACTTGGTTCAATGGTTGGAAGGGTAAGACGGGCGCGTCCGAGCCGCGGGTGTGGTTCTTTTGTACATTTTGTAAGAGGCAAGAGACGGGAGGCCGCGAACCCGCAGGCCCATGTTCAGCCGCGAACCAGAACCTGTATCCAGCCAGACACAGTCACGACTGGCAGACGGTTACAGGTTTTGGAAGGGTTATTGGGATTCTGGAAATGGTGCTCTTTCAGTGGATGGATTGATGAATGAGCAGCGAATAAAGGGACGGAGGGAGCGGATACACTGTGGGGAAGGGGAGATATCTACCAGATACCTTAGTACAGTATTAGGTAGGTACCTAAGCTTACTCTTCGTGCCTGTTCCCTGTAGGTAGGTACATATGAAGCTATATCGTCGAGACAAGCCAATGAGAGCCGCCACACGGCACGGGAAAATGGGTCTTCAAACACTGCTCTTGCGCTAACCCCAGTCGGGACAGCTAGTGGTAGGGTACCTGCGTTAATGTGGCACGCTAGACGCCGTTGCTCCACATTCTTCCAGACGGTCGAAACTGCCAAACAGCGGCCGCGACAATTTTAGGAGGCATCTGTCTGTGTCTGCGACCGGCTGGGGATGAAAATTAATCGAACACATGGTACTCCGTACATACCACGTAGTAGTCGTTCCAAAATAACCCTGTTCCCCTTTGTCTTAGTACCGTCTCCTATGCTTGTCCCCCCCACCTGCAGATCCCTCTTCAAGACTCGAAGGTCCCGCTTACGTTCCTGTCTTGCGCTCCCTCGCCCTTTTTCACACACACATACACACACATACACGCAGACACGCAACATTCTCTCCCGAACTCGGCGAAGCAGTCTCACGGCCTACCTGGATAGAGCCTAAGACTAGACTCGACTCGGCTTCTTTCGATCGTGCGAGAAATCCACGTCTGTCGCTCCTTCTGTTCTGGACCTCGTCGACTCTTATTTGACAGCTCGGACCCGCGCGTTTCCCTCTCCCTTCCACTCTTTGCTTTTTTCGACATCCTGAGACTCAGCCTTGCAGCCCGCAGTGGCCGATCAAACGCGGATAATCGCCCAACCAGAAATTCCTCCCCCTTAACCCGCAATCCCACCACGACGCCGCTCGCTTTCATCCCCCTCCCAGGCTCCCCCTTCTCGACTGTCAACCGCAATCCGGCCAAGTCCGTACGAATGGTCTACTGGTAAACAACCAACCCGGCTTGGCCTTGCCACCGCTGTCGTCGAGTCATCGCGCACTCGTTACCATTACCCATTTTGATCCATCCCAACGCGCCCCGTCGCTCGGCCATGCTAGCTTAACTGTCCCGCGGTCCGACCTCTGTTTGTGTCGCACAATCCAAGCCCTCCGCACCCTTGACCCACATTCCATCAATTCGCCCTCTCGGTCGTCTTCTTCTTTCCTCAACAACCCCCGTCGTCCCGTCCCTTCGGTATCGACCATTTTCTTCAACATCATCAAGAAGAGAAACACTGTCGATTACTTCGCGGGCGAGTAACGACGTGTGTTGACGGCAGGTCCGAGTTGCGCTATCACACTCCTTCACCACTTCTTCTTCCTCTTCTTCGTCGTCTGTCTTTTCCAACTTGGCTCGGCTCGGCTCGATCCCATCGACATCCTTCGATCCCTTTGGACTATCAATCGTCCGTCCACCGACGCCCCGACTTTCAAGATGGGATGCCTCAGCCACCGTAGGAAGGTCGCCGAGCAGCGTGCCGAACAGAAATGGGACTACATTGTAGGCTGACTTCGCCGGCGCAACGGCACCGCACCCAGACGCTAACAATCTTTAGAACCTAAACGACTTCACTTCGCGCGGCTGTCTCACTCCCTTCGCCTACTTTTACCTCTGGCTCATGTTGGTCATTTCAATGGCCGTCTACGGTGTCGACATGTTTACTGCCGTCAACCTGCTGGCCTTCGACCGTTGGTCTTCTGAGATCGACCCCGCCATCGATTTCAAAATCTCAAAATGGATCTTCTCCATCTCCATCATCGCATCCTTCATCAACATTGCTTTTGAGCAGTTCAGGGCCATGCGCGTCATGAAGCGCGGAAATGTGGCAGAATGCTACCTCGACAACATTGCTGTCCGTCTCGAGAGTACGCGGATGGGCAAGGGCCAGGGCTGGAAGCGCTTCCTGGTCTTCGCCGAGCTCACCAGAAGCAAGAAGGGAGCCGAGTATATCGCCCTCTTCACCTACTTCAGCTTTCAGTGTAAGTCACACCGTTGTCGTTGTTGCACGACATCTATTGACGTATCCCAGCCTGGATCCGTGTCCTCGTCTGTTCTGGCCCCCGTCAAGTCGTCAATGCCTTGACCCTCAAGTCGGTCTACGATGCCAAGCTTGCAGTTCATGAATCATCCGTCGAGGGATCCCTGCTGGGCTTCTTTGATAAGATCAGGACGCTCGCCACCGAGGACTACCAGCAGGCTCTCATCCTGTCCGGCATGCTCTTCACCCTCGTCATCTGGGTCTTCTCCGTCCTGTATCTCATCCTGGCAGTCCTCTTCTACGCCTTCTTCCTGTTCCACTGGATCCCCAAGGCCGACGGCGGCCTCTCGGGTTACTGTGAACGCAAGGTCACCAAGGCCCTCATGAAGATCGTGACCGCCAAGGTCAACAAGGCCCTGGCGAAACAGGAAGAGACCAAGCGGAAACTTGAACTCAAGGCCGCCAAGAAGAATGGCGAGAAACTGCCTATGGAACGGCAAGCCACTCTGCCTACGCTTCCCAACGTCGGAGACCCCGATAAGCTTGCCGAGATGCCCATGTTTAGCCGCAACGACATTTTCGCGACGCTCCCCGCGTACGAGTCTCGACCCGGTACTCCTGGCAGCATCGAGCTCAATTCGATGGACCAGAAGCGTCCCTTGCCTTCGAGAATGGGTACCACCGCCTCCACCGCCAGCTATTCTTCTCGTGCGCCGTTGGTCGCTGGTGCGGCCGACTTTGGCTACCAGCGATCTGCCTCGCCCGTTCCGTCGCTCCCGCCGATGGATTTGAACAACTACCCGCCCGTTCGGCCCGGTACCTCCAACTCTCAACGGAGCTTCCGGCCTCAAATGTCACATATGCACACCAACTCACAAAGCTCCTTACGAGGGGGCTTCTCTGAGAGCCCCGCTGCATACTCCCGAGACGCCTTGCCCCCTTTCCCTCCTCCTGCCAGGTCTGCCACTGGCCAGACGATGGACGGCTACGGCCTGCAAAGGCAGAACACCTACCAGACTGACCGGTCCACGCCGGCACCTAGGGGCACCTATGATGACTACTCGGGCCAGTCTAACGGTAGAGCCAGCCCCGCACCTTCGGTCTACTCGACTCGTTCCGGCGCTCCCCCGTCGCGTGGTCCTGGCCCGCTCAACAACACGCCCCTCCAAGCGTACCAGCCATACACTCCGATGCGAAGTGCGACCGGCCCCGTTCCTCCCCGAGGCCCGCCGAATGCGCCTGTGCGGAATATGACGGCGCCTGTGCCTGCTCGTCCGCAGGAAGACTACATCGCCCGTCCGGGCACATCGCAAAGCCAAAGGCCCGCCCCGCGCGGTCAGGGATATGGCTACAACGACGATATTGAATCCCAAAGAAACCAGCGGTACTAGGCATATCGGACTGGGGCTCGAGGCCCATAGATCATCGTCGGGCTCGGGCCAGCCGCTTTCTTTTTCATAATGTCTCTTTACGTTTCAAGGGGCCGTCTTGCAGCGTGAAGGGAAAACGCGCATTGCTACCAAAAGGCTTCCCACCGTTTCTTCTTCACCCATGCTTTGAGCCTCACACTTCCAGGTTTGGATTCAAGTATCTGGCCATGCATCGGGTTGTCCCATCTTTTTACGGCCATCCATTCGATACCCCTCCGAGTTTTTCACTTCTCATTCGTCATGTACTATAAAGGGGATTAAGGGTCTGCTGGCTACAGAAGTGCTCCAAGGGCCGCTAAGGGAAATCCAGAACCATTGTACTACTAGCTACTAAAGTAATACAGATGTACCCTCTGACGAACAACCCGAAGTTTGCTCTCTTTCTATCCGTGATGGTATCTGCATTGCGCATCATCTCCATATAACCCCCGCGGTTTACAGGGCCCCTCGCTGCATCAGGAGATTTTAGAGTTTGGACCCACCCACCTGATGAACCCTGTCAGCTCGAGAGTGCCAACTGCCAGCAGTACTGCCAGCATCGGCATCTCAACTGTCAGTTACTCCGCATCACGACAAGTCGCGCCCTTTGTTGCTGATTTGTCACCCGCATATCAGTATAGTAAGCCATAGATTTCAAACACCGAGATTTTGCTAACATGAATCCTCGAACAATCTACTGGCAATCGCCGCTGCTGATAAATAGGATATCACTCAGCTGAGAAGCCGAGTGAGTATAAGGTCAACGAGGCGCTACCCCTACATATGAATTACACCAGCTTGCTAGTAACTCTATTCGCATCACACATCCTCCCACCAGAAGCTATATTCATCCCAGCGGGCAAAATGCCAGCACGGACAATTGAGTTCCACCCGGGTGAGGTCGCCCTCCACGACCTCCTCAAAATACCCAGCCGATCCAACCCCACCGCCGCCGGCCTCCCGCCGTCTTACGGCGCCCGCATCGCCGCATCGCCGCTCGTGGCCCTCGGCACACTTGACAACCAAGGCCGGCCGTGGACAACGCTCTGGGGCGGCGAGAGGGGCGCTGTGGCACGGCCAATCGCGGAGGACGTGCTGGGCGTCCGGGGCCTGGTCGATATCGCTGACGACCCTGTCCTCTCCGCGCTCTGGGGCGTGAGCGAAGAAGGCAAGGGCGTCAAGGAGGGGGTCGTGCAGCCCGGACTGGAAGCGGACGGTGGAAAGCTTGTGTCGGGATTGGGGCTTGACCTAATGACGCGGGACCGGGTTAAGTTCGCGGGTCGGATGGTTGCCGGGGCCGTGGAGGGCGAGGAGGTACAGATGGCGGTCCAGGTGAAAGAGAGCTTGGGAAACTGCCCAAAGTATGTGAACAAAAAGGACGTCACCGCCAGAGGCTCGGTCGAGAAGGGTAGGGTCGAGAGGGGGTTGCCGCTGGGTGAGGGGGCGCTCGAGCTCGTCAGACGGGCGGATATGATGTTCCTGACCAGCGCGCACGATGCAAGTATGGACACGAACCATCGGGGAGGATCGAGGGGCTTCGTGAGAGTTGTAAGCAACGACGAGGGTGGGGTGGAAATCATCTATCCCGAATGTGAGTTTTTCTCCTGACTATCCGGAGGCTAACATGGACGGTAACACCGCCGGATACATGAACCTCCTACAGTTTCGCAACCTAAACAAAGACAGAGTCCTGACCCGTGGTTACAGATTCCGGCAATCGGTTATATCAGACGCTCGGCAACCTTAAGCTGAACCCCTTGGTCGGTATCGCGATCCCAGACTTTGAAACGTCTGACGTCCTTTACGTGAGTACCGGTATCATTTCCTTTCTACGCCACCCCCCCGGGCTTTCTCTACAAAACCAGAAGAAGAAAAGAACATGCCCAAGCCAGTGACAAAAGGCTAACTGCGTTTTAGCTCACAGGATCGGCGTTGATCCTCGTCGGGCAGGAGGCCGCCGCCTATCTCCCACACACGAAGCTCGCTGTCAAGATTACGGTGTCGGCGGCCGTGTTCGTCGAGTCCGGGCTGCCGTTTGCCGGCACGCCCCTGGAAGCGTCGCCATACAACCCTACCGTACGGCGGTTGCTCGGTGAGCAGCAGCACTTGCTGTCATCCGAATCACAAGCCGAAAGGACGGCAACCTTGGTCCGTCGTGAAGCGATCACGTCGACGATGGCACGCTTCGTTTTCCGGCTGGAGCCCGGTGCGAAGTGGAAGGCCGGGCAGTACGTCACCCTCGACTTCTCCAAGGAGTTGGACGCAGGCTACAGCCACATGCGCGACGACGAGCCCCAGAGCCTGAACGACGATTACGTGAGGACGTTCACTGTCTCTAGCCCGCCGGGAGACGGAAAAGAGCTCGAGATCACGGCAAGACGGAAGGGGCCTGTCACGGGTATGCTATGGAGATGGAACGTCAAGGTCCCGCTCGAGGTTCCCGTGCTGGGTTTCGGTGGTGAAGAGGCGTTCAGGTTGGGACGACGGCAAGGGGACGGAGTGGAGGAGGTGTTTGTGGCGGCGGGCGTCGGGATCACGCCCGTGCTCGCGCAGACTGGTGGTGTATTGGCGGCGGGCGGCCGGTTGAAGATTCTCTGGAGCGTTAGAGCCCAGGATTTGAAGCTGGTGAAGGAGGTATGTGGGAGGGTGGATGGGTTAGGTGGTGTGTTGAAGGTGTTCGTCACGGGTCTAACCGGGGAGGCGGAGGAGGAGGAGGAGGCTATCAAGGAGATTGTGGGCCTCGGAGTTACGGCCGAGAGACGGAGGATACGGGAGGGAGACGTGAAGGAAGGATCTGGAAAGAAGAAGTTCTTTCTGTGCACAGGGCCGGAGATGGCGCGCGTTCTAGAGGGGTGGCTGGAGGGGGAGGAGGTTGTCGGGGAGATTTTTTTGTTTTGAGGCAGCACGCCGAAGGTTGTTGCTATACCCCATCGTCGGCACAGAGTCAAATTGCCTGGTGAACATTGATACGTGTGTGTTCTTTTGTTGGATGACATACCTACGTACGAGTCGCTCCAGGAAGACACAGTTAGGGTTGTTGGGTGATGTAAGCTCATGATGGAGAGTTAGGTGGTCAACTAACTTCCTGCCCAACCACTGTCTCATCGTACGATGCAGTGTGCGTCTAGGCTCGTTACAGAGCATATGGCTCGTTCAAAGAGTCGATCTGAGACACCGTGTTAGGGGTTTTAATCGAACCCCCCAATGGTACGCCCAGAGATCGGTTAGATTAAAGTCATACACAAAGCCCCAGAAGGGCACTGGCTTTGTGTAACGAAGGAGAGAAGTCCGAGGATGGCAGGTACTTTCGCGTCGGGTGTGTTTACCACTGTGGGGCGAGGTACATCCGTCTCCACTCAGCGATCGGCACCTGCCGGCAGCTGGGCGTCACCATCACGATCTTCCCCACATAAGCCACGATACCACACGATTTCTCGATCAGCACTACTTCCTACACCAACCCCGCGACGTTCCAGGCCTGCTGGTACCGACCGAGAGTCATCATCGACGACCGAGAGTCATCATCGACGACCTCGCCCAATCTCGCAGCAAGGCCGCCTCGTTGCGGAAGGAGAGAGAGAGAGAGAGAGAGAGGCTGGTGGTTAAGCTGGCTCACACCCCCCCTCCCACACCACTCCAAAAGCCAAGGGCTGGCTGCAAAGCAATGGGGCCCTACGAGGCATGTAAGCATTCGATTGAAATGCCGTCGTCAGACGTTCATCTATCGCGGCTGGTTTGCTGGATAAATGGGGCGGATGGGGGCCATTCTGCGTCAGCAAACATGGGGAGCTCTCACCGATTGACCGATCATACAAGCTTGGCCTCGGCGCAGCTCGATATTAATCGAGGTGGATCCATGGAGGGTGGTGAGGCATGCGGACTATGATCGAAGACGTGCGTGGAACAAGCATTCATTCTCGTTCGTGATGAGTGATCCAGCACCACACATGGGGATATCGATCGGATTGGAACTGAGGCCATCGTCGGATCGAACCAGCCTGCAAGACCCCCCAAACACGGTCGGATCGATGGACTCGGCAGATCACAGGACTCGCAACTGTCGTGTAGCAAAAGCTCCGGCGGCTGCCTCACATCGTCAGGTCCTCATCGCGCGTATGCGTCTGCGGCTCCGGCTCCATCACCCCCTGCTTCGGCTGACGATGCCTGTTGGACCGATCAAGCCAAGCCAAACAAGGTACATCTGGAAGACCGGGTTTGGACTAAAAATCCTCTCACCGATGCAAGGACGGCGGTTTGCATACCACCATACATACAGCAGCCACTGGCCAGCCCCGCCCCCCCAATTCGGACCATGCATTTGATAAGGACCCGGACTTCTGGGATAAAGAAAAAGAAAGAACGAACACAAACAATGTGACAGATCTAGATTGCGCCCTGACAGGGCGCTTGTCAACAGCACCGATGCGTGCCCGCTGCCGATTTGAACGCAAGAGCAAGGTGTTCATTTGCAAGTGCATCGGTCCCCCCATCGTCCTGCCATCGACGACGACGACCCTGGGCCACCCCTCTGAAGCAAGTGTGTCGCCTAGAGAGGCTCTTCCTTGGAGGAATGACGACGGAACGGGACCTGAGGCCTCGGGGCTGAAGCTGGAAAGCCTGACCCGCAAAAGGGAATGTAAGCTCCACGGATCATGGGGATCATGAATACTATGCACCCAGCATGGTACTCTGGCCAGACGGGTACAGTAGGATTCTCCAGCGACAAACGGCCGATTGCCGTCCCGATGCTGGTGGCCGTCTCCACCGCGAACATGCACAAAATCAGCCGATTTTTTTGTGCACCCAAATTGCGCGTCCAATCAGCCTCGGGAAGGTTGCAGGGTGATGATGCATCACAGCTACGTACAGGACACTGCGGAGTCAGAGCAGGGGTCCGAGGAAGGTGTGGAAATCGACGAAAGCCGTTACCTACCGGTACTGCTGCGTATGGCGATCGCTGTGATGGCCGGACCAAACGCGGATCTGACCATCGAATTCTGCTTCGACTCAGCATCCACACCACACATCCCTTTCCGCCCACGTCTTGTCACGCCCACACGCCCAGCACTCACTTCGGAGCATCGCACCGCTCGCCGCACGTCGCCACAGTTGGACGACCTAAAGATGGAGCCCACGAACCTGTCCGAGGGCCTTACTACGTAGTAGTATGCTGACAGTGGCCGAACAGAACAGCCCCTTGTCGGATTGTTAATCTCGTGTCTGACCCCCGCCTGAATCGCACAGCACTTGGCTAGGTCTTCTGGCCTATTCGAACGTACGGATAAGGTAACGATTTATTGCCGTCATGTAACGATCTGTTGCCGTCATGCCCCGCTCACCCGGCACTGCAGAGCATTCGTTCTTCTGCTGCTCCCTTCACCGATGTGGATATGGCCCTCCCTCTTTGCAGCCCGTTCAGGCATGAAAGCGGAACCTCTGCGAACCGGGAATATGGACCTGATCCTGTTGCTCCCATTAGCCATTTTACTATGGACAGAGACTGACTGAATCAATCAATGGTTCAATGGTGCAGTACCCCCCCTCCCTACACTACCAATCCGAAAACCCCGTTCTCGGATTGGATGGAGTAAGAGTCCCCTTCGATGTACCGATCTTGCGGTCCATGCTCGCTTACCTCACCGGACCACTGAGGCAAGGACCCTTCGTCTCGAGATTCTATCCACACGCCCCATGCCCCCGATCACCGTGTTCAACGCATTGACTCGCGATCAAGACCAACGGTATCCCACGATCGCTGACAACGGTAGCTTTAATCCCCACTGGTCGTCACCACCATGATTCCCCAAGTAGTCGTCTTTTGCCTAGCAAGTCCCACGTGTATAGTTTACAATCTGTTTTCAATCAAGCAGCTAGCCGCCCTTCAATCACTTCGGCTCGTCCATCCTACATCTGCTCAATGACCTGTCATCTTTTCTAACCTTTGATCTCGCACATCTATCATCAATCAAATCCTCTCGGCCTGCGGTTGACCTCCTGCCCAGCCTGCCAGCATACGAATAGCCGCGTGATGCAAAGTGCCTAATCACATCCTCATATTACCTCTTTCGGGCCCCGCTCCTATCTATTATCCAAACGAGTCAACCGACCCCCCGGCCCGCCATACTGCTTCCGCCTACTGCGCCGTTGCTTTATAATCGTACTTGGGCTCGCTGTCAACCTTTCATCATGTCTACACAAGAGCTTCAATATCAGACGTCTTACGTCCAAACTGAGAATACGGATCGTGTTCTATCATTCCGGACTCAGTACCGGAAACCCTCGACCATGAATCCATGGGAGTCGTGTGCGCTTGAGGTGAGTACCGAGTGATATTGAACCCGCGTTTACGAAACTGGCAACTGACTTGCCGGCCGCTCAGTATCAATTTTCCAACAGCGAAAATGAGCAAGGTTCTCAGGAAAACGCTGTGTCTTGGCGACGGCCCCAAGCAGCCGCCGATCCTGTCATGTACCCCGGGCTGTACTGTCCCTCGGGCTTCGACATGATGAGCATTCTTGTAAGCCCAGCAATATATTCACCAGCAACTCCCCTCAACTAACAACACTCAGCTACGCGTCGTGGGACGCCCCAACCCCAAGGTCGAACTTGGCGCCATCGACTGCTCCGTCGCACTGCTGCTCTGCGACCTCCAGCAACCCGACACTCCGATCGTGTACGCCTCTGAACACTTCAGCATCCTCACCGGCTACACGAACAGAGAGATCCTCGGCAAGAACTGCCGCTTCCTCCAGGCGCCCGGCGGCAACGTCAACAAGAAGTCGTCTCGCAAGCACGTCGACAAGGAAACCGTCAAGGCCATGCGCAAGGCCGTCGAGATGAACGACGAGATCCAGACCGAAGTCCTCAACTTCAGGAAGGACGGCACCCCCTTCGTCAACCTCCTCACGATGATCCCCGTCCGCTGGGACTCCCAAGATTTCCGCTACTCCGTCGGCTTCCAGGTGGAGCGGGAGAACTAAAAAAAATTTATCTAAAAAAGTGAGCGGGCTTTTGATCGAATTCTCCTTCGAAATCGATCTGGGGTTCTTCCGCAACGTTTAAACATTTGGTTCCCCCTACAAGGTAACAAGTATGTCGCGACTCTCTGCGAGGCATCTGCTATCAGGCATTTACGATACCCATGGTACACGCATGCGAATTTAGAGCTGAGGCAACTCCCAACTCGCAACAAAAATGACGTTTGAATTTTGATTTCTTTTTTTCTTATTTGTCTTTAATGTCTGGCGAGGCTTCTTATCCATGGCGTTAACCAAGAGTGGTTTCCAAAGCACAACATCATCATCAGCAAGGACAAGAAGGCGAGTTGACTGTGTGGGGATACGTAGTCACTTATAGGTGTACAGGAGGATTTTGGTATTTTTCTTTTCTTCTCTTTTTGTTCTTTCCCTCTTCCCGACCTCGCTGGAGGTTTCCCCCACATGGGTGGCAAGCATTGTTTTGTTTATTATTTCAAACGGGCGGACAAGGCTCGAAGCATCTGCGATGGCGTTGACAGTCGGGCACCGGCCTTTGACTGGAGTTCGTTTTTTTTTCTGGGAATTTTCTACCATGTACTGCACATGATATTTTGATCATACCGAAATAGGTTAGCACAGATGAAGAAACCTAGGCCGTCGGCGAATCGAAAGTCACTTGTGTTTCCTCTTGAGACAAATCCCTTTTTCTAATTGGTCCAACATTGCCTTGAGACGCTTGGTTTTGACGAACGATCTTACCGCAGTGATTATGACGTTACATATGGCGTACTTTACCATCAGGCCACCATCGCATAACTGTGACGGAAAGTAAACCTTGTATAAAAAACCACTTTCGCAGGTGTCTGTTTCCCCTTTCGAATGAGAGCACGAACTATCCCGACGCATTGCGCTAGTTCGCGGGCGTCATACGTCATGCTACTGGTGTGACAACTACACCTATTCCCCATCCGCATTGGGACAACAAAATGAATAAATGGGGGTTTAGCCGCATCAACTCGTGCTCGTCGCCGTAGGTACCGTACGTAGTCCCGTATTACTTTTCCTCTATTCGTCCTCCATCTCCCTCCTTGTGCCATTTCCGGCCGCACCCTGCTGCGCAAGAGTTTAGCAGACAACAGGTATCCGACGCGATTGGCGCGGCAGTACGGACGTCCGGATTTCTCACACCCTGTCCGCACCGAAAACGTGGACTCGAGTTACCTAAGCTTGGATGCAGGTGGGCAGGGCGGTCCGTTTTGAAATTGGAATAAAAGCCATCGACCCGAGCGGCCGCAACGTGGTCCAGACAGAAAGGAAGGAAGAGTGATCACAGAAAGGGATAAAGACAACTGAGAAGCGGAACCTCTACGTCTACGGAAAAGAAAGAGAGAGAGAGAGAGAGAAAGAACAAAAAAAGAGTCGCGCAAAAATGCCTCTCCGCGGACCCGTGCCGGTGAAGTTGTACAAGAAGGAGGACAGCGAAAAGATCTGCGTCGGGCCGATGACCATCTACATCTTCGAGGACGGGAGCAACACGGACAACCGGATCGGGTGCATGACGCTGGAGCTGCCGCCGGCCACGTCCGGGCCTCCGATGCACTGGCACCGGTTCCACGACGAGTGCTTCTTCGTGACCAAGGGTGGGCTTACCCTCCCCCTTCCTTGTGTTCAGCCCCCGCGATTGTACCACGAAGCCTGAGATCTGGTGATCGAGTTCGGTAGAGGGGAGAGGACGTACTGACTGACTTGGCGAATCAGGAACGGTACGCTTCAAGACACCCGACGGGGATGTCGACGCCGGAGAGGGCCAGCTCATGGTCGTTCCCCCGCGGGCGATCCACACCTTCGCCAACCCGTCCGAGACCGAGCCTGCCGAGTTCTTCATGACCTCCACCCCTGGTACGTCACACGACAGCCACAGACATGCCCCCCCGTGCTAACTCAAGGAAACTAGGGTACTACATGGACTGTGAGTTGGGGAAAGAAGAACAACCCCTCCCCCTACCTCCACCCAATAGCTACAGACAGCTTGTCATCCCAAAGATGGAGTTGGAGGTGTTGACCGTTGGAAAAAGCTAACGCCTGATAGACTTCCGCACGATGAGCAAGATCGTCGACGAGGGGAAGAAGCTGTCACGGGACGAGGTTCAGCACCTGATGGCGCTGTTCGGAACCTTTCCTCCGGACGTCGAGTCGGAGCCGTGAAGACTGGACTGATGCCCGCCGCGCGGGGTGGGCGTTACGTGGGGAAGGGGGAGGAGGCAGGCCTGTCATCCCTGTTCCCATCCCTTTACGCGCGAAGTTTTTGAGGGGATGTTGGTAGCCATATTTGGAAAAGGGGGGGGGGGAGGACTTGATGTGGACCCTCGATCGAGGGCACAATAGTTTATTTCTTCAATCGAAGGGATCTCCGCCTGCTACCCGCGTCCCCGGTCTGCGTCTCCGCCGTCTTGTCTTTCGCGGCTGTCTTCTTGGTTCTTGACGGGACCTTTTTGGCTTTCTCTGCGGCTCTGGGTCCCCTCGGTTTCCTGTTTGACGGAGCTTCGGGAGGTTCGGGAGACGACTCCTCCCCCTTATCCTCACCCTTTTGCTTCATCTCCGAGCCGGGCTTTGCCTGCGCGGGACCCCTGCCACCGCGTGCCTTCTTGGTCGGCTTCTCGTCTTCGCTTTCGCGCGCTTGCGCTTGCCTCTTGCCGAACTTCTTCTTCGGAACGGCCTTGGGCTGCGCCTCCTCGTCCCCGCTGACGGGCTCCTCCTTGGCCGAGGGCACGATCTGCCCAGTCTTTTTCTGCCTCCCTGGCGCGTAGCAGCTCGTGCGCCCGCCGACGGTGACAAAGGCGATCTTGTCGCCGTTCGGCAGCGCCGACGCCGCGCCCTTGCTCCCCTTGCCCCAGCGGTAGTTGAACAGCCAGTCGGCGGGGAACTCGTCCGAGTCGCCGAGCTTGTCGACGGCCGTCTGGCACACGAACCGCACCGCCTCGTATAACCGCGCGACCTCGGCCGCGTCGAAGCTGTCGCAGTACTGCTCAGGGTGCAGCCTCGCCTGGTAGAGCACCTCGTCGGCGACCCAGTTGCCGATGCCGCTGATGTGGGACTGGTCCAGCAGCAGCGCCTTGACGGGGACGTGGCGCGCGCGCATCTTGCCGGCGAGGTAGGCCTCGGTGAAGACGTCGACATCGACGACCGGGTCCGGCCCGTTCTCCTTCAGCGGCGAGTGCTTGCGGATGTCGGCGCCGGGGCAGTCCACGAGGCGGATGCGGCCGAAGCGGCGGGGGTCGGTGAAGGCGGCGGCGACGGGGGGTTTGTCGTCCGTCTCGAGCTGGAACTTCCAGTACTTTGGCGGCCAGACGTCGGCCTCGCCGTCCTTCATCTTCTTGTAGTAGTTTGTGTAGGCCGTCTTGTCGCCCTTGATGTGGATCCAGCCTGTAAGGTGTTAGACCCGTAGCGGGGAGGTTGGAACGGATTGGTGCTCATACCCGTCATACCCAAGTGCATCACCGCGTGAGGGGGCTTATCAAAGGTTATCCTGTAGAAACCATGAGCATCCGACAACCGTCCCGCGCGAAACCGAGACATACCAAAAGTATTTCCCCTGACTTCCCACAGACACAACCTTCCGGCCTTTCAGAGCCTTCTCGAACGCCGGGCCGCTGGTTCCGACCTTCCCAAAGACATTGGCATCATCAGGGGCAGAGACCTTGGCGATCGTCTTACCGAGGAGATGGTGGCGCAGGAAGTGCACGCACCGGGCGACTATAAAAGCATGAGTTGTCTGTCTGATTGAGGCAGATACCAGTCGTACCTTCGGCAATTTCAGGCATTATGTCTACAATTGTGAAGCGACTTGAATCACCCGTCGTGAACCGTCTCTACTTGGTCGTTTGACGATATGGGGACGAGCGGTTCCATGACGCAGACAAACGGGACGCGTCGAGCTCTCGCAGCCCCATCCGCGTTCTGAGCCGCGAGTACACGTGACCAGGTCCCTGAACTGCCCATTTTAGTGGGTCGTGGCCGACCGCGCGCGCCGAATTTTTCCCAGCCAGCCTCACCCCACTCGAGGCTCAATTTTCCACCACCTTTAAAAATCTTTCCTGGCAAGCTTCCGCATTCTCACGATCACTCCTTTCACCAACCAACGCCACGAAACAACGCGGCAGCGGCAGGGAGAGCTACGTGGCCTCGCATGATCCGGTAAGTTCGCAACGCGCGCCTATTTCTTTCATTTCTTCTGCTATACAATCCCAATCCTTGGTGATGACACACAAACACCGCAAACTAGAGTCTTTGACCTAAATGGAATGAAACCTCTGTTTTACACGTCAGTCTGATAGGACACGACAAACATCGCTTTTCGTTGTTGGACCTTGCGCTTCGCTTGAGCAAAGTCGCTAACTCAAGCAACCTAGGCTTTACATGCAGATCATTCTGACGCCGCGCTTCATATGGCCACGTTCCCGCCCTGAGATGGCTTGAGAAAAGGTACGATGCGCCCGCAAACGCTCCCTACACTGCTCCCGCCCCCGAGAACCTGATGATCATTTTTTCGTACTTTGTACGGTTGGAATTACCGGCTGAAACTTACTGTTGAAAACAACTGGCTGTTTCTGACTGTTCTCGTTACCACTCATTTCCGTGTGCTGTGCGTACTCGTGGATCACCATAACTAACATGGAATCCAATAGCCATCTCATACCCGATCGACAAGGTACATACGAACCCCCATTTTCTACCTTCATTACTACATGATGAAACGGCACTGGGCTCCGAGAGTACCCATAAGGGACTCAGCCATGAGCAGACAAGCCGTTTTGTGGCAGGCCTAGAAAACCTCGCCCACTGATTCCGAGCCAAACACTCAACTTGTTGGAAAATATCACTGTGCAGGAGGCTGACTTGCCTGTAACAGTGTCGAGATGGGAGCTTTGCTATCAACATTGCCTCGGCTGCCAGTGCAGCTTTTCGACCCAACCACCTCCCCCCTGGTCCACTCTTGGTAGGTCTACAATCTTTGTTTTTCTTACAATCCCCCACTGCCTACCTGATGAGTACATTAGATGACGAGTCTGATTTGGATCTTCCAATGCGGATAACCCTTTTTTATACCATTCATGCAACGACTGAACCTGGCAATCATACCCAAATTTTTGAAAGACGATGAAGCATGAACATCGCTAACCATTTCCAGATCACAGTTGTTGAAATGACAGGCACCCTGGAGGGGGGGGAGGAAACTTCATGGTTCAAGTGGTAAGCGCAGACTCTTCCTCTTTCACTACACCCAGCCTACCCACGGCTCCGTTCTTATGATGAACGATAAACCAAAGACAAGCATATGTCAGAGCCTAACGGCGAAGCTGAGACACGTTGACTACCAGTCATTCTGATCAAACGACCTCACAAATGCACTTTTTTCGGGACCATTGGAGACGTGCGGGTGGCTAACCTGACCTCCAGACCCATGTTGGATTCCATGTCGTTCGATCTTTCACCAGCAAGAACCTCGCGCCAACAGGTAAGCTGCTTTTCTTCCTCACTCTCATTTACATACACCCTCCTTCCCCGCGTCTACATGATGATCATAAAATTTTCACGACGGTCTCCATAGCCATATGCTTTGATGATAATGCCTTTGACAAGGCCTCCATACTGATATGACGCTTCATACACTGTTTTCTTTTCAAGTCGTGTGGTTTGCAAACAGTGGCTAACTGAAGTTCCCAGGCTCTCGTATTCACATACAACGTCGATTGATTTTGGCGCAGCAATGGTAAGTCTAGGACTAGTGAATTATATAGATGTCCGAATATAATGGCTCGTTTAAGAGCTCTGTTTTACTATCAACGTTACGGGCATATGACTCGGTGTTTTTGAGCTACTTTCGCGTGATCGCGGCATTCAGTATACCAGAAATATCAGACTCCCAACCATGGCGCGCCTATCAATTGGCAAGTGGTTCGCCGTATTTGCCAATTCGCCAAGACGGACAGGCATGCTGCAGGTAAGCCCTCACGTGGCCTGCTTCCTGCAGCAAAGCAGTAGTCTGCCTTGCTGCTGCTGCCTTATCTACCACATAATCACGCAACCCCGCCATTCTCGACGCCAGCTTCAAACGAAAGGCTCTTCTCTTTGTGTGGCCATCCGGATTTTCATCTAGATTATCGTCCAAATTTTGTCTAGACTTCTGTCAGACTTCCATCCAGATTTTTTATCCGAATTTCCATCTAGACAATAAATCTGCATGATGCGGATGCTTGCCAGGGTCGGACTAGATACCTCTGATCTCCAACATGGCAGAAGCATTCGGCCTCGCAGTCAACATTGCAGCCATTGTCCAGTTATCAACGAAGATTGCGAAAGTATGCCTTCAGTATTCCAAAGAGGTCAAGAACGCGAGGGAAGAGATAGCCCGGGTTGAAGAGGCGACCCTTAACCTGAAAGCCGTCGCTGAGAGTGCCTTAAAGCTACTCGAGGGCCCCCATGGCGCCACGCTGAAAACGTCCCAGACGTTGCTCAGTGCCGCCCGGGCAGCTGCGTCACGGCTCAAGGCTCTCGATGCCGAGCTTCGCCCTTCCGATACTCGCAAGGCGATGCGCCGGTTCGGCGTCCGCGCCTTCAAGTGGCCTTTCCAGAGCAAAGATGTCGAGAAGATAGTGCAGGATATTGAGAGATACACGCAGATGATCTCGATGGGGCTGCAAATTGACCAGACGTACGTTGGGAAGCCCATTTGTCATACCGCTGTCAGGTACCGTAGGCTAACCAGCCCATGTCACAGAACGATTCTACTCAGCCTCGATCAGAAATTCGTGCTCGACAAACTACCAACCGCCCCCGAGGCCTCATTTGATTCCCATGCTGAAGAGCATAATCCGACTTGCCTACCAAGTACGAGGGTAGAACTCCTGAAGGAGCTGGATCGATGGACCAACGACCCCATCGCAGAGGCCGTCTTTTGGCTCAACGGGATGGCAGGGACGGGAAAATCAACAATCTCTCGGACTGTCGCCCAGTCCTTGGCCAGAACAGACCAATTAGGCGCTAGCTTCTTCTTCAAGAGGGGCGAGGGTGATCGAGGTCACGCATCCAAGTTCTTCACAACGATAGCCTCACAGCTAGTGAGTCGTCTGCCAATGCTGGCGCTTCACGTGAAGGGTGCGATCGATGCCGATCCAGCAATACACACCAAGTTTTTACGAGAGCAATTCAACAAACTTATCCTTGATCCTCTTGAAAAAGTCCAAGGAGCTTATAAGGGTACTTCTGTTGTTATTGTTGTTGATGCTCTAGACGAGTGCGAGCAAGACAATGATATCAAACTCATCATTAACCTGTTTTCCTCCGGGAAGTCTCTCAAGTCTCCACGACTCAAGATTCTCCTCACGAGCAGACCGGAACTGCCTATTCGACTAGGGTTCAGTGCAATACAAGGCACATATGACAACCTGGTTCTTCATGAGATACCTGCTCCGATTATTGAACACGACATATCGGCTTTCCTAGAGCACGAACTGGCGCGAATTAGAGATGAGTACAACAGCTCTGTCTCAGAAGAAAGACGACTATCTCCAGTCTGGCCTGATAAATCGAACTTTCAAACCCTAGTGAGAATGGCAATTCCGCTCTTCATCTTCGCAGCAACCACGTGCCGTTTCCTTGATCAGCGTAGACGCGGCAACCCAGACCAACAACTGCAACGAGTCTTGGACCACTGGAACCGAAGCCAGGAACTAAAAGCAGACTTGGTCTCTAAATTTGACCCGACTTACCGGCCAGCGTTAGATCACCAGCTTACTGGTCTCTCTCTCCTGGAAAGAAACGAAGTTCTCCAGCAGTTCTGTCATATTGTTGGCACCATCATCTTGCTCTCGAGCCCTCTCTCGGCGGGTGCTGTGGCGCAACTATTGAATATTTCTCGGCATAGCGTCGAAGACAGGCTCGACATGCTTCATTCTGTCCTCGACGTCCCCGAGGATTCTGCTTCTCCTGTGCGATTGCTTCATCTGTCCTTTCGCGATTTCTTAGTAGACCCCCACTACCGAGACAGCAATCCATTTTGGATAGACGAAAGGGAGGTCCACCTCCAAACGGCGACAAATTGCCTCCGTGTCATGGGGAACCATCTCAGCGAGAACATCCTGAACTTGAAAGAGCCGGGCACTTCCCGGTCCATGTTGGACTTTTTGGACATTGATGCTCGCCTGCCATCAGAAACCAAGTATGCGTGTCTTTACTGGACACATCATGTAAAGCAAGCGAACTCCGGGGCAGACCTTCTTGGAACCGTCTATGATTTTCTCTGCCGCCATTTCCTACACTGGCTTGAAGTGCTGGGCTGGCTTGGAAAGGCCTATGAGATTGTCGCCATGCTTCGGGCAATTCAAGCCGCTGCCGCAGTAAGTGCATATAGAACCGCTGAGTACATGATGGCTAACCAAGGAACAATAATAGCACTTGGACAGCGGCGCGCTTCAAGAGTTTGTAGGCGACGCCATCAGATTCGTCCGCTCAAACTTGCACATGATCAGCACCGCACCTCTTCAGCTTTATTCATCTGCGCACATTTTCACTCCCCAAAGAAGCATAGTGCGTCGGACTTTCGCGGAGGCTACGCCCTCCTGGATTTCCCTCCAGCCAGAACCAGAACTAGACTGGGATCAGTGCCTGCAAAAGCTTGAGGGCCATGGCGGTGCGGTATATTCAGTCGCTTTCTCTCACGACTCGACCTATATAGTATCGGCATCTTCCGACCAAACGGTCCGAGTCTGGCGTACGGATACAGGCGAGTGTATTCACAGCCTGGAGGGCCATAGTGATACAGTACAGTCAGTTGCTGTCTCCCACGACTCGGCTCTTATAGTGTCAGCATCCTTTGACAAAACGGTTCGAGTCTGGCGTACGGATACAGGCGAGTGTATTCACAGCCTGGAGGGCCATAGTTATCCAGTACAGTCAGTCGCTTTTCCCACAACTCGGCCCTTATAGTGTCAGCATCCTTTGACAAAACGGTCCGAGTCTGGCGTAGAGATACAGGTGGGTGTATTCAACAACTTGGCCATAGTTATGCCGTTTGGTCAGTTGCTTTCTCCCACGACTCAACCCTCATATTGTCAGTATCGCGAGACGGAACAATCCGTATATGGCGTACAGATACAGGAGAGTGCATCCAAACGTTGAAAGACCACAGTGGAAAGGTGTTTTCAGCTGGCTTTTCCCATGACTCGGCCCTTATAGCGTCAACATCAGGGGATAGTACAGTCAGGATCTGGAACATCAAAGGAGGAAAGCATACCATAAAAAGAGAGGAACCTAGCAGTGCTTTCAGTTGGGTTGTCATCTCAAACGACTCTGATTGGATAGCATCGTCATCGTACGGTAGGCCCCTGGCCTGCCGTACTGTTACAGGCGACTGTATCCGAGAGCTTGGAGGCGATATAAGTTCCATATCAGCCGTTTTCTCGCACAACTCAGCCCTTATAGCATCGGCAGAGCATGATAAAGTTCGAGTCTGGTGCGCTAGGACGGGCATTTGTGTCAAAGAATTCAGAGCCGACGGCCTTGACCCCACTAGTGTCGTCTTCTCATACAGCTCAGCCCTTATAGCGTCAGCATTACATCGCGATAAAGTCTACATCTGGCATACTGACACAGGCGAGTGTACACAAGTGCTGGAGGTCCCTGACAGACCCAGATACAAATATTCACCCACTCGATCCGTCACTTTCTCACACGATTCAACTCTGGTCTTGGCAATAAGTAACTATCCTGATATTATTCAGATCTGGCGTACCGATACAGGCAAGCCAACTCAAAAGCTGGAGGGCCATAAAAGGGTCGAATCTGCTGTCTTTTCGCGCAACTCGGCCTTTGTAGTGTCGGCATCGAATGATCAAATCAGGGTATGGAGCACTAATACAGGCGACTGCGTCCGAGTAGTCCCTACAGGCGGGTGGGATGTGCGGCTCTTGTCGACCGAGCCTGGCAACTTGACATCCGAGCCAGGCAACTTGATATCCGACCTTAGCAGCACCTGTATCGTCACCGATACGGGCGTTGTAGCCTTTACCGATAGTGCTACAACCTTGACTACTGTTGGCATTGGACTTAGTCGAGATCGTTGCTGGATCACCTGGAACGACCAGAAACTGCTGTGGTTGCCGGTTGAATTCCGTTATGGGGAGACAGCTGTCCGGGGGTCGACTGTCGTGATCGGGTGTGACTCTGGCAGACTTATCGTTTTCCGGTTTTCCGAGACCGCTCTCCGACTGATATACGGCTAGACTTCGGGTTGGTATCCAGCAAGAGCTTTGTACACGCGTCAATGGACGACATCATAGTTCTGTTCTTCCTTCCGTTCTCACTTCGTCGTGTAGATTCCTGTCATAGGAACCAATCCAGATGTGGCTTTCGAGACAGAATGCTACCAATTCGTGGCAAAACGCAGAGCTAGAGACAAGGTTCAAGGGGCGCGAAATCGTTGCCATTACAGCTATCGTTAAGAGGGTATCATTAAAGTATTCAGCCAACACGTCCCGCACATATCTGTAGTGCCCCGTTTTCAAGTTTTTGTCCGCATTCAAATCCCAGAGAACGCCAATCACTGGATGCACCTAGACCCCATCCAAATGCTCCTCGCCGTACCATGTACAAAATGTACAAAATGCTCCCCTGAACTTGGTTTCCTTATAGACCCCCGACGCCGACGCACACCGCGCCGGCCATCATGGCGACCAATGCCGCGAAGGAGTCTCTCGGCCTGCTGACGGCACCGCCGCTCTTAGGCGTCGCAGTAGCGGTGAACAGCCCCGTCAGCACCGTCGACGAAGACGAGGCAGCCGGCTGCGTCGACGTCGGGGCCTGCGTGGCCAGGGGCCAGTCGCTCGAGGCGCTGTACAGCACGCCGTTGATGACGGTGCCGTCGCCGCGCGCAATCATGCTGACCTGCTCGTCGGTGCAGGAGCCTTCCATGTACCGCAGCCAGCACGTGGGTTCCGGCGAGCTCGGCAGCTTGTCCGTGTGCGTCGCGTGCGCGTCGCCCGAGGTGTTGAAGCTCGCCAGGTCCACCCTGTCGCCCGTTGAGACGGAGGTGCCCATGATGACGCGCGCAAAGACCTGGAACGCGGTTTCCGGCTGGTAGGCGGGCACCGAGTGACCGGCTTGGTAGATGCGGCTGAAGGTCAGGTTGCCGAACTGGCGGACGACGCCGCCAATGTACGAGTCGTTGACGATGATGGGGGCGTAGCCGGCGGCGCTGAAGCTGCGGCCGTAGACGGGGCCGGCCTGCCAGGCGAGGGTGGTGGAGGCGGCCTCGCCGCCAAGCCAGTTGCAGATGTAGTCGCGGTCGCCATAGATGAGGGCGACGCGGATACCGCGCGCGAGGAGGCCGGCCAGTTTCGGCATCAGGGGCCCTCTCATGTGGTCGCCGGTCGTCTCGAAGGCCGAGAGAACCGCCTGGCTCGTCATGGTGAAGTTGATGGTGGAGCCGATGGACTGTTGGAAGGCCGCCGTGTTGAGGTACTCGAGGTAAGTATTTGGCGGGAACGAGTCCGGGATCTTGCGCGCAATGTCGTACCAGCTGCGGCCGGAATCGGCGTAAGGTAAGATGGCGTCATTGTTGCAGGCGGTGTAGGCCTGGGAGCATAGGCTGTTCACCATGGCCACGCCGCCGGTGTTGTTGGCGTCGAAGACGGATTCGGCGGTGCGGCACTGCCGAATCAGGTCAAAGCAGCCGCCCGGCTTGTATAAAGTGCCGTTGACCAAGCTCGCGCGGACGTCGTTAATGGCCCTGAACCCATACGTGTTGTTGCTGGCCATGACAGGGTAGAATTCGGCCTGAATCTGGTCGTCGATGCAGCCGTTGATGATGCCCAGAGAGGTAAGGTGGATCTCAAGCGTGTTGTTGGCGGACAAGGACCCGTTTTGGCGCTTCTCATTCTGCATCTCCCAGACATCGGAGAAGACGGGGCCATATTTGCCTCCGTAGCTCTCGGCGAAGAGGTTGATGCCGAGGGAGCTGTTGTCGGGAGGGTTGTACTGGGGAAAGGCGCCCAAGAAGCCCTGGAGCATGTGCCATATGGCGATTGCGGCCGTGGCGGTGGTGTTTGCGGTGTTGTTGACGTTCAGCGAGCTGAAGGTTCCGTTGAGGAAGGTGGCGGGCGGCCGGCCGTTGGGGACGGGCTGGGGCGGGCTCGACTGGTTTGCATTGAAGAGGTCCATGGAGCCATTGGTGGCAATGTCGTAGGAAAAGCCGACTTGGTTAGGCTGCAGAGGGTCAGCTTGAGATTAGGCAAGAGCTTGGAGAGCGGCGAATGGCGTACCTGGTCGATGAATAACATGTTGGAAGCGCGGTCCCAGCCCCATTCCCTCGCAACGGTCTCGTACTGATCCAGGCCCTTCTCGACAACCTCACAAGGACCGACTTCGGTGAACAGGCCAAACAGCGAGCTCACACCCGGGCCACCATTGAGCCAGATGGTCATGGCCTCGGTGGGCTCGCGTGCACCGATGAACCAGAAGAACATGTTGGTCGGGAAGGGGCCGGGGACGGTAACCCATCCTGTGTACTGCTGCTGAGAGGCGTATGCGGTCTTGCAGGCGCCGTCGGGGATCTTGTAGCGAATGGTGACATTGCCGTCGACTGGCGACGTGATGGTGGTCAGATTGACCGAGGTGGAGGGGAACTGGGCGGCTGCGAAGGTAGAGAGCAGGGCGGCTCCGGCGAGGACAGCGTGAGAGAGGCGCATGGTGAGATGTCCTGCATCGTGACCTGGGCGCATCCTCTGTCGTCTGGGTCGGACGACGGGGCTCGTGTTGTTGTGGCTGCTGTCCCGTCGCTGCCGAGGTCCGATTCGAACGCCCGCGTTATGGTGCGGGTGTGCGGACTGGGCTCCGAATGGGATTGTTGAAGACTAATGGAGGAATGACGCCGAACAGACGAGGAGGAGGGTGTGGAATGGAGGAGCGACAAAGCTGCCGGGACGGGGATCGGGCGGGAGAGGAATGTTAACGTTTTCAAGGTTCGCAGTTCCCGCTGGGGCAGCGGCTTGGCAGACGAGCCCCTGCATCATCCTGGTGCTAATTTTACAGCAAGTTCCCCCAGTTGAACAGCGCGGCACAGGCCTGTCGAGACGCACGCGGCCCGCCGCGTGTTTGCGACAACGGGATCGTCTTACAGGTGCCGGGATCCGAGGGGCGCACTCACTCAGTGGTCGCAAGTCACTGACTTAGGTGGGTAGGTAGGTAGGTAGGTTCTCGTACAGGTATGTACACCAACTATTGTAGGTAGTCAGCATCGCAACCGCCTTTCAAATTCCCGCATCCACCCCGGGAGTTGGTTTGGAGATGCCGCTTTACCCGCAGCGATCCCGGAGACGAGACGAGGCCGTTCGTCCCATCCCGTCGCGTGACTGACAAACAAGCCCCGGCTGGGCCACGGACAGACGACCAATGTTGCTTGAAATGGGCCGAACCTTATAGGTAATTAATTGTCGGGATCTGTAGCCCAAGTCAAAGATTGGCACGGGATGCGTTTGTCATTCTGGAAACACAATACTTTCCTTACACCGCCCCGACTTTTACAGCCAATTTGTTCCAATTTCGACTGCCCCCGATGGAAGATACCTTTTTCATGATGCTGCACTGCACTGCACCGCACTGCACTGCCCCCGCACTCTGCAGTTGCTGATACAACAGGGTAGCGGTTAACAGGCAGACAGATTGCGGGTCAAACCTTAGCATCTCAGACTATCTCAAAGTACTGACCCACCTCCTCTTAAGTCACAAATTCTCCACACCACCAACTTCATCTACTAACTTCAAATCTTTAACTCCTAAGTCAACAAAAAGAAAAAAAAAGCTTTTTAATTAGTATAGTCTATAGTATATATACTTTTGTTTAAGGGGTAAGTCTCTAGGGGTAAATTTCTCTAAAAAGTTAATTTATGCTATTATATTCTAGATGCACCTTAAGCTTATAGAGATATCTCTGTTTTCTTCTTTTTTCTGTAGGAAAAGGGTAAGCTGGTCTGTGCGTAGGTCTGTGCAGGATTAAGCGAGAGACTTCAAGAGGTACTTTGATGACTTAAGTGCTGCCCCGCAATCTGTCTGCCTGTTAACCGCTACCTACAACAGGCATCCGGCTCTGTTTAACACCAAAACGGCTAAGGTCATCGCCAATGGCTCCCCAAAATTGCCAGGAACCGGTGCGGCTGAAGGTCGCCATCCAGGGGTGCTGAGTTCCCATGGCTGACGCAACTTTTCATGCTTTTCTTCGACCCAACTCTCAACCATTGACCTTGCTCAGGAACTCCCTTTGGCCTCCAAGACACTCGTTATCCCTGGGCCAATCCGAGACCCGCGGTTTCCACCCTCAATGGCCGACTCCGGCACCGGCTCCGGCACCTCCGCATCCGCCTCGGACATCATCACTTACATCGGCGTTCCTCTCGCCGTCCTCGGCGTCCTCCCCATCCTCTACAACACCGTCGTCACCCTCGCCGCCCGCTCCCGCATCCGCCGCATGCTCCGCCATGCCCGCCTGACCGCCCTGACCCGCTCCGACATTGTCAACCGCGTCATCGAGGTCGACCTGCCGCGCTACGCCATCATCCCCTGGGACCGCTTCGACCACCGCGAACAGTACTGGTCCCTCTCCCGCCACCCCTCCTCCATCCCTGGCGGGTCGTGGACCATCTTCAACTGGCGGACCAACACCATCGGCCTCAAGACCCAGAGGGTTGAGTATGCCGACCAGCTATGCCTGCCCCAGGCCGACATCAACTTCGAGGACCTGGTCTCGTACCTTCTGGACCTTGGTGCCGTCCCCGATGCTCACGGATGGAGATTGCTCAGAACTACGGGGTTATGGACCCCCGTCGGCTGCACTCTGATGCACAGCCCGGATGGTCAGCACAAGGCCCTTGCCATTGCGCCTCTGAACGACTCAGACGGCCATCTCTCGTTATCTGTAACCTGGTCCTCCCACTGGACCACAAGAAGCCATCAGTCTCTACCGCCTTATTGGCTCCGTCTTCCTCCGCCTCCCGAGGTCTCTCCAACCGACCCCGAACCCGAACCGGCTGAGGGTGCCAAAGAGCCACACTCCCCGGCATCCTCTCTCTCCAGCATATCCCGCGCCGTCAACGCCGCCGCTAAATCCCCAATCGCCTGCAAGCTCTCCTCCCACGGCCTCATCGCCGCCCACTCCGAGGTCGAGGGCCGCCCCGCCACGCCCCTGCACATTGACCACGTCCGCGTCCGGCCGGGCCTGTCCGCCGGCGTGTGGTTCGCGAGCGCCGCCACAGCCTACGGCACTTCGAGTACCACCGTCCTCTGGAGCTACACCATCCCAGACGACGTCCTGCGCTTCGCCCGCGCTTCCTCCGTGCCCTGCGGCGTGCTCGAGCTCCTGGGCCTCGTCGACGCGTCCCAGACCCCCGAGTGGGCGAGCTCGCACGATGACATGCGGGACAACCTCGACCTCGTGAGCCGGCGGATGCGCGAGCAGCGCAACGCCATGGCCGCCGAGTCGAGGATGAGCCCCAAGGACAAGGAGCAGGCCGTCCGCGACCGCCTGCGGAAGGAGGCAGAGCAACGTCTAGATGACCGTAGGTCCTCCCCAAACCCCCCTTCCATCACCACCACCACCACCTTCTCCTCCTCCCCCCTCCTCATATCCCAGCCCTGACCTCTCAACATCTCCATGACTCTTATTCTGACGCCGCTGCAGTCAAAGACAAGATGCGCCTCGATGTCCAGCGCCGCGACCTCCGTACCCACGAGGCCATCCAGTCCCCTAAATGGGACGCCGCCCTCGTGGCCTCCCACGCCCTCCCCTGGCTCCGGCAGCACGGCCACCTCGCCCCCGAGACCGCCGCCGACCCCCGCGCCGCCGCCGCCTCCCTGCTGCACCGCATGCTCCGCGACGGCGCCTTCGCCGCCCAGACGGCTGCCGTGCTCGACGCCTGGAAGGCCTGGACCGACAACGGCGGGATGCGCAAGGCCGACCTCGAGGCGCTGCGCGAGGCGCCCGCGCCCTTTGCGCTCGCGAGCCTGCTCGTCGCCGTCATTCAGGGCGCGGGCACCGCGGCCGAGGGCGGGCCGAGCGTGGATCTGCAGGAGTGCCTGGGCATGTGGCGACAGGTGAGGTTAGGTTAGCAGTGGGTGTGGTTTGTTGTGTGTTAGTCCGTGATACCCGTTGGTTTTGCTTAATGATGTACGGTATGGAATGCTCAGTACCTTTTACGCTGTATGGATACGGAGGCGTCACAACGGTCAAATGCAAAATGAAAAGAAGTTTGAATTCCACTGGTGGCCGTGCAGTCCCGATTCCTATAATTTCAAACTCGTTGTGACTTCCAGCCCAAGCGACCCATCTATGATCGATACCCCTTATGTCCTAATCCTTGTTATCCCAGCGAATCCAATCCAATTCCCAACTCCGTCGCTCCAAAATCAAAATGTAAAACATCACTCCCGCGATCCCATTATAGCGGCATGAGCCAGGCCCTGCTACAGCTCATCATCCTGCTCCGAATCAAATATAATGTCATCCTCGTTCTCCCGGCCCTCTGGCAACAAACTCTCGGGCAGCATCTGGCTCTTAGACAGCAACTGAGACGAGTCCAGCTGGAACGTGCCGGACGGCAAGCGAATTGGACTATCATCATCGTCGTCCACGAAGATGGGCAGACTCGAGTCCGCGTGTGTGGGCCGTGGCACCGACTTGGACGACGACTGCGATGGGCTCGACGCCTGACTGGCCGTCGTTGCCTGCGAAGGCCGCACCACGCGGCGGGGTGTGGGTTTGGACGGCCGGCTGAAGGGCGTCGGCGGCAAGGCCGGCTTGGTGAGGTGGAGCTCCGTGCCGAACTTGCGCCGACTTTTGGTCGGTGTCTGGCTGGATGGCACCAGCAGGTCGGCGTCCGATGAGGGGTGTTGGGTCGAGTGCTCGATATCGCTCCGGATCTGCTCAGCCAGTTCCTGTGATATCGTGGGATCCTGCGAACGCCCACCTCCAGCAGCCGGTAACGATCCACCCCTACCGGTTTCAGGCTCGGCCTCATCCTCCTCGTCTTCATCGTCTCCAAGAACGGAGCATCGCAGGTTGGCCATCAAATGCCCAACGACGGCCGGCGGCACGTAGGTGTACTTTTGTGGCGGTCCATGCAGGTAGTCCCGATCCATCATGTACTGGAGAGACATTGGATCGTTCAGCTCGTAGAGTTTGTACAGATGATAGGCAAACTTGGAGCCTTTCTTCTGATTAAACTCGGCGTTGCCGATGCCGTCTTCATCGATCTCGCCCGGTGACTTTGCGTCACTGAAGCATGCCATGTATTTCAGCTCTGCCACCGGTTGAGTGATGTAGAGCCACATGCGCGAGACGGTATGCGGGATCTTGTAGTTGCGGAACTCGTGGTTCTTCCTCCCGGACACAATCTCCTCCATGTGTTCAGGGTGTATTGAGATGAAGATGTCGGTGCGATCGCCCTGGGGGCCCATGCCGTTGATAACATCTCGAGGGAGTCGCTGACTCTCCAATCCTTGGGTGTGAGGCGTCTTTGGCGTCTCAACAAGGCCCCGTCCTTTGGTCTTGGGTGTTTTCTGGCTTTGCGTGGGTGTCTGACAAATAGACTCGTCATTTGTCTCCCCGCTTGCTTCATCAATACTCGAGTCACTATTGCGGGTAGGCTCAGGAGAAGACGTAATGACCTCGACGGTCTCCCTGCGATCTGACGCGGTCGAATCCAGGCGTCCTAGCTCGGGGAACACGAACGGCTTCGACAAAACCACCGTAGCTTCTTCCTCGTCCTCCTCGTCGGCAGAAGGGGCGACATTCTCCTTATCAGAGTCGCCGTCATCTGCAGGGGATGCCTCCTTGGAAGCCTGCTTCTCTTCCGACGAAGCAAGCAGCTGATTCATCTGGAGCTGGGTTTCTTCACCGACAGCGTCGTATCCTTCAGCCTCTTCGTCCAGGATTTCAAGATCTCCGGATTCATCCTCAGAGTCGGCAATCTCGCGTAAAGGTGACCTCGGGGGTCGGCGGGGCGACGGGCTAATATCACGTCCTTCCTGTTCTTCGCTGTCCGTCTCTTCCTCTTCCGCCGCCTCCTCCGTCGGAGGTTGGCTGGCTGTGGGATGCGGCGTGATAAAACGAACATTCTTGGCGGGCTGCAGTGGCACTTTGGAAGGAGAGGTGAACTGCTGACTTGAACCCTGGCTGCCTGTGGTCGCGTAGGAATCCTGAACTGTAAGAGTTCGTGGACGTTTGACAGATCCGGTAAGCTTTGGCAGCGGGGACATTGTGTTCGTTGACTTGTCTTTCAAGGGAGACCTCCTTGGCGCCGGGCTATACCTAGCCAACATGGGAGTGAGCGGGCTGCCTTGCGACGATGGAATCTCGAGAACGATGCGCTTGTTTGTTGGGGTTTGTGGAACAACGGACGGCGTCCTGCTTGGGGCATTCTTGCCGGACAACAGGTTCTCCTTATCGTTGGCCGAAGGAAGCACTGGTGGGCCGTTCTCTGTCTCATCATCCGATGACTGGAATTGCCATACATCTTCCTCTTCTTCCTCGACTGGGGATTTATCTGAAGATCTCCGCGACATCTGCGTCAAGGTCTGCGTGTGAAAGGAAGAGCTCGGTGTCGGTTCATCCCCCATGGTCTTTCTCCTCTTCTTCTTGGGCGCGGGGGTTTCTTCATCGTCGGATAGGTCTAAGCGCACGGGCGATGAGCGCGTGGTCTCGAACATCTGGGTCAAGGTCTTTTGCTGGTGATTGGGGATACGGGCGGTGGGCTTGCGGGCACTGTAGGTTCGCACTTCTGTTCGTCGATGCGGGAACTTTGCTTGCTTAGCCGGCTTGACGGACTTATAGACTCGGTCTGGAGGAGGGGCAGCTGTAACCCGTCCGCCGGAGCGGGTCTGTGGTGGCATGATGGACGGTTGGTGGAGTTGTCACTGGTGGGAGCTTTGCGTGATGTGATGACTCCCAGATCGTATGGATCGTCGAATGAGCAATGGGTGGAACGTTGAACCTGCGCGCAGGATAGGGGCCAACTCAGGTGGTCGAGAGCATGCTGACTAGTCCTTGTGCGGTTCGAAGGGCGCGTCGCGTAGTAAGTGGGATCGATTTACGCGTGTAGCTGGCGTGTCGGACGTGGTGACATCTGACATCACATGTATAAAACGGGGCGGCGGGGAAATGCATGTGAGTGCTGGGACGCCCGCTTAAGTAAATCCAAGACACCTGCACAATTTTTCGACTCGTTGCTGCAATCACGCCTTTGGGTGTGGCAGATTTCGTTGACAACACTATGGCACATTGTGTGTTTCATGAATTAAGGGGACAGCCGCTTGCGGCCGAAGTCCATGAATGTATAACTATTTCATATCATTTCACGACGGTGTTTATGCACAACATACTCTGAGTGGTTGAAGAATAGTAGTGGTTTGGAATTCTTAGTGGGTTCCAAGCTTCTGCTCTGACCCTGGTATCCAACTTGTAATGTACGCCCAATCCTCACGCCCAATGCTTGAATGCAATACACTCTTTCATACACCGCGCCCAGCGTGTATGTCTTCTTCATCACACTTTATTACGCGACCTAGCCTCCCTCTCGGCTGGTGTTGTGGTGTGTATGGTTCGCGACTCTGAGGCCAAACCTAAGCCCACAGCCTGATGTGAATGTTATTTGATCGAAATAGAGCCAGCTCAAGAGACTGCCTGACGATATAAGTCTTGGTCGGCATGTTACGAATCAAAACTTTGTTCAGTGAATATTTGTACAGGAGTCGTTTGGTGATTTGTGTGGTTGTGTGAGGCCATCCAAGGCAAGCGCCTCCTCAAAGCCTTTTCCTGGTGATACGTCGGAGAAAGCGTCTCAACTTGGACTTGGACTTCGTTAAAGAGTTGTTCGAAACCAATGAGACCGAAGATTGGGCGGAGATGGCCTCAAGGTGATAGTATTGCTCGATGTAGTCATCGATGAAGTCCTCAAGAGTAACGTCGTCAACGGCGAGGTCAAGGACGTGGTTCTGATAATATTGGGTTTTGGCCTCGTATCTCAAGTTTGCCATCTTGTCTGCCGACAAAAGCTGGGAAGTTGAAACAGTGAATGCGGCCATCTTCTAGCGTGTGAGATAATCTTTTTTTACTCGGTGACTTGGCTAGACGAGGGTTCCTTTTCTTCTTCTTCTTCTTCTTCTTCTTCCTCTTCAAGAAAGGTCAAGTAAGTATCGCTGCTGTGACTGGAGCAGAAAGGAAGGATGGGATGGGGGGAAGAAACAAGGGTCTTCTGGGGGCTCAAGAAATGCTTTGAAGGTAGAATCGGTGGGAAGAGTCACGAGCAGTACCAAAACCCAACGGTTGGTGAACCGTGGTTGGAATTGAGGTTAGTTTACGATGGCAAGTGGCCCATCTCCGAAAATACGCCCCGGCCACAACTCTCACGATACTTTGGGTTTATGGTTATGAGAAACCTGGCAAAAGCCATAGTTAACCACGCTTTTTAAGCGTTTGGCACAACCGCCTAAGGAGCAGGCGGACAGTTCAGCCATGATGGTTGTACAGCAAAGAAGATTCTAGAGTCAGTTATATACACATCAGAACCTTCTGATTTATTTCTTGGGCTCCTCCTTCTTCTCCTCAGGCTTCGCCGTCGGCAGCTTGAAGGTGTCCGGGCGTCTGTCCGTGCCAGGTCCAACCTGCTCCCAGGCGCTGCTGCCGCCCTCGAAGTTGCGGAAAGCCTGGGTCAGCTCAAGAGGCTCGGTGACGATGCGCTTCTTCTCCTCGTCGTATCTGATCTCAGTGTAGCCGGTAAGGGGGAAGTCCTTTCGCAGGGGGTGGCCCTCGAAACCGTAGTCGGTCATGATTCTGCGCAGATCGGGGTGGTCGGTGAAGAAGACACCGAAAAGGTCGTAGACCTCACGCTCGTACCAGTTGGCTCCGTCGAAAAGGGGAGTGACACTGGGGACGGGCGAGGCCTCGTCGGCGTACGTCTTGACGCGAATGCGCGAGTTGTGGCGGACACTGAGGAGGTTGTAGATGACCTCGAAGCGCTGGTCCCGGGTCGGGTAGTCAACCGCAGTGATGTCGCTAATCTGAGTGAACTCGGCCGAGGTGTTGTCTAGCGACTGTTAGATGTGAATTGGGCTACGTCATGGACAATTGACACGTACACTTGAGGAACGACATGATGGGAATGATTCCCGAGGGAGAAACGTAGATAGTGAGCTCGTCTTTCCAGACCGAGATCTGCTGGACGTACTTGGGCAAGCAGCCCATGATCCAAGATCCGTACTTGTGCAGGTTTTCGGCCTTGGAGCCGTACTTGTCGGCCGGGTTGACGAGAGGGGCTCTGAGGGTGCCGACGTGCTGGCGAGGCGACTTCCTCATGTTTTCGGCATCCTTAGGAAGCCCGGTCGGGAAGCCGGCCAATTGAGGGATGGAGGTCGAGAAGCAGCGAATCTCACTGGGGCGGCAGTTGCGCAAGCCCGCCAGAGCTCTACCACGATAGAGCTTGGTCGCCATCGTTGCCGTTGTTGCAGTGCTGGGGGGCTTGATGCCTCTGAGGAAGTGGTGATTGATGATGCTGTGCTTCTGTGATATGCTTGGGGAATGGAAAGAAGCTAGCCGGTTTAGGTTCACCCCCGGGGGCCCTGCTTTTGCCTTTCCCTGCTGCTTGAAATCTGGAAGGCTTATGTCTCTCAGTGCCCACTTGCAATTCCATATACCAAAATACTGTCAAAGGTCCTGGTACAGTTTAAACCCATAATTCTATCGAGCCGCCACACGCCTAAAATATCATCTTTCATATCATTTCAAAAGTCCATGTATTTGCACATGATCTCTGACGCTATGTCTTTCTTCTTCTCCGGGAATCTAGACAAACGGGGAGGGTCTCCCTAGACTCTGCTGACTTGCACCATTCTGAGCCTTTTGATTGGCCCACAAATCGGAATCTCACGGGGATCACGTGATGATGTCTGTGGGCCTCTGCTTCTTACCTAAGGTGCCAAACCTACAGACGACCCAGCCGGCAAAGGCTTTGGCTTCATTTGCGTATTGAACAACTTCCCTCTCCTTACCACCTCCACCCAGAAGCATACGAGCAAACCTCGCACAGAACACACTTACACCGCCCCAGATTGTCACCATGGCACCCCAAGATACTTTTATCGACGAGGAGGAAGACACATGGTCAGTCGCTCCCCTCCCTCTCATTTCGCGCCCATCGCAAAATTGCAAAGGCTTTCCAGTATTGGGCATCGTGAACTGACTTGCCATTCCACAGTCCGCTATGTATCGAAGAGTTCGACCTGTCCGATCGGAATTTCCGACCTTGTCCATGCGGCTACCAGGTACGGCAGCCCCTCGATCCGCCCGTCCTAGTTCCCGCCGGCGACCATCGATTTCTGACTGTTTCATAGGTGTGCCAGTTCTGCTTCAACAACATAAAGAACAACATGAACGGCCTGTGTCCCGCATGTAGAAGACCGTACGATGAAAAGACGATACAGTGGAAGGTTGTTACCACGGAAGAGTGCGTAACCTAATTAACCCCTTTGGGGCTGCCACGGTGACGCCACGCTGACAAAGTTTTAGGGTTGCCGAGTTTCGAGCAAATATTCAGAAAAACCAAAAGAAGCGAGCCCAAGACCAGAAGCAAAAAGAGGTTCAGAAGCGCGAGGTCGAGAAGGAGAGCCGCAAGAATCTCGTCGGCGTCCGGGTCGTTCAGAAGAACCTGGTCTATGTAACTGGTCTGACACCTACAGTACGAGAGGACGAACTACTCAAGACGCTGCGCAAACCCGAGTTTTTTGGTCAATACGGCAACATCCAGAAGATCTCGATTAGCAACCGGAAGACGTCGGACGGCCAAAACTCGCTCGGGATTTATGTGACTTTCGAGAAGAAGGAGGACGCCCAACGGTGCATTCAGGCCGTCAACGGTTCTCAGAACGGTGATCGCGTACTGAGAGCCCAACTGGGCACGACAAAGTACTGCTCGGCGTGGTTGCGGCACGAACAGTGCGCCAATAGGCAGTGTATGTTCCTGCATGAGTTGGGCGACGAGGAAGACAGCTACACTCGGCAGGACTTGTCTTCGATGAACAGCATCAGCTCTCAGCGGCCGCTGCCGGGTGGCTCCTCATCCAACAGCGGCGGCGGACCGTCGCGCGCTGCATCACGGCAACAGAACACCACGCCCTCTGTGCCTGCGGCTCCGCAACCCATGGCGCGATCGTCGAGCAAAGAGGGATCCGAGAACGGTGGTGATGGCCCGGCTCTGCCAGCATCGGCCAACTGGGCGAGAAATCCTCAGCCCAGTCGCAGGGGAAGCCACGCCACTAGTGGCGCCGCCTCCAGCCCTGCAATTTCGACAGCTCTCCCCGCAACCGCTGAGGCAGTACCCGAGGCTATTGATGAGACGCCCTCGAGAAAAGAGTCCCCTGCACCTGCGACCGAGAGCAAGGCCTCCAAGTCCCCCACCACAGCTGACAGCAGAAAATCCAACAGTCTCCCGGAGAATCTTCTTAAGGGACTCCTCAAGGCCATGCAGGGTTGTCCTTTCAGATACCATGCGCCCGATACGAACCAGATCGAGACGATATACCCCCCCATGTTCGATATCCGCGGAGGCGAAAAGAGACGAGCTATGCGTGAGGAGGAAGAGGCACGCTTGGGCGTTGACCAGGAGCAACAAAGCGATGCACAGGAAGCCTCGGAGGGCGAGCCAGAGACGGGAGGCAGCCTAGTACTCGGCGGCGAGCCTGAGGATCGGGATGCCGCTCGCGACGTCGCATTCGAGCAGCGTCGACCTGGAACCCAGCCGCCTATCCAGCGTGCCAACGGCGATGGTCTCTTCGGCCCTGCACTTGGCTCAGGGTTCGGCCAAGCGTCCGTATCTGGTGGTTCCGTCGGCGGTAGCCGCTCGATGACGCCTCAGCAACAACTCTTCGTCCGGTCCCAGAGCGGTTTTGGTGATCATTTGCCCCCGGGCATCGCAACTGCGCAGCCTTCGGCGGTTCAGCAACAAGGTGGCAGCCACAACAGACAAGGTTCGAGGTTCAGCTTTGCTAATGACAGCGCGGGCACTTCAGCTTCAGTCAAGGTTGCCGCGAACCCGAGAATCATGGCGCAACAGACGGCCATGATGCCGTCAGCTTTCCACTCGCAGCCCGGTAGCCAGTATTATGCATCCTCCATGCCCGGACCTCCTCCGGGTCTCAAGTCGACAGGCACGCCACCCAACATGTTTGGACAAGGCCACTCGTTCGGTGGCAGCTTCGGTGCGGCCTCAAAGGATTCCGCCGAGCTTCTTCAGACGTTGATCCGCGGTCGGGGAGCCAATGGTCAGGGTCATGATGCTGGTAAGCGTGAGTACATGTTATCTTCTTTCTCTAATCAGTATCCATCCTCTACCTCCTCCACCCCAGCTCCTGCTTCGGGCCTCCTGGCGTCGCTCTACGGTAACCAGCCTGGAGCATTCCAAGACTTCGGTCCCAAGCAGAAGAAGAAGGGGAAGAAGCACAGACATGCTAACACTTCCTCCTCTGGGGGAGGTGGCTTAGTGGATCTTGCGGACCCGAGTATCCTGCAAGCGAGAATGCAACACCAGTCGCAGAGCAACGCCGGAGTCGGACAGGGACTGTTCGGTGGACAGAGCCAAGGTGGGTACAACCCGAACATGATGTACAACACGCGCTTCCCCGGCGCCGGGTGGTAGCTTTTTCAGAGAGACAGCGCGATAGACTAGGGGCTTGATGTTTGTCGTTTACGGCTTTTGTTTTACACACACGCATACACACACACACACTTCATGTATCATGAGAAGCGAGGGCGTCGCGGCACATCACGGGCGGACGACGGCCCTTGGAAGGGGGCCGGGAGCGCACCGCACACATCATGCATTGATTCAGCGAGCATCGCGGAAAATATCAGGGGCCGCTCAGGGGAGTGGCAAGGGTTGCATTTGGCGTCGCGCTTCACACGTTTTCTTATGGGCAAACAAGGACCGACACCTACACGCGTCCCGGCACATTATACCTCTTTCTTCATTGGGACTCGCACGTCATGGATCATGGGTCACGTCAGTCAGGCAAGCCATCATCGTCTTCCGAATCGCCTTAATGTACGTTAACTCGCAGACCATCCTCCGGTTATGAGGATGGTGGGTGGCATAAGGAACAATATAGCATTTTGCTCACACCTATCGCTCGTTGTCCCCGCAAAACCATCAAGGAAGACGATGATGGCAGCCGTGAAGTGTTCCTGTAATCCGCACCCCTGTATATAAACGTTGTCTCTCGTGCTACCATGCTCTGGCATCTCTTTCCTTCTTCTCTCTTGCATCGGTTATTCGACGTCGCTCTGGGGAACCCCTGGCTAACTGGTTCCCTAGATGACGAGTTACTCTCACTCGACGAGGCTGCCTTCTTCTCGGTTGATGCACTGGTATCTGACGACCCTCTGCCGAGCCATGTTGGGACGATAGGGGGGTTAGCAAGGCCAGCGGTCCCAACACCGCCGCCTGGTCTCGGTCACCTTTCAAGAACGGCATCACCGGCTCCGCGGCAAGCGCCCATTCCGGTGGTACCTGCTACTCCACTTACGCCTGCTGCCCCGAAGCCTGCGGTTCCGACCATGGCCAACATTGTTCGGACGTCGTCCCCGGACCAGACCCCCCATAAAAAGGCTGCCGGGACGGAGGCCAAGAAGAATATCAAGGCTTTGGCAGTCGAGAGTGGCCTGTCCAAAGACATCGCGTCGCAAGCATCTCCGTCCAAGGGCAAGCCTCTGTTACATGAAGAAGATTTCCCTGCGTTGGATGCCGTCAAGGGGATTTCCACGCGGCCTGGCACACCGTCCAGGTCTGCCGTTGCAACACCAAAGATTGCTCCAGCCAGCATCAAGAAGCCCCAACAAGAGGCACCAACTGCAACTCCGACCCCGTTGGCCGAGGCGCCCAAGCCCATGTCCAAGGCTGCCGAGAAGAAACCGATGCCGGGCGTCTTGAACATTGCCGCGGCCACCAAAGCGGCTCAGTCGAAGCAGCCAGAGGCAGGTACGGCAGAACAGTCGGAATCGTCCGCATTCCCCGCCTTGCCAACTCCGACAACTGCCAGTGTCGCATCTCCCATTACGAGAGCTGCACCTAAGACTCTACGTGTCGTCTCGACTCCGAAGGCGGAAGTACCACCGGCCCTGCATTCTGGCACCGCCTCCGCTGCCGCCAGAGCCGTGTCTACCGCTCACGGTCGGCCCGGAACACCAGCGAGTGAGATCATCAGCGACAGTGCATCCATCGTATCGGCATCTGTTTCTGCATCCCGCACGAGTTCGCCTCCTCCCACCAGGATCGGGACAGCGCCCGTCCGCACTACGACGAAGAGCCAGCAGCGTAAACAACGCAAGGAGGCCCACAAGGAACAATCGGCCACCATTGCTGTGGTGCCGAAAGTAGCGGAAGCCGAGGAGCAAGCGCCCATCATTGGTCGCAAGAAGAAACAGAAGAAGGAGAAGCCGGTCACCACACCCCCGGCAGTGCCTAAGAAAGCTGCCGAGCGCGCAGCGACGCCGCCTCCCCCGCCGAAGGAGCCTACCCCTCCTCCCAAGCCCGTCGTCGAGACAACGATCGTTGATCTGCCACCTCCAAAGGGCAAAGCTGCCAAGAACGCCGCTAAGATGGCAAAGGCAGCCGAAGAGAAGGGTAAGAGCAAAGAGGCACCTGCGACAACTACGCCTTCGCCTCCAGCGCCGACTGCCGTCGCGGCGCCCGAAGAGTCGCAAGACATTGGAGACAACCCCAAGACCATCCCGGAAGTCGTCTTCCAGGACCTTGTCAGTGCCGGTGAGGCTCCTCCTCCCGACGCCCTTGCGCTGCTCAAGCCGCTCGCCGAGCAGAACACCCGCATTGATCGAGCGCATGCCGCTGCGGCGCATGGCACCAGCCCGCCTCCGTCGACCGCAACTAAGAATATGATCGCGGAAGCAGACCACGCCGTTCTTATGACAGGCCAGCCGGTTCGTAAAGTGATTGACGGCCACCGCGTGCTCATCACGCCCAACGGTGACTGTGTCCGCAATCTCACCGAGGAGGAGGAAGATAGATACCTGGAGCTTCAAAAGCGTGTTGCCGTGGCCAGCGAGCAGCCCGACAGTTTTGTTGCACCCCGCCACCAAGCTCGCCCTGGTGGCTTCTCCCTCATCAAGGGACGTGCTGTGCCCAACGGGCCTCCGTCATACTTCCCGCCATCCCCCAACGCACAGAAAATGTTCTCCGACGACCCGGTCAACAAGATCCAGCGCGAGGAGGCCATCAGCTACATCAACCAGTTTGTCCTGCCACGACTCAACCTCGGCAACACCAACTTGTTCCCGGGCAGCTGGAAGTCTGCGCCGGGCGCTAAGGATGCTCTCTCGGCGCGTGAGACCGCTGCTGCCAGCCTCAACTCGCTTGCTCCCTACATCTACGGCCATGACGCCGCCGCCGGAGCGGGCATATACTCGGCCGAGAGCGGCGGTTCGGGCAAGGACATTCCCGAAGACGAGACGCCCTTTGGCGGCCTGGACTCGCCGCACCACCAGGGTAGCGAGGTCGCCGTCGCGAGCGCCTCGGCCTCTGCCGCGGCTGCTGCTGCCGCGCAGGCCCATGCCCACGGCGGCAGCGCGCACCCCAAGCTCCCCGGCACGCCTCTTAATGCCATGTCGCTTATGAGCGTCGAGGACGCAGAGACGGCGCTGGGGCTGGCGCGCAAGGAGACGGAGAAGCTCGAGAAGGGTCTGAACCAGGCCATTAAGCGTAACCGGAGACTGCTTCTCGGCGGCAGGTGACTAGCCGTGAGTCTGATCGAGTTTGTCGAGAGGGCTATCGTGGCCGTGGCAATGCAGACGCTGGTGTTGGGGGTTGGTGTGGTTGGCACCGTCGTGGATCTCCTGTGGGATGCTGGAGGGGTGCGCTGGTAACTTCCGTCATGCGTCTCGGAAAACTTCGGCTTCGTGTTGCGTTTGACCGTCGTGATGGGCGGGGGCATTGCATTGGTACGATATGGAGGGGACGTTCAGGATACTTTCTTCGGCGCGTTCGGCAGGGCTTTTTATGACATGCACAAGGAATAGGTTATGTGTGCTTCCGGTTGAAGGATATGCTGTACTACTACTGTACATGTTGTTATTTGTACCCTTTACGGCCGCCCACGGGACGGGACGAGACGGGACGGTCGGGCACATTCGAGGAGTGGGATGGATGAAGCTTAATGACACTGATACCCCTTTGCGACGATAATGAGCTTTCAAGTCTTTTTCCCGGGTGTGAACGTGCTGTGCACGGGCATTGCTTGGGGCTACAGAAGATTCTTGCCTCTTTCCTCCATCCTATCATTCCTTTCTACTCCATTCCCAGCAGCTATATACTGACCGGATGGAGTACGTAACCTACGTATGCTGTTGTATGCTGATGCAGAGTTTGTACTTCTAATGCGCCTGGTTCGATACACATCATCGGATATAGACAGATGTTGTTACATGCAGTATATAGCAAATAACGTAAAAGATGAAAATGCTCAAATAAGAAAGTAGCAAACGCTGCCGGGGTATCACTCGCGAGACGTCTCCCGCACCTCGTTCCGCCCCTTCTTTTCGTCGGCCAGGTGGCGCTCCCTGTCCGCCGCGCTCTTCCTCTCCAGCTCCTCGTGCCGCACGACGTCGAGCTCGTCCCGCAGCTTGGCGATGAGCTTCGACAGGATCCACTCGCTCTCCTCCTGGCTTCCCATCAGCGGCGACTGCGGCCCGACCCAGGACCACTTGTCATCGAGATGCCACTTGCCTTCCACGTCGTTGTCTGCGTCGCCGCTCTTCTTCTTCTTCCTCCTTCTTTCGTTGTTGTTGCTGCTACTGCTGCTGCTGCTGTTGTTGCTGTTGTTGCTGTTGTTGTTGTTGTTGTTGTACTTGCCCGACTTCTTGCCGTGGATATGCGGGCGCGCCTTGCGGTGCATCTCGGGGTTGGACTCGTCCTCGCCGATGAGTTTGAGGTACCACGCCCACTCGGCAAAGGTGTACCGCCGCGGGGGCTTCTCTTTGGTGTGCTGCTGGACGGTGGCGATCTCGGAGATGAGGAGGAAGTGGTAGTCCGCGCGGGAGGCCGGGAGGGGGGTAGTCGGGGAGCGGCGGCGGCTGCGGCCGGGGGGGGCAGGCTCGCGCTGGGCGGGTTGTTTCTCGCGGAGTTCGTGGTCCGGCGACGATTGCTGGGTGCTGTGTGAGCGTTTGAGCCCGGGCGCGGACGAAGGCTGAGGCCCGCGGGAGTTCGCTTCCGTCCTGTCGGATTCGTCGTCTTTTTCGAAGAAGGACTGGCGTCGACGGTGGGAGTTGGAGAAGAAGCCTGCCGGCAGCCCGTTGTCCTCTTCCGAGTCCTCGGTCTGCGTCTCCTCTTCCTTCTCGGAGGGGCGGAAGACGGCGCCGCAGGAGAGGTGGTGGAGAAAGGACTTGAGGTCCCTGCGGAAGCCGCGCTCGCCGGGCAGGATGGTGATGTTGCCCAGCTCGAGGGTGGCGTCGCGGACGGCCTTGACGACGGTGTCGCCGGCGTTTGAGATCATGACGGTCATGGTGGGAAGGGCCAGCAGGGACCAGAAGACGAAGAAGGCCTTGCCAGCGTTGGAGACGGGGGTGCGGTCGCCGTAGCCGATGGTGGTGAGGGTGACGAAGGCGAAGTAGAAGCCGTCGAAGTACGACCAGTCCTGGTAGGCCCGTTCGCACTCCTGGAAGATCTTGGCGCCGACGAGCCAGAGGATGAGCACGGAGGAGAGGGAGATGGACATGGCCATCCAGCGGCGGCGGATGGAGGCCTCGTTCTGGATCTTTCGCATGAGGTTGAACTCCCTCTCACGGCGCTCCAGTTCGGCACTGCGCGTCGAGGAGGGCTTGGTGGACGGGGCAGAAAGATCGGAGTCCTCATGGATGGGCTTGAGGACATCGTCCTTACCTTTGCGGATCATCTTGCGGATGAGCTGGCGGCGCTTCTTCTCGACCATGCGGGCGTCAAGGCGGCGGCGGCCGCGCTCGAGGACGAGGCTTCGGATGGAGCCGACGACGAGACCGAGGCTGATGACGCCGACGAGGGCGTAGGGAATGAGCAGGGCGCGACCGAGGTGGGTGGCGGCGGCGAAATCGCCGAAGCCGACGGTGAAGAGGGTGACGTCGGCCCAGTAGACGGCGTCGAGGTAGGCCCAACCCTCAATGGTGGAGAAGACGAGGGCGCCGAGGAGGAGGTAGAAGAGGAAGAGGATGGTCTGCAGCATGAGGGTGCGCTGGGCGGGGGAGAGCTGGAAGTCCTCGGAGTAGTGGCGGGTGTAGGCGCCGTAGACGGTGACGACCATGAGAGAGGCGGTGAAGAAGTAGAGAATGGCGGCGAACATGCCGTAGTAGAAGGCCTGGGAGAGGATGTACTCGTCGGCGGGCTTGAGGACGAGCGGCCCTGAGGCGGTGGCGTTGAGGGCGATGAGGCAGACGGCCGAGACGTACCAGCCGGCGATGGTGATGGGCTGGGCGAGGGAGAAGCGCACGCGGCGGGCCATGTTGAGAAGGAGGAAGACATTGGAGATGAGGGCTATGATGAGCTGGATGGCATTGACGATGATGAGCCTGCGGGCGGGGCTGGCGTCAGTCTCGTCATACCGACTGTTACATCCTTTCCACATCACACTCTCTTACACCAAGGGAACAGGAACAGGACAAGAAAGACACCGGAGGGAACGGGGGAAGCGTACCATTTCGGGTCTTTGACGAAGGCGGCGGAGGTGATGTCGGTGCCGGGCAGGTGGTGCTGGCGCCACGGCCGGACGAGGGCGCATATGGAGAAGGCCGAGGCGACTGGGCCGAGGGTGCCGGCGATCATGGGGAAGGCGGAGGAGGCGAACCACCAGCGGCTCGGGTGGAGGTGGGCGTCATCGTTGGCGAAGCGCTTGTCTGACCGGGCCTTGGACTCCTCGAGGTGGCCGATTCGCTTCTCGATAGTGTCGCCCAGGTCGGCGTCGTTCATTGCGGCGGCTGGTCGGGGCGGCGGTAGTAGTAGCGGGCCTGGGGTGAAGGCATTCCAAACTGTGGTTTCTCTGGCCGGGAACGGCGGCGGCGACGGCGGGGAAAATCGATGCTTGGCTAGGTAGTCGAGGTTTTATCTTCAACCACTCATTCTCTAAATCCAATTTCTCGCTCTAACATACCTTTGTTAAATAGTATAGCTTACTACACGAATACGTCGCACGAATACGTCCCATGAAGAAGGTCCTGGTAACGGCGAAAGAGGCTTCGACAGATATAAAAAGAGTTTGGAAGATTACCCGTCATTAAAGGGAGAAAATGTCAACATGAACTCCCAAGGTCCAGGCCCGTGGTGGTCTTGGACTTGGAGCGTCGCTCGCCTGACCCCCTTGGCTGGGATGCCCCCGATCAGAGAGACAGAGGTACCTCGCGATGACGTCGGTCAGTGGTTCGAAGAGGGTGTGCAGCCCGTGTCTTGGCCTCGCTCAACTCACTCGCCCACCGGCCACTTGACGTTTTCTTGTTTATGCCGCGACACCGGACGACGTTTTTAGTTCCACGCATTCGGAGGCGAAACAAAACGTGGCGTGGGGGTGGTGTAGACGTGTGTCTGTCTGTCTGTCTGTCTGTCTGTTCAGTCCGTATGATCCCTGAGAGGCTCGAAGGCGTTGGAAACTAGTAGCGGAAATCAGGCGGTCTTTTGGGCGCCCCAAGCAGCCGTATTTGTATTTGTATGTGCGCGGCTACCGCGTTGAAACGGGGTCGACGCTGGCATTGCCCTTTTCATTAATTCATCCTTCTTGTGTGTCCGCCATGGACCGCACGTCTCTGGAAGGATTGTAGTGGATCATCGGCCTGGTCAGGTTGCCCTTGCATGCAGAAACGAGGGGGGCTCATGATCTTTGATGCAGCACAGCCAACACCCCTTGGCCGTTGGCCCTAAGGGAAAGCAAGCGACGGGCACACACGAGGGGGCGCTGTTTGGCTCATTTGGCGGCCACGAGATGACTCCCTTTTTTTATCGGCCACGGGGGGGGGGGGCGAAGACTTGGGATCCTGGGCGGTGCGACGGTGCAGAGCTAGTGTAGCTGGGGATGGGATGTGGAGAGGACGGATTGGCTGTTGGTTGGTCCGAAGGATACCCCCCAGCCTGGGAAAGGCGCGGAAAAATCGCGTCTCCGCCAGTGTTTTGCTTACTCATCTACGTTGTACATGGTGGTTTTCATGCAACGTCAACTCATATGAGGAGTTGCGTGAGTAAGAGCCAAACTGAATCATGCGAGGTGCGCAATATCTGCCTCCTGTTGTCTCTTTTTTTTTTTTAGACGATGAGAAGATGGCCGGGACCCAGGCTGTTGTCTCGTCTTCACTCAGGCCGCATCTTCCAACGGCGATGCTTCCATCATGACCCTTCGCCCGTTGTTGACTCTGTCGAGGTGGTTTGCGCCTCCTCGGGGAGCATCACAGTAGAGTACATATCCTTTGTACTCCCAACCGCCCGTACTTCTAAAGCTAACTCCTCTTCAGCCTGCATAATGTCGCCCGGCACGCCTCCTCAACCCCGCTGGTGCTGTACATCCCCCCCTTCTCACCAGCCCCGGGTGCACAGCCGGTTGTACCACGGTTCCTTCACCCGTACCCTACCGCCGTCATCAACTACAGGTGGTCCGCTACGGCCCCCACCCGGCAGCAATCCCCGGGCACTGTCGACCAAGAGCACGACTTCACCACGCCCTTGCAATGGCCGACGCCGCTGCACGACACGCTCGCCGGCTACACCTGGGTCACCGAGAACCTCCGGCCCCTCCGCGGCGCCCGCCGCGACGTGTACGTCTATAGCTCCCACGCCGGTGCTAGCATCGCCGCCTCCCTGGCCCTCACCGAGTCGCACAACCATGAGCGCATGGCCGTCCGCGGACTCGTCGCCTGGAACGGCATCTACAACTGGTCCATGTTCCTACCGGATCACAAGGTCAACAAGCCGGCCACCACGCGCAGCAAGAAGCTCCCACCGCGGCCCGAAGAGGGTTCGCCGCTGCACATGTTGCAGATGAAGATGCCTGAGCTGTTCCGCGCGCCGGTGGACCTTCTGGACCCCTTTGCGAGCCCGAGCCTGTTCTTTCAGACGGCGGGCATGATGGCGCCTCTGACGTTTACGCAGGCCGCTGCCGTGACCTCCTTCTTGGACAAGCTGTCTTCCTTGACGAGCGAGGTGAAGCCGTCAGACATACTGGGCCTCACTGGCGGCGCGTCCCCAACACCGAGACGGAGCGCGCTCATGTTTCCCCCGAGGAAGTCAACGCTGAAGCTGCCCTCGACATTACTCCTCCACGATTCCCCGCCGACCGAGCCAGCACCCCAGCGCAGGGCCAAAAATACGGCATCATCGCTGGCCAGGGAGCTCGCCTCGAGGACGGCGAGGCGGCGTCAGGTGGCCGGGCACACGTTCAAGGCCCAGACGATGGAGCTGGCGGGCCTGATGAGGCGGAGCCTGGAGAAGCTGGAGTTCAAGACGCGGTTGGCGTGGGACGAGGACTTTGACGAGGTCGCCGAGGCCGAGAGGCGGGTCAGCGTCGTCGATGCCGGCGAGAACGAGGGCTTGGAGCTCGGCGAGCAGGGACAAGAGGCTGTGCGGGAGTGGCTGGAGGACAGGATACGTTTGTGATACCCCCTTTTTACCGCGTTCTCTCCACTCTTTAACCTTTTTCTGAGAGTATGGCTGAACAGATCAGACGTTCTGTTTCTTTTGGTCTGCTCGCTTCGAGAGTTTTCCGGTGACGTATGAGGTCGTCCCCGGCGAGGCAGCAGCTCGGGTCCACGACGACTCGGACCACTCACACGCCCTCGTCGAAGACCCGGTCACGTGGGATCGCGAGGTGAGGTCGCGGTTACCATGGAAATCACCACCGCACCTGCATGCACCTTTTGTACACCAGCCTCCCCCCTTCGCTCCTTCCCTCCGAGCCTTTTATCAGGCAACGGTCCCCCATTCCTTCCAACCAGGACCAGCTTAGACCATGTGTAACCCGGGGCACATGGTCTAGTTGGTGGAAGAGACAAAAGAAATATCACGATCGGGGTCTCTCTGGTTAACCCGCGTGACGCGCAAGTTCAACTCGAGTGGGTTGACCTTGGGCGTGTACTTTTTTTTGCCCTTTCTACCCTCAGTCCTGGTTTTTATCCTCCTGATTTAACTTTTGGAGACTATTTTGAGAAAGGAAAACCTCTTGTTTACTCTCTATACGTAAGGAAAGTAGAGAATTGAGGAAATTCTATTCCGCTTGCTTGTCATTGCCTGACAAGCGGAGCTGCTGCATAAGAACAACAAGATGAAGGTCGCGTCTTGGGCATAAACATTGGAGGCAATGAATGAGCTTGGTAATCATCAAAACTGACTGGGCCTCTCTGTCTTGGGTGAAAACGTCTTTATTTTCGGATATCGGTTCATCTCGTAGCCGAACGAATAGAAAAGTTGGACCATGCTGGAAGAATGAATGCATGTGAAGTTTGGTATCAATCCCGGATCTCATTCATCGTGTCCAGTTCAATATCCTTCCTCATCAACCAAGGTAGTTCTGAGATAAACGTCTCGTAGGCCTCCGTCCAGATTAGGTCTCCTGGACGTTCTAACCCCTCGTCAACACCGTGTGCGAGCCCTTCTTCAATACCGACAGGCACCAGAGTAGGATACCCTGGTAACTCTTCGTCGCCGCCAAAAGCCGTGTCAGGGTCGCCACCTTTTCCGTCGTCCACCTCAAAGGTCTCCCCAGGAACCTCGCATGGAACTCCTGATACCTCGCACTCGGCCTCGGAAGTCCCTCTTGATGACCCGTACTCCTCGTCTGTTTCTTTGTCAACCCCTTCATCCGACTCGTAGTTGTGCCCACATCCGAGTAACTTCTTGTCGTCATATAGCCTCTGATCGGCCTCCTCCCAGGGCCGGTGAGATTTGATTAGTCTTGCCACTGCATGATGACCCTCGCTCTGGGCAAATCTGATCGCTCGGACGTATTGAAGACGGCCACTACCGACGGTCTTGACCCCAGAGTTGAGGAGTAACTGAACAACGTCCAATTTACCATGCTCGGCGGCGCCTTCTAACGCTGTTCGGCCCGTTGAACACCACGCTCCCAAGGCATTAGGATCTGCCTGGAACTCCAATAATCTGCGTACCAAACCAAAATAACCCCCAATGGAAGCATATTGCAAAGCAGTGGCGCCACGAACGCCAGCAGGAGCGTTGATGTCGGCACCGAGATTCTTGAGTTTCTCCACTAGAGGTAGATTACCCTGCCGAGAAGTCGCCTGGACAGGCGAATTTTCAAACCATAGCTAAGATCTTCACTTGCGAGGTTGACATCGACACCTGATGCAAGTAGCCACTCAGCGACATCGTAACATCTCTCCCCGATCGAACCCGAGAGTGTTCTCGACGTCATCTCCACACCAAAGCTCTTCATGGTTTGGAGATCTTCAAGACTTGAACAGCGTCCGAATCCGGGGCACCGAACAATCCGGCCGTACCCATATTGTCGCAATAAGATAAAAAAGCTGAGTCCTCGATCGTTGAAAAGACTGAGGGCACTTTCAAACAGATCAAGCTCCTCATAATCCTCGGTGTGAATCATCGAAACTTCGTGTCGCCATAGTACATAATCATCTGGCACTTGTAAATTCCCGTATTGGAGATCGTAAATGCCATTTTCGCAACCCACAACCAGACATTTCTCTGGTCGCAGCCCCGATGCCAGCATCAGTTCCACAATTTCAAGAAACCCGAATATTGCTGCCAAGCACATCGCTGTGCGATGCAACCGAAATGTGACCCAGTAGAAATTCGAAAATGCTTAGATCTGAGGTGGATTCCGCAACAAATATGGCCGCCCAGAGAGAAGACGCAACAACAGTCTGTGAGCTGTTTTTGATGATCTGAGAAATCAAAGCCATGTCTTCTGTGAGAGCCACAGTCTCCAGAACCGAGATTGCATCAGATATAGCTGAAGTCTCCTCGAAAGATGCTCCTTTGATGAGGAGTTCATCAACAACCGCGTCTTGACGGGATGCGATTGCGATTGCCAGTTCGCTTCCGACCAACTCGGGTCCTGCTTCGAGGAGGAAAATTGCATTCTCGTTGTTGTCCCAAAGAAAGGCCGATTGGAGAGCAGTTTTCCCAATATATGTGAAATCGGCTTTATAGTCGTTTGAATTACCCAAAGGCCATGCAAATCGAGAGCTTGAAGGATGGGTATAGTTAATCTTAGCTCCATGCCACAGTAATTTCTGAAGCATGTCGGCATCGGACACATAGGCAGCGTATTGAAGGGGAGAACAAGTAGTTAAGGTCGACGACGGTAGGTCGAGCGAGGCCCCCTGGTGAACGAGGCGTTCCAAAAGCTTTGTGTCTCCTGTATCAATAGCAGCCATTATTGGTGTAGCCCCCACTCGAGTCGGGTGGTTAACATACGCGCCAAAATGGTCCTGATCCTCTAATAGTAGATTCAGGACAATTCTGCTTCTTGCTTTGATAGCAGATGCGAGCAATTCCGGTTTTGATGCTGGGGTGTGAAGTCTTGTCCGAAAGAACTCAAAAACTTGCCTAGTGATTGGGCATGCCTCGACAGAAGCAATCTGTTCAGGCAGTTTGCAAGCCTCTTCATCGTCTTCCTGACAGAATACGAAATTCGACAGCAGAGATGTCATTGATCCCAAAGTCGTGCCGGGGGCGTTCCGGTATCCCCAAGCTGACCGTGTCAGTTCCAAATTGCTGCTTGGATGATTGGCATCCAACTCAACGAGTAGTTGAATTAAGGGGCGGTCGTTCGTAAAGATTGCATATTCGAATGCAGTTGCCGCCCTATGTATTAGATACTGTTGGAGGATGCTGGTCAGGGGTTGATTGGCATCAATGCCCACTCGAATCAAAGACCGGACAAGAGTAAGATCGGATCTTAGGATAGCTTCCTTAAACAGACGGTTCAGCGCCGATTGAATGCTCACTGGAAGATCGCTGTACTGCTGTGACATCAAAGGCGCCCAACCGTCGGTTTGCGGCAACACATCGAGCAACACTTCGATGACCTTATTATGCTCTTTACGCCAAGAACCATACCGATCAACAGCCCTATCAAGAAAGTTGTTGGTCAAGAGAAACAACATCACCTGAAGAGCACCTGTGATATTGCTACCATGCTTGGACGACAGGAGGAGGCTCTCGGCGTGGTATACATGGTCTTGTTGGAGCTGCTCGGGCATTATCAGGAAAGGGCCTCAAATGCCGACTGGAGCCTAGCTGTATGATTGGCTTGAACTAGAGGACGTTTAGTTGCCAACCTGAGGACCTCGTCTCCTGAAAGTTTGATATCCCAGAAGTCATCAGCAGTCCGCAACGAAGCGTACCTTTAATCAAGTTTCTGGCTATTAATCAAGGAATCTCGTACATGTTGTTCAGTTCGAAAACACTCTGGGGAGAAGGCGTCCGTATGATCAGCGATAGATCTATTAGCGACGGTGGCGCAACAACCAATCACGGCTGTTATAACTTGGTAGTCCGCGAACCAGCAACAAATGCCGTGAAGCCGCAACTAACCTCCCATGCTCTTCTCTAGAGCTGTCTCGTAGCAATGACGAACCCTTGCCTTTTCAATCGTCGCATCTCGCAGTTGAACGCCTGAAAGGTACACCCTGCTTTCTTTGCCTGCGGCGCGGCGCCTGCGAATGCGATGGTGTACGTATTTCCATTCCGAAGTGATCATCTTCTTGGTCATGCGCCATTGCGTCAGCTTCCACTCGAGCTGAGCTTTACTGTAGCGAGTTAGTGTACTGAAGATGCAGAACAACTTGAAGCCTGATGCTTTGATAGACAGCTCAGAGAAGCACACAGATAACTGACCTCGGACGGAAGCCATATGACATGCTGAGAATGGTCAAGAGGTCTTTTAGACTCTTGTCTTCGGTAAGATACAGCCTCCGGATTTCCGGCTGGAACCTCTCCCATCCCTCGTCGTCTTTGATATCACTCTTCTTGGCGCGAGGAGGCATGCTGGGGGCTGCTGGTGTGGTGCGTATCTCGACAAGCGATGTGAAGCCCGGCTTATAGAAGGGTAGTCCAAGCCTTCGGTAGTAGTCTTAGACCCGAACTCTGAAAAGGAGAGGCGCTGGTGCACGACTCTCATCCGATTGCGTTGGAGCGAGCACATTGGGGCTTTTGTATGTCATTCGTGAGCCCGGAGGGACGGCTGTCATGATTAGTCCGTACCGAAATCTGATGCGCCTGCCTGCCTGTTGGTGTTGGTGACAGGGCACTTCGAAATGGACGGCGTAGCCCAACGCAAATGATTGGCTGTTGCCGAAGTCTGGTTTCCTCGCATCGGCGGCGCTGACGTATCACGGTCGCAGCTGCAATGCACATTGATGCCGAGTATGCAGGCTGAGCGGTCGCCTGGGGGACCAGCTCAGTTGGTCGTCGGAAATAAGGCTGGGATGGAGGTAAGAACATAGAAAGGTCACCGGAACTACAAAGGCATTGCTTTGCGAGGGAATTCTTTGGAACGACTCAATGAGCCAGCTTGGTTCCATTCTCCTGCTTACGGGAAAGTTGTTTGGGCATCATGATACTGGAATGATGTGATGCTGAAAGGGCTAAGCTAATGAGACCGACGACTCAACAGGATTTGTATAAGAAATGCCACTGCATTAACCCACCTCGCCGAAATAAGGCGAGGGCAGCCCAACCAAGGTAAAACGGTGCTGGCTTCATGCAGTCTTCGAGTTCCCGAGCGACTGTGCCACTACTTTCTGTCTTGCTGGAAGCTCTCATGAAAGTCCCCCCCATGTGAGGCGAGAAGGAAAGTGAGTTACTATTAATTGCTCCGGTCTCAAATAGAACAACTCCACCACCGACCGGTTACAAATCGGCAGCAGCTACATACAAGCCGGCCCTTGCTCTCGAGTAGTTTATCACGGCCCGTCCAATCAGGAATTCCAACCTAGCTCCGCCCGTAGCAACCAATTTGATGGTCTGCCGGGAGCCACTTACACTGATTTCATTAACCTCTCTTCCCCCCTTCCTTGAAATTTTTTTTTGTCGAAAAGCCCAACTCGTCTCTCGACATCACTGGCAGCAGCTTTGGGGTTGTCTCTCAAAGCGCATTTTGTTTACCCCCATGTGCCCCAAATAACGGTGGTACGTACAGGAAGCCCAGACTGGCCCCCAGAAAGTCGCTTTTGACCCTGCGCAGCGCTGCAGCGGTAGGCGAGCGTGCCCACTGGCAGGCTCACCTGCCGTCAGTGCACGATCTACGAAACATAGGTTGCTAATTCGCCATCCCTGGCACGTAACAATTTCACATTTCCAGCCGATGATCGGCTTGTCGTGGCTCAATGGTCTAGAGGTATGATTCTCGCTTTGGGTGCGAGAGGTCCCGTGTTCGATCCACGGTTGAGCCCCAACCTTTTTAGTCCCTATTGCGACGGTTTTTTTTTTTTTGTGCAACTCCTCTTTGCCAGTGATGATGGGATTGATGGACACTGGAGTGATGGATGGAGTGATGGATGGATGGATGTTTGCGCACAAGTGTTGTGTGTGTTGCGATCCGCATGCACGAGGTGGATACGAGGCTGCTGAGTCTGCTCCCCATCCCGTTGGAGGTCATAGATCCGACGAAAGGACGGGAAGTTAGGTGAAGATCAACAGGCCAGTCGAGATGAACGGCCTCCGGCAGGCGAGGAAGACCCATCCGCACCAATTTCGAGCAATCTCGAGCCACGGCTCCAACGTTTGAACTTTCGGTACTCGCTGATTGTCTACGGAGTACCGTATACACTCGCTAGGTTCACAAACCGCACGGATCACCCACTAAGCCTATCTTGCAAGGCGGTCAACCAGCTTAGCCACCCACCCACCCATCCAACCCTAACCCTTGCCACCTAACTTGCTGCTAACGTTGACTAACCCCTGCATTTGCCACTTCTAGATCCCTGTTTCTGCCAGTCCGCTAGCCCCTATCCAGCAGCCCGTGATCAGTGCGGTTTGTGAATCTAGCGAGTGGATACGGTACGGATATCTTTCCCCAATTCTATTTTCCTTTATTATTATTATTTTCCTTTTCTTACTTTTTTCGATGGGTGTAAGCTTCTCCCTCGGCCCAGAACCAGCCTAGCGGCACGCGGGCTGGCTCGAAGGTGGTGTCGGACCCCTGTAACGCCCCAGCTCTTTATAGGAATGACGGCATTCCGTCAGATGTCGCGTTCTGCGCCAGCGCGTGCTTCATTAGCACAACCTGCACGAGCCAACCCATCAGGGCAGTCCTTGATTCTGCGGATGGGACGGGGCGAGAGAGATGACGGCCCTTGGCCCGGCCAGCGCCGAGGTGACGGGCGATGATAGGAACGGACGGGAATGGGACAGGGTTGGGGCGAAGAGATGGTTTGAAATGGAAAAAACTTGGCCGCATCTGCAGCGGGCGGGTGAGCGAGCAAGTAAGCTAAGAAAGCAAGCAAGCAAGCAAGCAGCCCCCCGAAAAGCAAGGTTTCAGCATCCCGCACTCTGGTCATCCCGTTCATCAAACTTCGGACTCGCATGAGGAGGGAGCTCTTTGCGATACGAAGAACGCTGTGCGAAGCTCGGATGATGGAAGGCAAGCAATATTGTCATGTTATATGGTTTAAGCCATGATGGCGGAGAGGGACAAAGGGTCCGTATGTCTCGGCGGCAGGCCCCCGTCTCTCTGGTTGTTGACGAATAGTTTCTTGGCCAGACGAGGTGCTACTGCAGTCGGCTGCAGAGTTGACGGCGGGGGGGAGGAGGGGTGCTGAGCTCGGAAACGTACCCAACGCCCGTTGGTTCGTGTTTCGCTCACTCGCTCGTTCGTTCATTCATTCATCCATTCATTCATTCATCTCATCCCTTGCCGTGGCGGCTGTGCAGCAGATGCCATCCCTATCCTGCCGCATACGACATGTACGGTGTACCTACCTGTATCCATAGATGAGTGTGTTCGATCCCAGTGGACCCACCTCCCCATTGATTGTCACTTGCCCCCGCCAGGCTTTTTCCAGGGCGGTTAATGCAGCCCCATTGGACCTGAGGTAGCTCTCTTTCTACGATAGGTACCTGCCGCCTTGCGCAGACACGGTGGGTGTAATGCAAGGTCGCAGTATCCCGGTATGGGGATGGGGGCAGCGACAGACAGAAGGTGCAGCAGGAGCAGTTCTTTCCCTTGCAACCCACTCACTCACTCAACCACTGTCGCTGCTTCCCCTTCCTGGTGGATGATGTGCCGCCGGCCTGGGCCAGGGCCATGCCATCCATGCCCATGCCAAGCATCCCATGGCAGTCACGCTGCTTGTGCCACCTTATGCTGTGCTGAGACGACACGACCCCCTTCCCTGGGCGTCTATTTCTATCTCGAGACCCCAGCCAAGCATCGTCACCCGTGTCCTCTTCTCTTTTTGATTCCTCTTCTGTCACTTCCATACCTCTGACTGACTGACTGCTCTTCCTCTCGTTGCGACCACTCCTCTACGGAAGGTCCATCTTTTTCTCGCCATTAGTAGCTCTTATCAACCACTACCGCTTACGCTGTTGCACGACACTACACGCCTCTGAAAGCTTACACCCGCGCAATCAGTCACCATGCCTGGAGTTCGTGAGTAACCGTCTTGCCCTTGCCCTGTCCGTTGAGGTATCACGACACACATCGAACCTTCCCACCGACGGAACCACATATGAACTCACACGACCCCGACCCCGAATGCCAAGGAATATTCGCTAACACGCTCCTCCTTCCAAACAGCCATCGACGCTCTGGACAATCTCAAGTCCAAGTTCAAGGCCATCTTCAAGAAGAAGGCCGACAAGAAGGCAGACGCCCCCAAGCCCGCCGAGTCCAAGCCCGCCGAGACTCCTGCCGCCACCACCACCCCGGCTACCGAGCCCACCAAGACCGACGCAGCTCCCGCCGCTGCCCCGGCCAGTATGTTCTCCCACCCGGACTTTCCTCGCCTTTTCAACGAACCGCCAACTAACAAACAAATCACAGCCGAGCCTGCAGCTCCTACCCCTGCTCCCGCTGCCGCTGCTGAGCCGGCCAAGGCCCCCGAGCCCGAAGCTAAGAAGGACGATGCCCCGGCCACTACCGAGCCCGCTAAGGCTCCCGAGCCTGGTAAGTTGAGATAAACAGCCCAGCTGCTTTGAAACTGCATCAACTGACAATTCATTTCTTAGCTCCTGCCGCCCCTGCTGCTCCTGCAGTAGCCACCGAGGCCCCCAAGGCGCCTGAGCCCGCTACCGCTCCTACCCCAGCGCCCGAGCCCGCCCCGGCTGCTGCCACCGAGCCCGCCAAGACTGAGACTCCCGCTAAGACTGAGACTCCCGCTGCCGCTGCCCCGGCCGCCGCCCCTGCTGCTGAGACCGCTGCCGCTGCCGCCCCCACCGAGGCCGCCAAGCCCGAGGAGAAGCCGGCCGAGGAGAAGAAGGAGGCCACCGCCGCTTAGACGGCGCTGCCGAGTGTCTACCATCTGGGCTTCCGGAAAAGTGTCCGAGGGCCGCGGCGGGTGAGCAGACTACGTTGGCAGCCGTCAAGCCGCGGCAGCATATAACGGGGAGGGATGCACGCGGAAGGAAATTGCATGACTTTCTTGCTTGGATTAGACCTTTTGGTCTAGTATGTTCTTTTGCTTAATTGTCGGATACCCATTAGTCTAGTAGTTGATTCAAGCGTGCCATGTTTACACTGTCCCCAAGGAGTACACGCCGCCTGTGCTTTTTGAAAAGAGTATACCGTGACTAGTCCGTACCAACACAGCTAGCTGTATGTAAGCTGCTTTTCTTCTACTGCCAGATTCGCGTGGAGCCAGCAGTGAAGGCAAGACTGGGGAAAGCGGGGTGCTTTTTTCCTCAGCGGGAGGCCGTCTTGCGTAACATCCCGGATCAGAACGCAGCAGCAGCTCCGGGTTTGCTCGAGATCTTTACTCGGTCAACCGCCACCTATTTTGCGCCCCTCTCAGATTGATGCTGGAGTTCGTGCCTCCTTAATGGACCTCAAAGCCCCCCTCCCTCCCCCCCTTTTTTTTTGGTTCATACAAAGACCGACACCAGCGGAGCCTACAAGTCGTCATCTCATCTCATGCTGCTAAACCCTGCTCACTTGGCCCACGGCGCCTTGGTCAACGTAATCTGCGCATCCGTCGTGCCGGCCCCGCTGCCTTGCCTGGCCTGCTGCGCGCCGGGGGGCATCGGCATCATGCCCGGGCCGGGTGGTGCCCGCGCCGCTGCCGCCGCGGACGAAGGCGTCGACGGTTGACGCGTCGTGTAGGGGATGCCGGCGCCGCCCGTCGGCGGGGGCATGCGGCCCGGGGCACCGGTCGCCCAGGGCGCCGCCGTGCCTGAGCCCTGTGGGGGCGGGGGCGCTGTGGTCGCGGGGTAGTTGTACGAGGGCTGGTTCGCGGCGTGGACTGACTGCGAGACGGGGATGGCGTCGGGGTCCTGGTCCCAAGAGAAGAGGGAGCCAAAGGTGAAGTGCTGGACGACGGGGAACTTTTGGAGCACCTCTGCGTTGAACATTTTGAGCATGCCCTGAGGCGGAAAGGGTGGGGGATGTCAGCATGCTTCCGTTCCTTCATACGGCCCCCCCCCGCAGACCGGGGTGTAGAGAGACTCACCTTGTTGATCTTCCCCCACCCATCCTTGACGCCCGACACGTCAAAGAGGATGGGGCTGTGCTCCCAAAAGGGGCCCTTCTTCACGTCGTTGATGAAGCCGACGGCGGAGAAGTACATGTTCTCGGACCGCTGGGCCTCGACGACGGCGGGCTTGACGATGTCACCCGTCTTGGGGGCGCCGCGGACGGAGCCCTCGGTGGGCATGGGGTCGGCGCCCGAGGAGACGGGGCTCGTGAGCTGGGCGGAGCCGAAGATGTAGGGGAGGAAGGAGTGGTCGTCAAGGCCCCAGACGCCGTGGGAGCCGGCGGGCTCGAGGGTGTAGGTGAGGATGAGGCGGCGGACGACGCGGAGGTAGGGCTCAATGACGCCGAGGACGATGGTGCGGTCGAGGGCGGCGGTGTCCGGCTCGCTGGCGGCGGCGGAGGTCGGGATGTCGTCGGCGAAGAAGGAGAGCTTGTAGAGGGAGCCGAGGAAGGCGAGGAAGGAGAGCTCGTGGCCGGTGCCGTAGTCGAGGCGCTGCGGGGAGCCGAAGGCGCCGAGGAGGTAGGAGAGGAGCTCGGACGAGGGAGGGTCGGAGCCCGAGGCGGTGGGAAAGGCGAGGACGGAGTCGGGGAGGTGCTCGGCCAACAGGCCGGGGGCGCGTTCGGCGAGGAGCTCGTGCCACCTGCGGAAGGAGACGTTGCCAAAGCGCCGGGGGCCCGGGTCCGGGGGCGCGAGGTCGATGAGGGACTCGGCGGCTGCGAGGAGGTTCTGGAGGGCGGCGATGGAGGGCGGGAGGCGGGCCGGGGGCGGCAGCGAGGTCAGCGGGTAGGTCGTGGCAGGGCCACCGCCGCCACCGGGCGGTCGGCGCGGGCAGAGGGAGCGGTTGAGCTGGAGGAGGAAGAGGAGGATGTCGCGGTAGGCCGTCGTCGTGAGGAAGGTCGAGAGGTCGGCGCCGGTGTTGATGCGCTTGGTGGGGGTCTGGAAGCTGCGCGGGGCGCGGGGCAGGGGTTTGATGGAGGGGAAGGCGGGCTGCTGGGGCGTTTGCGACGGCGGCGGCGGTGGTGTCGGCGTCGTCGACGATGCTGGATCCATGGTGTGTGTATGTGCGTTTTGGCGTACAGGCCGAGCGTTCGCTATGCAAGAATAAGGCGGGATGTTTTTGGTAGGTAGCTAAGTAGCTGTAGGTGTGCCAGCTCAGACAGCTCCCGGCGGTCGTGCGGACGGAAATGTGAGGCATGGAGGGGCAAGTGACGACACAGTGTCTTAGTCAGCGGGGCCGGACCGCGGGGTCATTCTCCTTTCCTCCCCCCATTGATTGAATGAAACAGGATGCATATTCCTCCGTTTGCTAGATTGTTCTTGAAGCATCTCGGCCTCGGGGACGAGATTTCCAATGACTTTCGGTCCTAGGCGGCTTTCTCTTGTTTGCGTTGTAATCATGTAATCCAGGGCCCCTCGCAGGGGACGAAGTGGAAACGGGACCGCGTCTCGGAATGGGCTGTAATTATTGCACGTCTATGCTTAGGTTTTCCTATCCAAACCTCGGCCATGTCTGAGCGCCGCTAATGGGACCCGCTCCCTAGTTATATGGACTCTCTCTTTCTATATGTACTTTTCGGCCGAAACCTTACGTCCGGGAGGATCTAGAGAAGCATAGTAGAAACTTGAGATAGATGGAAACAAAAAAATCTACAATGACCTGTGTTTCGAAGTAGCCATCTATTATCTACGAGGCCGCGCGGCCCTTTGAGGGCTGGCCTTCCCATCCGCACGTCTCCGAGTGCGAGCCGGGCCGCAAGTCTCTTTGCCCTGTGTTTCTCACGTTCTCGAACCGTTCAAGGCGGGTTTTCTCTCTCTGAAAGGGATGTCTATTTTAGCTTGTCGCCGACGAACTGCTTGATCTGGTCACCGTAGATACTTGGGTATTGCAGATGCGCGACGGGGTCGTTGCCGTTGCAGCAAAAGGGATCAGCCTCGTCACAAAACGACTTGATATTTTCCCCGTTTGGACATTGGAACCCCTGGGGTCGAGGTGCAAACTGGCTTGTGTGTCAACAGACCCGCAGTTTACTACTGGACGAATGTGTGAACTTACACCTTGTGTCTTGCAAGTTCCGACCTCGTAGGGAAGTCCCGCCACGTATCGAGGGTCGCCCATGAAGATGGCCACTTTGACCTGCCCCAAGGCCTCGTTGGAGATGAGCACGTTGGTTCCCTCGACGCCCTCAATGGTGTCTCCGCCGCCGCAGTACGCATTGTCCATGATTTGGGCTCCCTGACACAAGTTAGCATTTGCATCCAGGTGCATAAAGTCTGCCAAATCACCTGCGAAAAGCCCAGCATGACAATCTTCGTCTTGGGGCATTTCTTGTTGAAGTCGTTGACGGCCGTAGCGACAGCCACGGTCCCGTTCTTCACCGAGTCGGCGTAGCTCACGCCCGAGCAGTCAGCCGCCCCTCCGCAGGCAGGATACACAATGGGCTCGTTCGTGGCCCCCTGGTTTGCTTTCGTGATATCATCCACGATTCCAGAAGCCGCTCCGAACCCCGGCGGCGCCGTCGTCTCTCTCGCACCAAATATGTGTACGGGCGGGCAGTCGTTGCCTTGTCGTTGGCGGAGTTGCTGAAGAGCACGAGACGAGGCCAGTGCCTGGCCGAAAAGAAGTGCGATCCCCACGCTGAAAAGCATACCGGGCAATAACTAAACTTCGAGGCGGGACTCTTCGTAAATATTGGATTCGAAAACGAGTGAACATCAAACCAATCTCGCGGCTGGGCAAGAAACCTGGCATAGGTACTTCTGCGAGACGAAGACAAGCAACAAAAGGCTGGGCACCACCGAATAACACACTGCCACGCCTTGTGAAAAAACAATGCCTGGTGTATAGTCGATATGACTGAATCTTACGAGCGGTCAGAAGAAATACATTCATGCTTTCTAATACCACAGTGTTCATCTGCGGCATGGCGATCGAATCCTTATACGGCAGGCCGCCTTCCGCCATCAACTAAGGACGGCATTACCCTTTCTTTGGCGTCCTTGTCAAGGCTAGCCAAGAAACCAGGCGGGACGAAACGAAGATGGCGGCCACAGACGCTTGGAGGGCATTTCCATGCTCGAGAGTGGCAGTATGAAGCTCTGGCTCCGGGAAGCGAGGAAAGCGGATGGGACGTGTCGCAGCATTCGGATGAATTTAGCTATGCCGCATGATGCACGATCGGCACGAAGTTGCCAAGGCAGAAATGAGCTACGGTATTAAAGACGGGACTGAACGACAAGTAAGAGGACGAAGAGGATATCAGCCCCCGGCAGGTGGTGTGAAACGGGAGTGGAGCTGGATCACTATTGTGTTGGAACACGTCATTGTTTGACTTGGACCTCCATGCTCGACGTGTCTGTGTGCCTGGGCTGGATGAGGTCGGCTTTCCTGCCGATTGTATGCACATCCAGTCTAGGTCTGATGGGTTTGTTGAAAGCGTGGCTGCTACGATGCTGGTTCTTCTATCCTGTCGGAGCCTCTGAAAGTGAGTGCAAACCTATCGTCTAGGTACCTACGCTGATATAACCTTGTTTGGACTTGGGCTAAGTTAGAGTCGTTAGCACTTTACGATGAGCTCTTTTCCAATCTGACAGGGTCCGAATCGGGTCGAATGACGACCATTGGTGATGTTGTGTTACATTTGCAAGACTTCGGCCAGGCTGGAAACCTGACCAAATGACGTCTAGATGGGCGAGATAGTGACAGCACCGTCGTATTCGGGGCTGTAATGGACAGCCATCATGAGCCGAAGGCAAGCTCAAGTACATCAAGCCAAGAAAACGGCGTAGAATTTGCAATGGAAAAAGCCAAGTCCATCGCAATTGCAAACGGGATGGCATTGCCGAAGTGGCATAGAGAGAAGTCAGACTTGTGGATGCCTCACATCTTGACTGACGGAAGGTCTCTGATGAAGTCCTCATGGAGATCCACACTGCATCACCTTACCTTGTAGAAAAATCCGGTATTTTCAATCTTCTAATTTGTCCGTATAGTCCTTCCTGGAGTTGCTGCGGATGACGCTGATCCGACCAGTACATCCCTGATATCCGTACGTATGCTCCCTATATAAATCCGCTAACTAGCCAAATTATCACATACGACCATACCCACTGGAGAACTCGGGATCCCGTCCGCTCTCCCATAGATAAGCCAGTGAGGGCCGGATTAGTAGTTGGGTCGGTGACGACCAGCGAATACCTGGTGTTGTATGTTTTCGCCCCCTTTTTGTTCGGGCGGGGATGGAGAGTTCTATTTTGGTGGCGGGCGTCGACTTATAGTATAAGGTTGTTCGACTGGATGGTCCCGTGCTCATGCTTGCTTCCGGTAAACCGTTTTGACATAAAGTTAAATAGACAAAAAGCTCCATTCGTGGTGTTTGTCTCTTCGGATGCAAAGGTGCTTGTGCATCTTTCCGCAGCTCAAAACAAACATCATGGTGAAGTTGTTTGTAAAATGTGACAGACATTAAGCTTTCGCCAATGGCCCCCAGTCTTGGGGTAGCTATTACTTGCTGACTCAGCCAAGAAGGTATGGGGCATCGATCGGCCCCACCAGAGCATCGGGCGCTAGCAGGGTGGAGACCTGTGCGGCGTGGTACGATGAGCGCGTTTGCTGTCGCGCGCGCGAGCTTTGGAGAGGTCCCTCCGCTACTGGACCACCATCAGCTACGGTAACACAACAATGCGGCGCCAAACGCCTTGAACACCACAAAAGCAGCACTTGCAGCATGTTCTTGACGTCTTCTCTAGTGTTCAAAGTTATTTCGCCCTGCTGGCCTCACTACTGTGGATGTCGCCATGCCGACCTCTGCCAGAAGATCTCCACAGACCAGCTTCGATGGCGACCCTCCCGGGATCCGGCGTAGCAAGCGCCTGCGTCACGTCGAAATCGAAGATATACGGGACTATGAAGCGTTGAGGACAAGGAAACGACAGCGGATGCCTAAGGACCCCGGCGAAGGAGATGTCCGAGGTAGCGACGAAGTCGATCAAGAAGAAGGCGACGGCGATCAAGACGAAGGCGAAGGCGATCAAGACGAAGGCGAAGGCGATCAAGACGAAGGCGAAGGCGATCAAGACGAAGGCGAAGGCGATCAAGACGAAGGCGAAGATGCCGCCAATTCCACACCTACTTCTGTACCGACGGCGACCAGAGTAAGCTCAATCAAGTCTCCTGTCTTTCGCTCTGCTCACAAAACTCCAACAGGTTACGGATAGACCCGATCGGCAACAGGTACGGACGAATCTCCGGGTAGACACACTTCGCAAGGCCGCAAACACCACACGGCACATGAACAGTCGCAGTTCCAAGGCCGTCAAAGCCCCCCGGGCTCCCGATCACATAAACAGGGACACCAGATCGGCGAGTCTTGCCAGTAACCTCCGTGAGGCGCGTCCTCCAAGATTCATCTCACTGGCCAACAGCGAACATGCTGCCGAGACCGAGCCCGTCGGAGATGTTTACGAGTTCAGGGCTAGCTCGCCAAGGAAACCCAAATCACAAAAAGTTACAACCACTAGACCCCGAAGCCGCAGGGTATATACTCCGCAGGATTTCGAAACCGGCCACGGTCTTTTTGTCCAACAAGAGGCGGACGATGGAGATGAGAATGACGAAAATGGGAACGAAGGGGATGTGAACGGCGAAGATGAGACCGGCGGAGATGAGACCGGCGAAGATGAGAATGGCGAAGATGAGACCGGCGGAGATGTGCACTTATACGACGACCCCACCATCGTAGGACTACCACCTTCGGCGCAAACAGAAAGCCAGGCCACCGAAGATGCCGCACATGGGGCGGGGCCGCAGTCGAGCGCAGCAACTGAGCAACTCCAACACCTTGTTGCCGATATGGGCTCGGCCTCTCCCGAGCCCTCAGATGAAGCCGATGACGGATATCCGGACGATCACCTCATTTTCAATGAGCCTACGAGACAAGACCGAGTGGCCACAGCATCAATCAGGTCTTACTCCTTGAAGAGCATTACGGAGCTAATGAGGGGAAACGGCTGGACAAGATCTCGCGAAAAAATCACGCCCATGACCAACAAAGAGCGGCTCTCGAAACGGACACGTCCTCTATGGAACGAACTTTGCCACCTCAGAGAATTTTGGGAGGGAATGCCACGGGCGCCCCTGTTCGACCAGCAATGCGACTACTTGCATTCGGGCGACGAAGATGCGATAAGTGCGCGGCAGACCATCAAGAACGTGGACAGTCTTGTCAGCGCGGTAGCCTATAAAGCGAAGAAACCCAGCCGTGGAGAGGAATCACACATGCCGCCCCCACGGTTTGTGGTAGACCTCTATGAGAGTATCATTCCATTTCTCGTCAACATACTCGAAATCGTGTTCCAGAAGGGGGCCGAAACCGAGAGGTCGTGGTACACCGGGAGGTTCACCAAAATACTATTGCAGATCATGCAGAGATTGGTCGCCTGGATCTATAGGCTGTACGAGGCAATGCAGGCGAGCCTAGCAAGAAGAAGGCTGATGGAGCAGTCACTCTCGAAAAGGACCAGCCGAGAAAAGTTGGGCGAGTATCTGCGAGGCTTCAAATCTGAGCTCAGACAAATATGGGAGGAGACAGATGAGATCATCGAGCAGCAACAGCTTTATGAGAAGAGGTTGCTGGAGTTAAAAACCAGAAAGGAACGGGAGCAGCGTGAGTTGGAGGCAGCGAGACGACGGCAACGGGAGCTTTGCGATAGGCGCTTGCACGAGCGTCTGAGACGCAATTCTGTCCAAGCGGCACAGATAGAGGCATATTCGTCGCAGTATCCCTCTCAATTGGTGCTCTCTTCGCAGCTTCAGTCTTCTCAGCGGACAAGTCGCGGGACACAACAAGCGGCGCCGGCCCAGATCGAGCCAGGGGACCGCGAAGAGACTGCCATCGTCGGACCCAGCAAGCCGTGGCCCGAGGACGACGCTAAGAAGCTCTTGCAAATACTGACAACGAGGCCGTGGATGGAGATGGAGGCCCTGGTGTGGGAGTTCGAGCGTAGCGAGGAAGACGTTCAGGCCATGGTGGAGTTGCTGAAGCGGAGTGCCAGGACGTACGCCGCGTCCAAGGGCAAGACGGTTCCGGCGTTTGCTGCCAACTGAGAGAGCATAGGCGTTCCGCGTTGTCTGCGGAGCGTTTGTTATTGTTGGTTGCGAGGTCGTTATGTTTATGATACCCAAGCGTGTCTTTGCTGTAGAGTTCGGGATCGGTGTCCCATGGTGTTATTTGAGCACAGAGATGCATAGACCTTGGTGCCTATGGGAAAGTTTGGGGAATTGGAAAGGAACTCATTATCGATCATATCATATATCATTACCCCGTTACCTGACCACCCATGAACCCGAGCCCAGCCAAACTCCATCGGGTGAGAAGACTAATCAAGCTTCTCCTTCCAAGCGAAATACTGGTATGGGATGTAAATCGCGGCCACAGCCGCCAGAAACGCCGCCAGAAACGCCGCCAGCCCGAAACCAGATGAATCGTCCGCCCTCAGCGCCAGATAAGCGCCCATGATTGCACCGATTATCACGATCACCGTTAGGATAAGGAACAGGAACTGGCCCCAGTTGAAGCACTCGTTGACCCGTATGCCCCATCCGATGACCGGCTTCCCGTAAACCTCCGCCTCGCGACGCAGGGGATACCGGAGCTTCTTTGGGAACGTCGTGATCCAGTACTTGTCGCTGTGTCGGCCCGGCCGCGTGAGATGCCACAGCGGGATGGACGCGAGCGCTACGTTGGCCATTGGCACCGGCTCGTATAGATAGTTCCCGGCCTTCGCCTCGGAGCACGGGGGAAACTCTCCGCACTTGAAGTGGTTCGGCACGGTGGCCTCTCCAACCGGCACGAGTTGAAACTTTTTTGCTGGGTCAGCGGACTTGTCCTCTCTATTGGTGTCCAGGGACAACAGTAGGGGAAAGTTACCCGGACGAAATCGCCAGTATCCATCTTGAACAAGCTAATATCAGACAACGATCGAAATAGTCGGGATATCCATTTCAGCCAACTAGGAGTTCTTTTCTCAAGAAAGTCTGATACGCTGCTCATCACAGTAGCGATTAATAAAGGAACAAGAAAGGACGTCTTCCAGGTTGCCCCCTCCCGTATCATTCGGTAATATTCCCAGATTTCCCGGCAAAGGTACTGGTCATTCTCGAAAGAGCTGCACTCGATGTGAATCAGTATCGGGAAGCTCTTCTGGTTGATGCACGCCAGAAGGTACTGGAACCCCGACGGCTCTTCCTGCAGGATTGGTTCCTCGGACCACGACGAGGCTGACGGTGTCGAAGACCGTGTTGCGGATGAAGAGTTCCAGAGCTCGGAGCTCTGGAACGAAGCGGTAGACGGGCTTCTCTCGGACCGGAGATGCGCCGGGGGAGGCGGAAAGAGGCCTCTCGGAGCGTCTGTCGTCGAGTCTTGGGCGGCGGCGGCAAAGCTAGCCAGCCCATCTCTGGCCAACCGCTCGCGAAACCGTCCTACTCCGCCTGGACTTAGCTCCCTGACATCTAGAAACGTGTTATCGCCACATTCCTGTAGAAAAAAATCAGCCCAGGTTTCTTACGGAGCAGAGAGGTAGGAGAATGCAGCCACCTACACAGACGTACCTGACTCTCTGATTTCCAGGCTTCGGGGGAGAACAAAGGTCAAAAATTCCAGGCCGACAACCTCGCTCCCCAACGCAAGACCTTTGGTCGTTCAAGCGGCTTCGCAACCCGCACCCGCGGCGTCTCCTTTACTCGCTCGCGGCCTCGGTTGAGCAAGTCTTGAAACTCGGCTTTGAACCGAGCTAAAGGCACTCCAGAGACAAAGAAGCTCCTGGTCTCCTCGAGACCGACGCGGGCGCTGATGCTGTGGCGGTCCTCTTCATCCATGGAGCTTTCGTCATCTAAATCCGGTACGGTTTCCATGGCGTGTGTAGGGAGGCCCTTCGAAGTGGTTTCGATGCTGTTGAGATAGCGCTCCAGCGTCAGGTCTCGCTCTTCGTCCTGGGGCAATGCGGCGTGCACTCTTTCCCGCTTCGTCTTGTCGTGCGACTGCAACTTCTCTAGGACCTTCCTTGAAATGAGATCCCTGTGACTTCGCGGCCTGAGAAATTCAATGGCTGCCCTCTGTTTCTGATTTGTAGTTCGTGAACGCAGATACAGGTAGTATCTCTTGAGCAAGCGTCTATGGTTCCCAAAGAACCGGTAATCTTCTAGGCGTTGGGCCGCGTCTAGGTACAGAGGGGTCAAGTCCGGGTCCTCGGTCAATACTTCCGTCAGATAGATAGCTGACCGCAGCTGTTCTGAGCGCCCAAGGGACAGTTCCTGACCCGTCTTGGGATTGGATGTCTTCTGGTTCCGAAGCCAGGGATCAGATTTCATCGTTGTCGCCAGGGCGGTTGTCAGTGGTCTCGGTGTGGCTGTAGAAGTCCTTGACCTTCTGCTTGCGTGCCTCGTTGTCTCTTGTATGATTCGTTTCTTCTTCGAGCGATGATAGCTTCGTGGATGCGAGCTCCTCGCTGAGTAGCTGACTGCCTCTACCAGAGCTGGCGCCACTTTCAGAACCGCTGGAAGCTGTACTTCTTGAGTGTCCAGTCTCGCCGACTTCTGGTTGGGTTGGCGATAAAAGCGAACCCTCAGGAGGGTCAGGGGAAGCTGAAGCTTCGGGAACGGAAACGCCACCGTCTCCAACGAAGTATGGATTCTCTTTGCGTGGAATTGGGTCTTTTGAATTTTAGCAAAGCCGCGGTACATCAAAATGAATACGTAGGTTGAGTGCGAGTGGTCGTCGGTTCTTCTGCTTGTCCGTGGTTTTCGAGAAACGCTCTGGTCGTGGAAGCTGCCATTGCAGCAGCGAACTTTTGCCAACACTCGCCCTTGTGACTGTCGGCGTAGTCACACACCTCTTGATGATTATGCTCTGGAAATCGTCGTTGCGGGGCGGTCGGTTGGCCATGATGAGTCCTCAAAGATGTTGTTGAAGCTGGTTCTCAAGAATGTGTCTTCTCTACCTACTCAGCCTGGATTAGCTGAGGTCGTTCAGAACAGCCTTGCGAGTCAATATGAGGATATAGGCAAAGAATGACGATGGCTGTCGGAACGCTCTGATTAGGATGCAAGGCTGCGCCTCTACTAATATCAGGCAGGCGTGTCATCTGCAAAATTGATTGGTTCGTACACACAAACTGTGCCTCTCACGAATACTTCCTCCTTGTATGGCCATGTACAGGTGGTGCCATCATTCTCCAAGCTGAATGCCAAAGACTGAACACCATTTTGTCTGAAAAGACGCTTCTCGTTATCAGACCCAACGATGGCGGCGACTGAATTGGACGAGGCTCTATCAAGTTTCCAACGAGCTCCAATATAGGACCGAGAACACACAACACAGTAATTGCGTGATTTGAATCCCAAGAGGCAGTAAGCACTCAAGGAGGGCAGGCTGTACGGGCATCATATGGCTGGTACTTGTCAGAGGATTATACGGCGAGCAACTGCCAACCGGATCCGCAGATGTCCGAGCACTGAGGATTCACAGCTTCAGAAAGCTGGACGTTGCCTTGTATGCAATAAGCTTTTTGGCATGCTGTGATCGGCATATCGAGCATGCCAGTGCCATCAGAAAGTGGCTTTCACAGCCCAGGCTAGTTGAACCTTCTAATCCGCCGAGACTTCTGCGCAGGGTTCCCACTCGCATCGTTGACGCACTGGACGATGATGACTCGAGCCCGGTGGTTCCAACAGTTCAAAACTAACCCGGCCGTAAGTAATCTTATGTGATTGGATTGGCCTGCGGCAGTGATTCAAGTCTCAGTCGTCACACCGTATGAGGGGGCCTGGACAGGAGGGAATTGGCATTGCCGCGGCCCACGATGCATTTCCTTATTCATTCAAGGGCATCAACAAGGCCATCACAATGCGACGCTGACGCGATGCCGAACGCCGGTCTTGGCGGGACGGCGAATCTTATTTGTTTTATTTCCACGTGGCCCCCGACCGGTCCCGTCCGTGTCATGAACGGCAGTGAGAGTGGTACGGTAGGTAGAGCGGGCGGCGCATAGTGGTCAGCGCATGGAGGCGCGCGCGCGCTCTCTCTCCCATTCCTCTCGATGAGATCTAATGGCGGGCCCGTCTCTCGGCGTAGCTATACACCTAAGTCGAGGAAAGACGGCCGCCAGCCGTGTAGTCTTCATGATAGAGAGAGCTCACGAAAAACAACTGCCGAGAATGCTTTGGCGTGATGAGGTTATGACGCCACGTAGGTGACACTGGATCTGTTGGTTTTGGGGGGGTGGGCGGGGGACTTCGGCAGATGGATATGGGGGGGGATTTGGAACGGGAAGCGTAAGGGTCGGTCCCTGGACGGCCTTACTCTGTTGCTGACTTGGTTTCCGACGGGGAAACCAGTCGGTAGTTCCGGCTTGGGACGAAAGGAAGATCAGAAGGGCCTGACTCGGTAGAATGCGATTGCGCTTGACCGCAAAAGAGAGAGAGAGAGAGAGAGAGAGAGAGAGAGAGGGAGGGAGCCGCCGCGTTGGAGGGCAGTGAATGCATCTTAGCTCGAAGCGGCGAGCGGTGAACCGCGGTGGTGCAGTTTTTGGTGTGGTCCAGAGCCCCGGGACTTGGTTTGAAAGCCTAGAACATGGCCATTTCTGCTTCTTTACAGCCGACTTGAGGGAATAGTCCCCGCCCCAATTCGGACACGTGTTGTGGAAGGCTTTAAGGACCGGATGGCGGTCTTGGGGCTTGATGGGCTGGACGGCCAAGCCCGGCAGACAAGACGGCTGGCTTGGCTTAGCGATGCTGGATTCCCAGTGGCCCAGGTTTATCTGCTGGGCGAAGCTAGATAGGTAGATGGGGTTGCTGTTGGAAGACGACGGAATTCTGCCCGCCTTTCTGGCTGAGCCTCGGCGGGATTGAGGAGTCTACTGCTGCGTACTTAGAGGGAAGCGGTTTAAGACATGCCAAAAGTGCTGCGCTGTAACCCAACCACAACCCCAGCCCCTTCACTCAGCCCTTGCGGCGAGTGTGGAATCGATGATGCGGGTGCGGGGAACCCATGGGTTGTCACATGGGCGATGATACATACCCCCTTACGTAGTAGGTACCCGGGAGGTGCTGAGACGACCGAGAGCTTCGGACGTCGGCGGTGGGAGAAGGGCGGAGAGCGAAACCTGGAGTGAGAGTGCGGGGCCGAGAATGGATGGAAACGTGGGCAGCAGCAGTACTCTGTACAACACAATAGCAAAGGCATTAGTAGTAAGGCATAACAATTGCCGAGATGTGCTCTCGGCGGTTCAACCCAGTCAGTCAACAGTCAGTCACCGGCGTCCGGCACCAGGAAGAGACGAAACGGAAAAGTAAAAACAACGTTCGGCGGACCAGGACTAGCGCTTCGGATCCGAAAGCGTTTGACGAGTGTGCAGGGTCACTTGAGACGGGAGGTAATTGGGCAGGCTCCCGGAGAGGTTGCAATGGGGGGTGACTTGTGAGGGGGGCTGGTCCATGGAGGATGCCGAAGGGTGTCTTGGATCTCGCCTGTAGTCGTATTACATGCCGCAGCACTAGTGGACCTATATTAAGAGTTATATGGGTGTGATGCGCCAGCTAAAGCGGATAGATTCCCTGAGGGGAGGGGGGTCTCGGGTCAGAGAATCGGCAATGAGGGCCGAGTCGACGTTGAATTTGAGTGTCTCTGATGCTCTCATGGCTTCTTTGGCCGTCTCGACCGACCCATGGCCTGTTGTTGTTTGCCTCCGTTCGGCGAGAGCGGCTGCAGGAGACATGCCGACAAAGAGAAGTCGGGCCAAGAAGACGAAAGAAAGTCTGATCTGATATGATATCACGGAATCGTCACCAAAGCACGAGGAACAAAGGAATGAAGCAAATTCCCTTTTTCCCTCCCCTCGACTTGCCGAAATGGCCCAGAGTCGCTTCAGACTCGGGGGTTCTCAAGAAAGTCTTTGGCTGGTGAGTGAGTGAGTGAGTGAGTAGGTGAGTGAGTGAGTGAGTGAGCCTTCTCAACCCGTTCTGAGAGCGTGGGCGAGGGCAAACACAACTGCCGTGTCGCCAGGATGTCATGACCAAGAACTCATGCCTGTTTCCAGTCTCCAGTTTTCGGCTTTCTATGGGGTTTCCCCCCCCTTTCCCCCGCCGATCAAGTACACCGTAAATGCTGTGTATGTGTCTCGATACATACATCCATACCACGATAGAATTGCATCAGTATCTCCCTGACTCCGGTGGATTGTTCTGGCGATGCTTGTTTCCTTTGCCTGAGGTTCATTGGCGTCGGTCGACGTGCGCAGACGGCTCCGTTGTTGCCCGAGTCTATCTTTGCTGCCGTGACACCAGCTTTTGTTCCTTTCGGCTAACAATGACCGGACCGCACTTGGGACGAAATGCATCTGCCGAAGATCTCTCCCTCATCACACTAGTTACGAGCGGGACGATAAATCGTCCCACCTAACCGGAAGTATCCTACCCTGCCCAGCTCTCTCCCCACCCTCCCCTCCCCTCCCCCTCCACTTCCCAGCGCCATCCGGGGTCGGCATTGGCGATGTGTCCATGTCCGTGCAACCCGAGGGATTGACTGATGGAGTAACCGTACAGCTGCAGGCGCACTAGTGACATGAAGCGTTGTTCATTTCCCTTCGGCAGGCAACTCGGCTGCTGTGCAGCACCCTCCCCCTCCATCATTCCAGCGCGCTCTGTATGGGATGATAGCAAGCAGCAGAGATACCACACAACCCGTCTCGCCGTGATTCCGATGCGTCAAGCTGCATGTCTGGTGGATAACCGAGGTACTTACTGTACGTTGCCAGGAGTTAGTATCCGTCCATAATCCCTCGGCTCAGTCCCAGGAAACCTTCCCGCCTCCCCCTCCCTCCTCCCCTCCTCTCCCAAGGATTCTTCCCCATCCGTACCCCAGGATCTCCTCACGCGCTTGGCCACCGCATAATGGTGACTGACGCCTTTCAGGCTTCTCTCCCGACGCACTACCTGGCCGAGTGACCTCCCAAAGTTCCAAGTGTCATTCTGCAAGCTTCTGAGTGGCCAGCCGCCCCCCCCCCACGGTACCTGAGGCCGTACCACCAAGGCCACGGATGCTGCGTAAGGTGTGGCATTCCATTCGCTCATCTTTTTGGGATGACGACGCACTGGGCACTGAGCACTGTGGTAACGGAATCTCTGCCTGTCTAGCGGCGATTCGATCACAGAGACAGCCGTCCATCTCTACCTGTCCTTGTCTTCTGCGCTACCCGTTGACGCCACCACGGGGGCCATGGTGCTACGGCTACGAACGCCAGGCGGCTCGACTGAAAGCTACTCCTCCTCCTTATCTCTAATGTCTGCCTCCTGAACGGACTGGACCGGCTGGCCCGATTTGCGACAACGAAAACTAGTGTACGGATTCTTTTCCGGACCAACTGAAGAACAAGTAGTAGCCAGCCATCCAACGTCTTGTCCAGGCTCGCGGGTTCTGGCAGTGACGATCCCGGTATCCAGGGCCATCACTCGTATCGCCACCATCCCAGCCTCTCCCGTGTGGCTTTTTTTCATACTTTTTTCATTTTCATTTTCTGGTTTCTTCTTTACCCTTTTCCCGGCTCTATTTACCACGTAGCCTGCATAGTTCTATGACTTTCTCTCCCTCTTTCGAGATTATATATCTTCATCAGATTAACTTCCCATCCACACATTTGGGGAGGCATCCGCCAGACCAGGATTCCAGAAAGGCACAGAAGCGCAGATACCCCTTGCGCATGTATCCGAACTCTACTTCTCGCCCGTACTCTTGTCTCATGTTTCACGAGGCCTGACACCGAACACCTGCACCCTTACCGTGGCCCGTGGCAGCCAGACACGAGACGGCTGCAAACCCTCTCTCCGAACTTCCTTCTCTCCTAACTCTCCGCTACTTATGTACCCTGTAGCACGTTTATGAGCGTTAGCAAACTTACGTCCTTCGGCTTTCACCCAGGGTCCAAGATTATTTGCCGGGCCCGCAGCCTGGAGAAAACACACACACACACACACACTCACACACACACACACACACACACATGCACATACGATAGCGCCTTATCTGCTCAATTCGCCGAAAGCCTGGAGAAGACGCTCATGCTGCTCCACTCGCCGCAGACACAGTCGTAGCAGCTGCACGTCGACCCGTACGGTATGCCCCCTCGTACACCTCCCCGCCCCATACGTTCCGTCCGATGCGTCCCAAGGTAGCAACTGGATAAATTGCGTTTCGGTAACTGGCCCGGGAGTTCTACCTGGCGGCTGTCTGACAACACCTCTGCCTGCCCGCTTGTGGTTGTCCCCGTCCGGCCACAGTCTTATCCTAGACGGCCCTTCCCCCTCCTCCCTCATAACTTCCTTCTTTTGCCTGTTCGTTTCCCTTTTTTTGCCTCCAAAGGAAACAAACAAACGTCTTGACCTTGTTACGTGGCGCGGCAAACCTGTCAAGATGCACGGCATTACGGAAACCCTGCTGGACACGCTGGCCCAGCACTGGCTGTCGATAGGCCTGTCGCTGGTCGTGGCCTGGCTGGTCAAGAACCGCTACCACAACGGGCTCAACAGATACCCCGGGCCCTTCCTGGCCTCGTTGACGGACTGGTGGCGCTTCTTCGACGTCAAGGGCTGCCGGCCCGAGGTTACGCACCGGAGGCTGCACGAGAAGTACGGCGACATCGTCCGTCTCGGCCCCAACACGCTCTCCTTTGCCAACCCGGCCGCCCTCAAGACCATCTACGGCCTGAACAAGGGCTTCGTCAAGGTAAGCTTTTCTTCCCTCTCTCTCTCTCTCAATCTCTCTCTCAAACACACACCTCTTTTTCTTTTTCCATGCTGCCGTCTCGGCCGTGGAAAGGGGCGGCCGAGCTCGCTGCTGACGACCCCCCTCGCAGTCCGACTTTTACATTGTGCAGCAGTCCATCGCCAAGGGCTACAGGTTGGAGTCGCTCTTCAGCACGACCAACAACGAGTTCCACTCGCAGTTCCGCCGCTGCGTCAACTCGGCTTTCTCCATGTCGGCCCTGGTTCAGTACGAGCCCTTTGTCGACAACACCACCAAGCTGTTCCTGTCGCAGACGGAGAAGCTCTTCGCCGGCAACCCCGAGGGCTGCGACTTCACCACCTGGCTGCAGTTCTATGCCTTTGACGTGATCGGCGAGATCACTTACAGCAAGCGCCATGGCTTCGTTGAAAAGAACGAGGACATTGACGGCATCGTCGCCTACCTCGGCAAGCTGTTTCTCTACGTGGCACCGGTAAGTCCTCCCTGGGGAGACGATTATAAGTCGAAGGGCGTAGTCATCTGCCCGGGGCCACATACCCATGACTAACATCAACCCACCCCCTTAGATCGGCCAGATCCCCTTCCTGGACCTCCTCCTCCTCAAGAACCCCATCTACCTGAAGCTCTCTCAGTGGGGCTTCATCGACGCCACCTTCCCCGTCGCCCGCTTCGCCCGGGACCGCATGGCCGAGCGCCTCCCCGAGCTCGGCGGCGGCGGCGGCGGCGGCAAGGAACCCCTCCTCCCCGTGACGTCGGGCAAGAAGCTCGCCCAGCAGCCCGACCTGCTCTCCAAGTTCCTCGCCGCGCGCGAGGCGCGGCCCGAATTCATGAGCGACGTCCTCGTGCAGACCATGGCCGTGAGCATGGCCTTCGCCGGCTCCGAGACGACGGCCATCAGCCTCGCCGCCGTCTTCTACTACCTCCTGCGCACGCCCGCGGCGCTGGCCCGGCTGCGGCGCGAGCTCGACGACGTCGCCCGCGCCGGCGGCTTCAGCGATTCGGAGACGGGCCTCGTGACGTGGACCGAGAGCCAGCGGCTCGAGTACCTCGACGCCTGCATCAAGGAGGCCTTCCGCATGCACCCGGCCGCCGGCCTGCCGCTGGAGCGCGTCGTGCCCGAGCAGGGCGCCGAGATCGCCGGCACCTTTGTCAAGGGCGGCACCATCGTCGGCTGCAGCGCTTGGATCATCCACCGCCGGCCCGAGATCTGGGGCGCAGACGTCGACACTTACAGGCCCGAGCGCTGGCTGCCCGAGCCGGGCAAGGACCCGCTCGCCGAGGAGAGCCGCATCAAGGAGATGAACGGCCACATGTTCCAGTTCGGCATGGGCAGCCGCACCTGCATCGGGAAGAACATCAGCCTGCTGGAGATTTACAAGGTCGTGCCGAGTCTGCTGCGGAGGTTCGATGTGAGTGTTCCCTGTCTTTTTTTCTTCATCGTTCTTGTGCCCTGGCGTGTGCCGGTCAAGGGCGAGGAGGTGTCCGTACGTGTACACATGCTGACCCGACACCTTGGCAGATCTCGTTCAAGGACCCCAGCGAGGAGTGGGAGCTGGTCAACGCGTGGTTCGTCAAGCAGAACAACTTCAACGCAAAGTTCGAGCGGAGGGACATCATCAAGCCCGAGGTCGGCGAGAAGGCCGAGTCGTGAGAGCGGTTTGGTGTGCGAGAAACTCGATTTTTCCGATCCACCTAGTCGGCCAAGCAAGCTGCCAAGCAGGCTGCCGTACAGTGGCTTTTTTAGACTTTTTAGATACCAGGGCCAACTGACATGCCGGGCTGATTGAGTCGCGTAGGAACATTATACTTGAGATCATCTTGGCATTGTACCCCAATTTGTACAGCTGTAGCCTGGTACCATACGAGATACCATTACGGATTAGCATCTCCATTTAGCGTTCTCCATATTTTGTCACATCTTGTCTAGCTCCACGAAAATACGAGATACCGTGTTGGGATTACTATCCCCATCTTTTCACATTCTATCCGTACTGCAGGGAATGAATAGACGGCCAAGACAACTCGATTGCGGCCAAGCTTACTATAGCATGGTCTTGCTCGTACTACAATCCACTAGCCCGATCCTGTAGTCATTTATGGAAGAATTTGTACACTTGTCTATATAAAAGTTAGATTCCTACGCTCCTGGCCTGAAACAACAATAAATTCGTACAAGTATCCACGCGTGTTCCGTGAAATTGCACTTCCAGTGTATACTCTAGAGTTACTGTAGATGTGGTTTAGAGGATGTATATAGTTCTGGGATATCGTATGCGCTCTGTGAACCTACCTGTCCACCGCTTCTAGGCTAACAGCAATAGGCAAGGCGGTTGCCATAAAGAGAGTTAGGGTACTAGCACAAACCAGGCCCAGATACTAACAGAAACACTTCATCAGTCAACCTAAATAAAATTAGAAGAAGGGTTTGACTTAGTGTTTACGGTAATTAGAGCAGGTCACACTACCCAGGCTAGAATGTGTCGATAACCTAACAAGTGTCCAACCCGATCCGCGACGCCTCACGAACTCTGAATCCCGCCTTGTTATATTAGCCTCTCCCCCCATCCCCTCGGGTCCCCAACGTCCGTCCCACCCATCCCCTGGTTCCGATGGTAGGGAGAACAAGGCTCCTAAACCTGCCTTGCCTTGATCTCTGCGCTTCACTTTGGATCAGCCCCCCGGCTCCGTTTGTGCCTTGTTTCTCGAAAGAAGGAAAAAAAAAAAAAAAGAGTCGGAGCCGCCAAGCCAAGCTCAAGCTTGGCAAGATTGGACGGGGCATTTCCCCTCGGTAGGCATAAGCCGAGCTGACCCATTACCTCGATGCCTCCGTTCCCGTCTCCGCCGTATATCGGCTTCCGTCCGCCCCCCGCCCCCGTGTCCCCACCTCCCGTGATATCCGGACACCATCGGTGGGCGATGGTGCTCTCTGCTTCATACCTGCGTATCATCCCCCGCACCTACCAGACCGACATGCAGTCCGCATCGTGGCGTCCGCCGTCGTCTCCCATCGCAGACAGCTCTGGCCGGCCACTGCCGACGTAAGCTTCACTTCCACATGCATACTTACACTGCTACCTAGTCAGATTTTTGACTTTCCCAACAGCCATCGAGGCAGTCGTTCATCAATAAGGGAAAAAGGGGGTATCGTCCATTGCTATCTCGGCCCGTCAAAACACGCCACTGCACGCGTTCTTCGTGTAGTTACACAACGGCGTCCTTCCGACGCAACGCGCCTCTCTCTTACACACACACACACAAACACACACACACAGCAGGGCTCTTCCTCCTCTCTGACCAGCTGTCTTCACCCCCACTCCCTTCCTCAACAACCAATTTGCTACCAGTTCGTAAAACGAGCACTCGTTCCTCCGTCTTTTTTCCACTTCGACAAGCCAGCGCCAATACTAGGTACCGTCTGACAATGGGGAAACCCCTCGTGCTGTGTATATTAAAACAATAAACCTACACCCGGCCGTGCGGGTGAGGAGAAGTGGCCATAAACAAGCCCTGCGCTGGATAGGTTGCGAGGCCGTGGCGAGCCCGCTGGCCCAACCAGAAACCGTGCTCCTTTCTTCTTCGTCTTCCTCCCTTCCCTTTCAAACGCGCGCACGATGCCTTCGCTTAGTTGTTGAGCTGCGGCGACTGCTGGAAGTCCGTGATGGACTCCAGCATGGCCAGGTTCTTCTCCTGCATGTCGCGGTCCATGTTATGGATCTGGTTCGCGTTGACTCTAGCTCGTTGCAGCTGTCACACTGGTCAGCTTCCCGTCACCCGTGTAAAGGGAGCATCAAGCAGGGCCTTCCCACCACAGCTAGTGCCTCGGAGGAATGGTCTTCTTCCTCACCTTCCGCGGGCTTGTCCGCTGCCTCCTCCGCCTCGCCGTCGCCGTCTGCGAATCTGCTTGCCGCGAGTCCCTTGGGCTTCGCGAGCGCCGCATTGGCCTGTTGCCGTGTCAGTCTCGCCCTCGTCCGTGTGCCATATGCTGTCTCGTCTTGTCCTACCTTGGCTTCCGCAATCTCGGCGTCCTTGACCTTGAGTTGCGCCTGGAACTCCTCCACGCCCTTCTCCTTGTCGGCCAGCGTCTTCTTCAGACCCTCAATCTGCTCCTCCAGCGCCTTCCGCTTGGCCTGCTCCTCTTCCACGATCTTGGTCATCGTGTCGTTGAGCTCCTGGTAGTCGGCCTTGTGCGTCTTGAGCTGCTTGTCGGCCTCGAGCTTCGACGCCTCGAGTTCCTTCTGCGCGAGCAGCAGGTCGTCCTTGAGGTCCTCCACCTCCTGCTTGGCGGCCGCAAGGCTCTTTTGGACGATGCTGAGCTCCTCCTCGAGCCCCTTCTTGACGTTGTTGAGCTGCTCCCGGAGGCTGTCCGCCTCCGATGTGTCGGGCGTCTTGTCCTTGACGGCGTCGAGGGCCGCCTCGGCCTCGGCACGAGCCATCTTCTCAGTCGATATCATGGCGCCGAGCTCGGCGCACTCCTCCTCGAGCTTAGCCTTCTCGGCCTCGACCTTGGCGACCGAGTCCTTTGCAGCCTTGAGTGCGGCCTCGAGCTCGGCCGCACCAGACTGGCTCTTGGCCTTCTCGGCTTCTGCCTGGGCGACCGACTGCTTGGCGGCCTGGAGCGCGGCCTCGAGCTGCGAGTAGTCGGCAGAGATCTTGTCCACCTCCTGGGCGAGCGTCTTGCTCCTGGCCTCGTACTCGCTCGTCAGCTCCTCCACCACCTTGGAGTGGGCCTTGTTGATCTCGTCGAGCTCGGCCCGTGCACCCGAGGAGCTCTGCTGCTTCAGCGCCTCCAGCTGCTCCGCGTGCATCGAAATGAGCTTCTCTATCTCGTCCGAGTGGCTTTCGTCGAGCTTCCTCTTGGCCTCGGCGAGCGCCGCAGCGCTCTCCGTCTCCGTCTCGCGGATACGCGTCAGCGCCTCGTCGAGCTGGATCTTGAGGGTCGCGAGCTCTTCCGAGTGGGCGCTCTCGCTGGCCTGCTTGATGGCGGCCAGCTCCGCCTTGGCCTCCTCGAGCTCGGCCTGGTGGGAGGCGACGAGCTTCTCCTTGGCGTCCGCAAGCTCGGCCGCGTGCTCGGCCCGCAGCTTCTCGGTCAGGGAAGCGAGCTGCTCCTCGTGGGCGGCCAACAGTTTCTCCTTGTCGCCGGAGCTCTCGGCGAGGGCCTTCTCCCTTGCGCTCGTCATCTCCGCGAGCAGCCTCTCCTTCTCGCCAGAGGTCTCGGTCTGGAGGGCCTCGACGACCTCGGCGTGGGAGGCCTTGAGAGCCTCAATCTCCTTGGCCAGGCTCGCCTCGCTGTCGCTCTTCAGAATCTCGAGCTGCTTGGCGTGGCTGTCTTTCAGGCTCTGGAGCTCGGCGAGCTGGGCGTCCTTGTCAGCCGAGGCGCCGCTCTTGGCGCCCTCGAGCTCCTCGGCGTGGCTGGCGCGGATGGCGTCCAGGGCCTTCTGATGTTCGGCCTCCTTGGCCTCGAGGGCGGCAACGGCGGCAGCGAGCTCGGCCTTGGCAGCCTCGAGGGCCTTGGTATTGCCTTCGGCGGCGTCCGCGTGGCTCTTGGCGAGGTCGCCGTGCTGGGCCTCGAGCTCGCCGTGCTTGGTGGTGAGCTCGGTGTGCTTCGACTCGAGGTCGGCGAGTTTGGCGGTGAGCTCGCTGTGCGTCGTCTTCAGCTCGCCGTGCTCCGTCTCGAGCTCGGTGTGCTTGACCTCGAGGTCCTGGAACTTGCGCTTGAAGAAGGCGTCTCCCTTGAGCGACTCAATCTCCTCCTCGTAGTCCTGGGACACCTGCTTGAGCTCGGCGTCGTGCTTCTTGACCTGGGCCGAGTGTTCCGCCTTGGCTTTTTCGAGGGCCTCATCCTTGGCGGCCACCTCCTCCTTGATGCTGTCAATCTGCTTCTGGAACTCGAGCGCCTCCTCCCGGGCCTTGGCGACGTCGGCCTCGGCGGCCGCGAGCTTGCCCTCCAGGTCGGCGACGTTGGCCTGCACTTCGGCCAGCTCGGCAGTCTTGGCATCGAGTTCGGCCTTGGCCTGCTCGGCTGTCGTCTCGGCGGCCTCGAGCTTGCTCTTGAGGTCGGCGATCTCGCCCTCGACGGCGGCGAGCTTCGCCTCGTGTGCCTCGGCCTCGGCGGTGATCTTGCTCTCGTGCGCGGCCTCAAGCTCCTTCTGCGAGGCAGTGAGGTCGTCAATCTTCTTCTGGAGCTCGGCGACGGCGTCCTCGTGGCCGGCCTTCATCTTGGCCAGGGCCTCCTCCTGGTCGGTCGTGGCGGACAATCCCTGGCTCAGCTCGTCGGCGTGCTTGGCCTCGAGCGCCTCGATGGCCGACTTGTGCTGCTCGGCCAGGGAGCTCTGCAGCTCCTCGAGCTTGCTGGCGTGCTCTTCCAAGGCCTTGTTCATAGCAGACTCACTCTCCTTGAGTTTCTCCTCGTGCTCGGCCTGGAGGGCCTCCAGGGACTGCTTCAGCTCGGCGAGCTCGGCCTGCGCGGCCTCCTTGGCGGCGACGGCCTCTGCGTACTCGCTCTGCTGTTTCTCGTAGTCAGCATCGGTGGCCATAAGATGTTCATTGGCCTCATCCACCTGGTTCGCGAGCTCGGTACGCTTAGCTTCCAACTCGATAACCTGGTCCTGGTGGGCCTTTTTCATGTTGAGGACAGCGTTCCTCACCTGGACGGCATCCCTGTTCACCCCATCAGTGTACTGGGCGAGCTTGTCCTGCGACTGCTGGACCTGGGTCTTGAGCTCGTTCAGCTGCGACTCCTTGTCGGCAAGCTGGGTCTCCTTTTCGGCGAGCTGGACCTTGAGCTGTTCGACCTCCTTGCCGAGGGCCTCGGATGCGCCCGAGGAATCGGGGCGGGTCGAGGTGCGGGCTCGGGGGGCGGCGGCGGCGGTGGCAGTGCTCGAGGCGGTCGAGAGACGCTTCTTGGCCTCGGCGACGGGGCCGGTGGCGGCGGTCGAGGAGCGGGAGCCGATGGAGGGACGAGGCGCGACTGAGTTCGGGGTGCGCGTCGAGGTCGACGAGGGCCTGCCGGCGGTGGAGCCGGTGGAGGAGGTCGCGGGTTTCCTTGCGGCGGCTGTGGCGGCGCCGAGGGTCGAGGTCCTCTTCTCCTTGGTGGGCGAGCCGGCGGCGCTGGGGTTGCTGTTGGGGGCAGTCGAGGTGCGGCGGGCGGTCCTCTTGCTCTCGTCCTCAGAAGCGGACACGCTGGGCCGCGAGCGGTGGGTGGTGTTGGAGGAGACGCTTGCGGGCTTGCGGACGGTGCTGGTCGAGGTGGCAGAGCCGCCACCAGGGGGACGAGTAGGAGGCTTGGTCAGGCCGCCAGCGAGGCGGGAGGAGGTGGAGGAGGTGGTGCTCGCGGGCTTGCCGGTGCTCGTCGTGGAAGAAGTGGTGGGACGGCGGGCAGCAGTGGCGGAGCTCGAGGCAGGCTTCTTCATAGAGGAGGCGGCCGAGACGGTGGACTTTGCACTAGGGGAGCCCGAGGCGGCCTTGGGAGCTTCATCGTGCTGGACGACCTCGAAGCTGCCGGTGTCGGACATAGTTGTTGGAGCTCGTGAGTCGGCGGAAGGGAGAGGTTGCGTCGTTTGATTACTTGGTTCTGCGCGGGCATGGCAAGGTCAGCCGGGGACAGTTCGTGAGGGGGGGGATTGCGGGTGGCTGCAGGAATTGGGAAACACAAGGATATGGGAGGGACGATCTGGTAGGAATTACAGCATTCCTGGGAATCGAGCAGAGCTGGATTGAGTTCCCCAAGCGGGCAATTGGGTTGGGCGAGGGGCACCGAATTGGGGGGTGGTTTGTCTGGTTTTCATGGTAAACTCACCTCGCGACAAGTCGTACTTGACCCAATTTTGGTCTCCTTTTTTTCTTTTCCCCTTGCTTTTTTCTGTAAGGAGGGAGGGGGATTTCCTCCTTTGTGAGAGAGCTTGGAGCTTAACAGCGGGGAAATCAACAAAATAATCAAAGATTGAGCAGATGAAGAAGCCCCGGTAACAATACAGGAGACGCACGAATCAACGGGGGAATCGTCGTCGTATGTACAGAATTGGACCTCTGATCAGTGGCAACGGCAGCTGAACAGAGAAAGAGTAAGAGGAAGCAATTGGGAACAGGGGAGAGAGGAAAAGATGTCGGTGTCGGGATAGAGGACGGGCGGAAAGGCACGGACGACACGACGGATGGAGGTGAGGTGTCGAATTAGGTAAGGTGGGCGCCAGCAAGTGTACAGGTACACACACACCTACATACACACACCTAGTAGACTAAGGTATCCGTACGTGGTATCAAACACAAAACAAAAAAGTGGCTTCTAGATTGGCGTGGATGGAGACATGGAGCATGGGGATGGACACTCTTTTCCTTCTGCTGCGACCCTGTGCCCAGGATTGTTTCCAGACAGACCAGGCTCAATGCCTTCCTCTCCCGGGACCCTTTCTTTTCGCCCCTCCCCCTTCTCAAATCATTGGGGGTCATCAGGGTGACCTGTCATCACTTACTTAGATACGGGTAGTACAGTACAGTACCTACCTAGGGATGCATGGGATTGGATGGCATTGGCACAGGTACCGCAACACAGACAGGCGCATGATTAGGTACGGTGTAAGTAGGTACCGTACCTACTATAGTAAGGCAGGCAGGTATCTCTATCTAGGTGCACTCCGAAGACAGTGGCAGTTGGGTTGGCATTGGGCGGCCCTTACAGGCTTGCAGTACACTAGGCAGGGACGGCAAAGTACAGAGTACATGCCGCATTCTGCACATAAAAAAAAGAGGGTAGCCGTGAGTCGCCGTTACCGGCCATCCAGGACATTGTCACACATTCGCAGTCCTTCTGTCTTCCATTTCCTTTCTCTTCCTGTCCCTTTATTTGAATCACAGTCGGCAGACCTGGAAACCAGGGGAAACATATTCTAGGTACGGATATCTAGTTATTCTACTACCTACCTACCTACCTACCTACCTGAGGCAAGGTACCGGGCCTCAGCGCGCGGCTCTCGTTCCAGGGAGCATAGGCGGTGGGCCAACCGCCTCGTCCACGACCTGTCATTTGCCGCCATCTGTTAGCGGGCCAATCACATTTCGGATCATCTCATCCTCCGGGTACGTATATCCTCCCATGTGTATCGGTACACAGTACCTACCTACCTACCTACCTACCTACCTACCTACCTACTTACCTGCCGCGACGTTTCCAAACATCTCTCTGTCTCTCACTCTGTGCCGTGAAGCTCCTGTTCCATCGTCTTCATGCAACCACTCGGCCGCCCCTTTCGATTCGCCCAGAGTTCCAGTCACAAGAAATAATGCGCCGGGGATCGCCATGGACCATCGCCCCCCGCCCCCCGGACGCTGCTTCAAACTATGGACGTAGCAAGCCCGTCCTCGGTACGACGGACTGGCGCCTTTAATTGCTCAACGAGAAGAGAGAAAGAGAGTGAACAGAACAGTGACAGAGGGCGCCACCCCGAAGCCGTCATCATCACTTCAACCCCTGAGCTACAGTACATGGCACACACTAGACGACTGACTACCTACCCAAGGGTAGCAATTCCAACCGATCCCCCCCACCCCCATCCTCTCAGCCCGGCCTGTTGTCGATACGCCTTCTCAGCTTGTGGTTGTCGCCAATGGTCCGTCCTCTGCACGACTCATTTCGGCAACATGGGCGGGCAAAGGAAACAAGACAAAAAAAAGGAAGAAAAAAAAGAGTCGGGAAAAGGGGGCACGAGCGACCGGCCGCGCGGGTCACCCGCCCAAATTGACTCCGAAATTTGACCTCAGGTGGCCCGGAAGTATCACCGCCTACCCCCTGCCTGACTGACTGTCTGTCTGTCTTTCTGTCTGTCGTATCCGTACCGTAGTTCTGATTGTATCTCCTCCTTGCTCTCTCTGTTACTCTCCGTTGACCGAGCCATCGGATGGATACCGACCAATGGCTTCAGTCCCCCTCGACCCCTCCTCGCCCTCAGCCTCTTGGCCTCTTTTTACTTTTATTCTAATTTCATAACCTGCAACAGGGTGCTGTAGGGAACAAATACTGAGCCGTCAGCACTCGTCTTCGAGTCTGGCCTGTTGCCACCCTCACCAATGTCTCTCCGACCGCGCTCTGTAAACCGAAATAGTAAGAAAAGGGAAGAAGAATAAGAAGAGGGGAGGGGAAAAAACCCTAGCTCTCGCTACCAACTGAATCACACCTGCTCCCGGCTCTCTCCATCAAACGTCCGCCAGCATGTCTCGCATGCGAAGTATCCGTAAAACAGAAGGAAAGAAAAACAAAAACAAAATAAAGAAACCCCACAGATAGATCCCTGCCTGTCACACACGCAAACACACACACACGCACACGCATGCGAGGCGAATTCCACATGAACCCCTCCACCTCCCAAACAGCGACGCCAAACCGTCCGTGATGCGCTGTCAGCCCACATGTCACCGCGCCCCTCCCCCGCCGGTGTTCATGTGGCACCCTGCCGTTGGCCCCAGCCCGGATCGGGTTTCTACGACCACTACCACCAGGGCCTTCTTTAGGTAGGCAGCGTAGCATACTTACGTTGCATACTTATGTATGTATGTATGCCCTTGGGCCTTTCGTTGGCTTGTCGAATGACGTGCCGGCGGCCTACCTGAAGAGTTCTGGCGTCCTGGTTTCTGGCGCCTAAATACCGTCTGCCCGATGATGATGCATGTACCAAATCACAGTGTACGTACGTGGACGCATTGCTCCATGCTCACAATGGCAACCAGAAGGAACATCCAAGGTCGAGACGTGAAAGGAAGCAGAATTCCTACACTTTATTTACTCCCAGCTATTATTACAAAAGACTTGGCGGACAAAGCCGTCCTGCACATAAACCACTCTAGTAGTCATCGTCCGAGTCCGTGTCCTCGTCGGGCACGAGAGCACGGTATCTCCGGCTGGCGAGGTCCTCCTCGATGCCGCCCTCGCTCTCCGGGTCCACGTATCCCTCTCCGCCGAACAGGCTCAGCGCAACGGGCAGGAAGATAAGCGCGTGCGTGCCCGCGAAGATGACGAGCGCCAGCCACACCCGGAAGTAGTAAATCTCAAAGATCTTGGACCTTGTAAAGGCCAGCACGAAGACGCCCAGAAGCTTGGTGACCGTGATACCCGAGAAGACGGAGCTTCCCACGTTGACCAATGCCGTCCAGGCGCGCGCGTCACGCCCGCGGAAGCGGTTCTTGGCGCGCTCCATGACGGTGCGCGAGGGGAACATGAAGGCCCTCGCGATATGAGCGCAGAACTCCACGCCGATACCGACGCAGATGATGAGGTTGACGAGCGACACCGCGTTGAGCGAGACGTCAAACACGGCCATCGCCCCAATGATGTCCACGACAGTCATGCAGACCGTGACCGTGACAACCAACGCCGTCATCAGCGATCCCAACAAGATCGACGTAATGACAAAGATGATTGCCACCGCCGACCCGAGGAGCGTGGCCGTCAGCGACACGATGCTGGCATATTGGTCGAAGAAGATGTAAAAGAGACTGTAAGGGAACACGTCGGCGCCCGTCGAGCGGCTGATGTCGTCCGCAATTCTTCGCGCAGCCGACATGGCGTTGATGAAGTCCTGCTGGCTGCGCAGCGGCGTGTGCATCGTCCTGAAATGGCTGGCGGGAATCGTGTCCTCCTTCGTGTCGATAACTACGGCCGAGCCGTATGACGCTTGGCCGCCTAGCGGGCAGTCGTCATTCGTAGGCGCCTTGAGGAACTTCTCGAGGTAGTGGATGAACTCGCCATCCTGGGGCATGCCGGACAGGGTGATGTTCCAGGGAGGGTTACGGTCAGCAAAGCATGCCTTGCCGTTCTCCACACAGCACGAGTCGCCCAGGTCGGGGTTGAGCCACAGGAAGTAGTCGTCGATCCAGCTGGCAGCAGGCGAGGAGATGTACGAGACCTCGGGTCGCTTTCTCTCTCCCTCCAGGATGTTGGCGAGAGAGAACTGGTCGCATGTGGTGAACCTAGCGCAGATCTCGCGTTGGTTCTCACGTGCGGTGGCGTTGAATCCCCTGGTGACAAAGTAGACGGGCGGCCCAGTCTCCATGTATTCGTAGAGATCGTTGAAGTAGGGGATGAGGTAGGACCCGTCGGGAATGGCAACACGCTGGTCCAGGCCGAGCTGGACTTCGGGGAGGAGGGCGATGCCGGCGGCAAAGACGCCGAGGAAGATGGCGATGATGACGGCCTTGGCCTTCTTTGCGAGAATGGCGGGCGCGTACGTCCTACGGACGAACTGCTGCAGCCAACTCTCCTCCGGCACTTCGTAGAATCGGGCATTCGCGTTTCCGTTGCTGCCGCTGAGGTGGACCCTAGCGGCCTTGACTTGGAGACAGGGAATGCAGTCTGCCCGGTGGTCCTCGACACGGATCTGGTTCATAGCCAGGCAGGATACGAACAGCGTGATCTGGAGGATGGCGTTGATAAAGACGGCGCCCGCGGCGTAGGCGGCAAAGTTGCGCACCGCAGGCATACCAACAAAGGTTCCAAGAGCAAAGGCAACAGTTTCGGTCAGGGCTGACAAGAGGATGGACGGCCCCATGCGACCCAATGCCTTGGCAATCCGCTCCTCGACCATTTCGTCGGGATGGCTGACGTTGACTCGCTCAAACTCGTGGACAATCAAAAAGATGTTGTCGACACCGACGGCAAGGACGATGAAAGGAATGACCTCGGCGATGATGAGTGTAGCCTTGAGGCCAAACCAAGAGAAGAGACCGATGGAGGCGCTAATAGACATGAGAACAATCAAAATACCAACAACACCGAGGGAAAACTTGGACTGAACCAGGGCCACAGCCGGGTTCCTAATCATATCTCGGAACGACAACGTAGTGGATCCAAGAGCCAGAGATGCGTAGAGGAACATGATGATGTAGCTGATAATGACGATTTTGGCGTCAGTGTTGGTGGACTTGTTCAGCTCCTGCTCCAAACTGATCTCGGTGGAGAAGGACAGGCGGAGACCACGGTCTTGGGCCTCCTGCTGAGCCTCCAGAAGACGGTCCCGTAGTGCAATCTCCCAGTCAATGGCGTGCTCAACAGCAGGGCTGCCTTCAGCTGCATTCTGAACGACCCAAGTGACGGTCATGGCTGTGGCGTTGACGGGGTCGTCCTTGTAACCGCCCAGAATCATGTTGGGCTCGATGGGCAGGCCAAATTCGGGGCGACACTCGACGGGCGACTTCGCGCACTGCCGAAGCTGGTCCTGCCAGTCGTTCTTGCCGACGAGCGAGGGTTCATCACCGTAGTAGGCCGCAACGGACTGGACAACACAGGCGTTGCCAGTGGGCTTCAAGCAAATGTCGTCAAGAGTGGCACCGAACTTAGCGCTCTTCAGCTGTCTGACACTCTTCTCGACGTCCATCCACCAAAGCAGGGTGTCGTAGCTAAGAACAGGGGCGGGTTCCTTGGAGTGCTGGTCGTTGACCAGGAACGCCTTCTCGGCACGGTAAAAGGGACCGAACTGGTCATCGAAGAAGGCCTTTTCCTGCGCGGCAGGAGAGGTAGGACTAACCCAGAGACGCGCAGGGTCCCGTTCAAGGTCGAACCTGACCCATCCAGCACTGAGAATAATGACAAAGATGAGAGCAACGCCAATGGTGATTCCCTGGTAGCGTGCCGCTGCGTGCCCCAGCTTGCTGAAAGCCGCATCGCACCAGGTGTTGATTTTGTAGTACCGCTGAGGACGGTCAAACATGGCACCATTCTGAACCAAGTCGCCCTCGTCCTCGTCGTCGCTAGGCGACGCATCTTGCAGCAGCCTGAGGCGCTCGCTCTCTCTTCTGGCACGGCGTCTCCAGGCAATGTGCCCGATGACCCCAGCCACAGCAGCGAACAGCAGAACGCTATACGTGAAGATGGCAGCAAATGAGAGGCAAGGCAGAACGCCAACGTGGCACTCGCCGGGCCTCGACACTGCAGGGAGCTCTGGGCACACGGACGGGCAGTCGACACATGCACAGCGGTAGTTGGGGTCCTCGTCATTGCATCTCTTGGACTTCAGGTCGCGGGGCGCCATGCCGGGCTCGCTGTACTCGGTGGGGAAGTTAATTTGAAAGGGAGATCCGATGACCTTCTCGTCTCCCAAGAACTTAAGCAGTTGGGTGTAGTTCTTTGCGCCACCGCCAATGAAGTCCATGGCCCTCGAGTTGGAGGGTCCAAACTTAACCTCCTTACAGCTGTCGAAAAAGCCAGTGCCGTAATCCTTCGAGATCAACTGGTCCAGTTCCGTCACCATGGTCTTTTTGTTCTTCTCCTGGGTCTTTGTGATGTTCAAGAAAAGAGACTGGTCGGGGGAGCAGGTAAAGGTGCAGAATAAGTTGAAGAAGTTCTCCTTGCAAGCCGGGCAAGAGGAGATGATCTGCTTCGGGGTGCCGAGTTCGGAGGCGAGGGACTTGACCTGTAGAGACGCACATCAGTAAGCCAGCTCGCTTGCAGTGACTGCCGGGATGGCAATTACCTGGTCAGCATCACAACAGACGGGACCGGATTTCCATTTCTCTCCACAAAGGTCAACGATTTCTTGGCGCAGCTTCTCGTCGGGTTCCTCAGCCAGGCCGTTGTCGGGGCATGGCAGTTGCTTGCCAAAGAAGCTTTTGGAGCCACAGTGGCCGCGCATGGCACATCGTCCGGCTTCATGCTTGGGCGTGAATGGCTCTGCTGTCGCACTGCTGCTCAGGCCGGCCAGCAGCAGGCCGCCAGCTCCGAGAAGCTTCCACAGCGTCATGGTGGGGTGTCGTCTCTGCCGCTCAGCGGCGATGTTGGGGGGTTTCGTCGGTGCTCAGCTGAAACTTCGAGGTATTGAAAGGCGGGCGACACCAAATAAACAAGCGGAGGAGGATGCCGTCGCGGAATAGCCTAGGATGAAGAAAAACAACAGCGGCGATGGGAGATGTGGGATGGAGGAAGGATGGCAGAGAGGAGATGGAACGGTCGGATGTTGGAGGTCGGTCAAGGTGCGACACACGATACACCTCAGCAAGCTAGCTGCCTGAGAGGGAGCTCCGGTAATACTACCTCCGTAAGTAGGTACATCCACACTATGACTAGCGACTGTGCGTGACTGCGTGCCTGCGTCATTCAAGTGCAACAGCGTGTGTCAGTGTGGACTGCTGCCGGGTAGCGGTGGCTCCTGGCCTGTGGAAGTGGAGACAGTTCACTGCGCTGTCACTGCTACAGTTATCAATGGCGTCACGGCACCAGTCACGTGGCTGTCCGCTATGATACCTGCCCAAAATGGAACGAGCTTACGTTATGCTTGACAAGGTAGAAAATGTCACGTGCATGTATGCGTGAGCCCACCATCCATCTTTTGGCTCAAGCACCACCTGGAAGGGCTTCTACCATGGTGATCATCATCCTGCGGCGCTAGAAATGCCAGGGATTCCTTCTTGAACGCATGCTTGACATCGTTGAGGCAGTGATTACTCAAGACTCTAAAGAGATGGGGAAAATCCCCAGGTTCCGTCAAAATGGCGAGAAGTCATCGCCAAGATGTGAGGTTTGTTTGCTTCTCAACATTGACTTACCAAGCACAGTGTCCAGAAACTGGCATGGCCGCAGCCATTGGTACGGCTGCTACTTTATATGACAACCTGAGTTATTCCCCATTTCTCGATGAGCCAAGCGGATCTCTTAAGTATTTGATAACTACTAGGTGACTATGATGCGGCGGCGGTGGTCTTCATCCAATACGGGAATGGTCTGCTTCAACAAATCGCCATTACAGAGGCGAGGGACGTAGCATCAGGCTTACCGAGGCTCTGCAAGTCCATTCATCTCTTCTTCGAAGTGCGGCTTCACGCATAAATATATTGAGCTGCGTCGTTTTACCAAGTTATATATTTGGCCTGGCCTGCCTTTGGGAATCAGTGCCGGCCTGATCTACAGTGAGTTCAGCCACCAACATCCTCCTCGAAGCGCCCTCATAAAAATTCTCACCCCCCCTCCCTCCTTCCTCCCACCCCAAAATCTTTGGTCCGAAAGTGTACCACCCATACATCTCGACGCTCCCGAGGACGCAGAACCCGGCCATCAGCCAGTACCGCGCCCGCGAGCTTGTTGTGATGTGCCGGAGGCTGAAAACGGGAACCTCGACCGTACCCCCGCTCGGCCTGTTGTTCTTCATGTTGCTGGTGCTGTTGTTCTTTCCCGGCGCGGGGCCGCCGCCCGTGTTCGCCCGGGACGGGGCTGTGGAGAACGCGGCGCGCGGGAGGGGGGCCGCAAATGTCCTGCTTGCGATGCGTGCTGTTGCGGCGGACATGGACAGTTTGTTTATCTCTTTTTTTTCCCCTCTTTTCGATGTTCTTGTAGACTTTCCCCGAGATGAAAAGAATCTTCTTGTTGAGTCCAAGATTGCAGGAACCTTGCTTATATTATGTAGAACGATCCAGGGATGCGGGTGCGCCGGTAATTGTCCGCGCTTCCCACGGCTCATCTTGTACGCTGACGGGCTTATATCCTCGCTCCGTCGCTACACGACCCGAGCGTCTGCTGAAGGACTGTGCCTCATTCATCTTTGATCGGCATGGTCGAGCGTGAACATGATTTGCCCCAGCCGACTTCACCCGCGATTGCGGAGACAGGCCTGTCAGCTCGGGGGAACTCCAGAAAGGTCTCGGGTACCCCAAATTGCCTGATTCGGCCAAGTGGAGAGATATGGTGAATCGGATGGCTCGAGCAGAAAGCGGATCCCATACGGCGGCGCTTTGACATGTATTCTTATACTCCCATCTCTATCGTCCAGCCAAATCCTATGCCATCATGCCGACACTAAACGCCCCCAGAACCTAAGCAAAATACAGTCTCATCAAGCAATTATGACTTGTTAATAGTCAGTGGCTTGAAGGGTTTCCTCAGCCGGTCTATTGGTGCAATGCCCCCTTCCTTCTTCAATGCCGCAGGTCGCTTGAACCCTCCAAACCCGTTTGTCGTTGTCGTCGTGTGCAAACAACTAGCTGGCCGTTCTCGGACAGGCGGCGGCTGGTCCGCATCTTGGTTTTCTTTCTCAGGTGATGCTGGTCGAGGAGGGGAGCTCGAGAAGTTGGCATAGTGTTTCTTGAGCCCCACGGCGCCTTCAATCGCTGGTCTCGCAGGCTTGGGTGGCAGCTTGCTTGCTCCGAGCCTGTGTCCACTGAGGCTTGGCGCAATGGCCGGAGCAGGCTGTTGCACCTGGTGCAGATTCGGAAATTCAGGCAGCTCTTGAAGGGCCGACCGCGACTGAGGAGCAAATGCACGGCTTGCTGCTGGACCCGCAGCCACCGGCACGTCAGGCCTGGACCTTTTAACAAATCCCAGAAGACTCTGCTGGTCGGCTGGCCGCTTCGTCGTTCCCCTTCGAGGCCCAGTCGACTTTTGAGCGCCCGAGTCGCTGCGTCGGGCTGATGTTGCCATTTCGTTCGCGGCTGCAAGCATTTCCCGAGCTGCGCTCGCAGTAGTGAAACCAGGCAGTGTGAAGTCGGACGCACCATCCATTGTCGTGGAGGCATGCCATGTCGACACTAGCTGAGGATCAGTCTCTTCCGATGCTGAGATCGCCTGTGGACGAGGACGCCGCTGCCATTGCCTGTTTCTACCACCAGCACCATCCTCGAAAGAGTCCTCTGGATCCTCGGGGTACAGGTTGTCCTCGGGCCGTTCCAGGACGGGCATTTCTTTGAAGACTTCGTCTTGCGACGGCACCTTGGACTCTCGTCGCAGTATGCGTCCGATTTCTTGCAAAATCCCGGGTTCAAAAGATGGACCGCGTTTTCTAAAGTACGGGTGAATCTCTGATGGAACAAACTTGGACAATTCAGTACGCTCGCCCCCGTTCCCTCCGTGCTGCGAACTGTACATCGGGCAGCTAAGATAGAGAAGCGACTGGGCCCGCGTCATGGCTACATAGAGGAGACGGCGTTCTTCGTCAAGGTCCTCTGACCTCATGTGTGGGATAGACCCATTATACACGGCAGGGACGAAGACAACCGGCCATTCCAGGCCCTTGGCTGCGTGAATGGTCGAGATGGTCACCAGTGGCTTGTTGTCAGCATCGCCTTTTTGCTGGGCGTCCGACGCCAAGGAGACATTGGCCAGGAAGCGGCCAAGAGCGTCGTCCTCTTGCACCTGTTGGACTCCGTCGATCACCGGGAGACGATCTTCGTCCGCTGTTGCGCTCAGATCCCGCATAAAATCTCCCGCCAGACTGATAAACTCCTGCACATTGGCCCATCGTGTCTCGTGCTCGTCTGGGTAGTTTTCTTGGAGGTATTTTTGGAAGTTAAGTTGCGAAAGCAGGTTTTCGATCAGATCAACCAAGTGATAGTACGGACTCCCGGTGGGAGGTTCTTGGATCTTCTTCCCGAGTGCCGACACTAACCTGAGCAGCTCTCCGCTGATCTTCTGCTCCATGGCTTTTTTAATGTTCGTCTTTGCTTGTCGTTCCCCTCGGCAATGCTTGTTCAGCAATGCCCAGACGCTCAGCTTGGAGCTTTCAGCTTCTTCGAGAAGAGACTTAATGGTCGTGTCCCCGATGCCGCGGCGAGGAACGTTGATGATGCGGGCCACTGCATCATTGTTATCTGGTTGGTGGATGACGCGCAGGTAGTCAAGGATCACCTTGACCTCGGCGCGCTCGTAGAACTTGAACCCGCCAACCATTCGATATGCTATTCCAGATTTGCCAAGGGCTGATTCGATATTTCTGGAGAGAGATGCTGATCGTAGGAGAATTGCCACATCGTCGTGGGCAAGCATCTTGCCCGCCATCATCAGAATTCTCTTGATCTCAGACACGATCCATTCGGCCTCGACGGCGGAGGACTTGAGACGCCGCAAGACCGGTCGGGTGCCTTTGTTGTGTATTGGCAGCAGCAACTTCTGGTAACGTTTCTTGTCCTGTTGAATCACCTTTAAAGACACATCCAAGATTGCCTGCGACGAGCGATAGTTTTCCTCTAGCGAAATCTCATCCGTGTCTGGATAGTCTCTGAGAAGACGGTACAGATTTTTGATCTCGGCGGATCGCCAGCCATAAATACTTTGATCAGGGTCTCCAACGATGGTGATTCTCTCCCTTGCCTGAGCGAACAGCCGCATGAGCTCGTACTGAATTCCATTGGTGTCTTGGTACTCGTCGATGAGCACAGCCTGAACGTTGGCGACACAGGATGGGTGCTTGCGCAGCAGCTCGACACACCGAGTCAACAAGTCGTCGTAGTCCAGCAGGTTGGAGCGCTCGAGGTGGCTCTGATACTCGCGAAAGCATGTTTCCAGATCGCGGCTTTGTGGGACCTCCTGGCCGTTCCGCTTCTGCGAAGTTTGATTGTCGCCCTTTGCCTTTTTCTTGCTGATCCATGATCTTGCAACCGGAGGATCAACCGAAAGCTGTAATCGCTTGCATATCCTCTGGATGATGGATCTAGAATCCGCATCATCTGCGATGGCGAATTTCTCGTCTAACCCGATGCGTTTGCCGTAAGCTGCAAGATAGCGACGCGCAATGCTGTGGAAGGTGCCGAGAACAATCTTTTTCCCACGGTCATCCCCAAGGGCCTTGGTGATGCGTTCTTTCATCTCCCGCGCGGACTTCACCGTGAAGGTGGCGACAACAATGTCAGCGGGGGCATAGCCGACGTTGTCCAGGAGCCAGACGACGCGAGAGGCCAAAGTGTGCGTCTTGCCACTTCCAGGACCGGCCAGAATGGCGACTGTAGACGCCTTGGACGTGACGGCTCGGCATTGTGCTGGGTTCAGGGTTGCCAGGATAGATTCGGCTGGGCCAGGGGCCGAGCTGGGCGAGTTCATCGTCGAAGAGCGGTCATTGGCGGGAATTGCACACCAGATGTAAGTGTTTGTATTCAGGAGGCAAGTAAGCAACCGATCATGAGCCGCATGTCCCCTCGTCGTCAAAGGCTGTCGCGTACTAAGAGCTGGCCGACGCGTTTGGAGGGATGCACAGTAACGGCGCCAGCAGCCATGTCAACATCGCGACTCCCGGCACGGTGTCACATGATCCTATCATCTACCGAGGCACGTGATGATGAACGTGATGGACCATAGCACGTGTATGCCCAATTAGGTACGCACGTGCCATCGAGATCATCTTGTCGATTCCACCCCCATCCTCAACGGTGACCCCTGGGCACTGTACACCCACTTTGCCGCCGAAGGCACGTACCGGTAATGCCCTGGCACCCTTAGCTTTCGTCGCCGGATTTCGCTGTGCGGAGACTTCAAGACCACACATCCACGAAATGCATACTCGCGCACGCTTACTAGACTATTGGCATTTCTCGGCTAGAGGTAAAGTTCGTGGTGTCGGCCGGTCCACTTCTTTACCTCGCGCGCTCAGGGCTGCGTTGTGTTATCTTGGTCCACGGCCGTGACTGACTTGCGCCCAGCGTTGCATCTTGCTGGATTCGGATGCAGTCGTCGGCAGGTTGACAATCCGTTATCCTTTGGACTAACACCTTACTCAGTAACCCAGGTAATCTGAATCACCTACAGGAGATCAGGAGGTTATCCCCTAGCCCTACGCTGAGACCATCAATCATGCCGCTGACTCGACGAACTGGAGGTTTGTTTCCTTCATCAATCGTCCCATCTCGTTGCTTCCATATCGCTACCGGCCGAGCAGAGGTGTGCAAGGTATGCCTGATTGGGGCATGGGCATACGGTTACCTAGCATGGTACGGACAAAGTTTGTCCGCACGTGCTTTGATGATTCGCAAAAAGCTCCTCTGCCTACCTACCCCCCAACAACAAACCATTGTCCGCCGCAAACCCAAAGGTTTCCCCTCTCTGCCACGCATAATAAGTTGAGCGAGTGGAAGTCTATCTCGATGTTCCATCGGCCGATCGGAGAGACGACGGTCTCAATCCTATCACGGTGACGAAGCTAACGACCATCACGCTCTAATGCTGCTCCCAATGTGAAGTCACACTCAGGCAGACATCCCATTCGAGGACGTTCTGTAATGATACCACATGGGGTGGCGGGGGGAGGATGGCCTGTGCGACGAGTCGCGTCTAATTGCAGGAGGGAGCGGCGCTTTGCGGTCAGAGAGACGGGAAGACTGGGAGGTCGAGAGACACGATCCATGGGCCGACGCAGGGACAGGCCTCATGTGACTCAATATGATCGCCCGTCTTCTTTCATCGGCGCAACGGTCAAGGACGAAGACAGGACGAGAGAGCGCGAAGACCACGACCGACAGGCCGAAAAACGGCTGATCCGGAGAGCGGTGGGAGGAACCGCTCACCTTTTCACCACCTTTCCTTCCCCTATCCAAGACCGGAACACGGTGCTCCCGCCTCTCAATGGACGGGCCGTTTGTGGCCCTGACCGACATGCCACCGCCCTGTACTGACGAATTGAGTTGGCAAAATCGATTCCGGTGTGGTACAGCGCGGGGTTTGGTCAGCTCAACTGTGATGGGGGGATCCAATCAAGACCCCGGCAACCGGGCTGGGCGCTTAAACCCCCTGGCCATCACCACGATCCGTCCAACCACACAGCCGGATGCCCTTGATGCTCCCGCCTCCCCTCCTCTCGGTAGAAAACAATAATAGCCACGGGTCTTCGTAGGCGCTATCATTGCTGCTCGTCGCCATCGAGACCATTATGCAAGTGCGACCGCTTTGCAGGATTCGTGCCTGGAGAGGGGGGGTAGGCTCCAGCAAGTCAGAGTGCAGAGCACACGGTCAGCGCCAATCTCGCGCGGCATTACCGAATCTCACCAGCCGCTATATACCCTTTGTGCGCCATATCCGTGCCTTTCCATGTAGTTTCTCCATCATAATGTGTTTCGGACCCTCCTCCAGGAGGTAAGATCATCAAAGCTGGGTTTGACTTTTAAAAAGAGTTGCTGTGTCCATGCCAGCTAACCATGAAACCCTCCCAAGCCTTTATCAACCTTCGTCCTCAACTTCGACTTCGCTTCTTGTCCATCACTTTCTTCTTTGCCTTGTTCGTCTGCAGCTGCCCTACTACCGCGCGTGCAGCACCCTCTGTCCACGAGACTCGCAACAACAGTCCTCTAAACATCAATAGGGATCTCGCACCATCACTCGAAGACGGACCCCCAGCAGCATCTGCTGGTGCTCCCAAAGACCCCTCCTACCTTCCTTACCAGATCGGCGCCATCGTCGGCTCGTACGGAGTTTCCTTGGTGCTGGTTGCCGCTTTGTTACTCATACTGTCCAAGAGACGCCGGGAAGCCCTAGCCGCCGGCAACGAAGAGGTCGACTTCGAAGACCCAAAGCCCCATCCCCCAAAGCTCACGCTAGAGGTGCCAAATTCCCCCCGTAGCATCCCGCGGAGTCCCGTTCGCAACATTTCGTATCCCGCCGCGGACGAATACCAGACGCCGGAGTACCCGATACCCCAGACACCTTACATCACCCCAACACCCACCTCGACGCTTCACGCCCCAGGAGTAGACTTTGCCGTGGACCAGACTGTGGTCGCAAAAGACAGGAAGATGGCGCAGACGCAACTCGAGGAGATGTACAAGTACGTGATGGAGCAGGAGGAGGCCAAGGCGGCGGGCATCAAGCTGGAAGGCTCGCCGGTGCTCCCCAACAGTCAGCCACAGCTGCCCACGCCGACAAACGCCGGCTTCAGCAAGTCGACGCTCAGGAAGGAGAAGCACAAGCCGGGGAACCTGACCCTCGGAGAGGAAAAGGGCGAGAAGAAGCAGTCTAGGGCGTCGTCCATCTTCGCTGCGCTGCGCTCGCCCAAGAAGCACAAGGAAGTGCGGGGCATCAGCATCTCATCACCCATCATGACGCCCATGACGGGCACGTTCCCGCGCCAGGAGTCTCAGGAGCTGAGCGCCATCCCGCCGCGGCAGTACGCGCCGCCGCCGCCGCCGCCGGCAGTGCCGGGCAGCTCGTCGACGTACGGGGGCGCGCAGCAGCACAACGGCCAGATATCCCCCGTTAGCCCGGAGCACTCGCCCGAGAGCACGCAGAGCATCGACGAGAGAATCGGCGGGCAGATACCTTTCGGTCACGCCCGGAACCCCTCGGCGGCCTTGTCCGAGATGGAGCACAACTCGGCCGTATCGGAGAGGTCCACTGCCCCGCTCATCGGGCTGCCGCAGTCCCCGAAGCCGGGCGCACGGTTCTCCAGCACTCTCCCCGCGTCCCCGAAGCCCGGGTCGTCGTTCCAGATCCCCCCGGCTCCGAGTGCCGCCGGTGGGTTCCGATCCAAGGCCCCCTCGGCCGTCCGCACCGGAGGCAACCTGCCTCTGCGCGCGTACGAGCCCGCGATGAGCTCGCCCTCGCTAGTGTCGCAGACCACCAAGCAGACCGTCTTCACTCGCGCGGGCCCGCTGTCGCCGTCGGGGGCGCGGACACCGGCGACTGGGATGGCAGTGCCGTACTCGCCCTACCAGCCCTTTACACCTTGCGTGCCCATGACGCCGACACTGGTCACCAAGGCCGACCGCAAGAGGATGAAGAAGCTGGAGCCCAAAACGCCGACGTTGGAGATGGTCCGGAGTGAAAACGATATCTGGTAAAAGCAAAACAAAAAGAAGAAGAAAGCACAAAAAAACAGCATGACCCAAGGCTGGCAAGGAAGGGGCCTAGAGAAAGGGAAATACCATATAGACCGTATGGAGGGGGGATCAAGAGCAAAGCCCGCCTGGCGGGCGACCGTGAGTGTAATGTCGTGATGAAATTTTCTGTTTTCTTTTTTATTCCCTTTTTTTGGTCTGTTTTCCTCGAAGATGTTTTTTCTTCTTCTTTTTCTTTCCCTCTTTCGCCACCCCTTTTTTGTTTCGAAGCTTTCAAAAACGAGAGTGCGCGGGTCAGCGGGCGCGGCTCCTTGGCAATGTCTCTGTTGACGTTTTGTTCCCTGCTTCAAGCGGATTTACGTCGATCGCGTTGCAGCAGACACGAGTATGAGGATGAGGATGAGGATGAGGATGGCAAGTTAGGAGAGGGAGTGAGTGGAAGAGAAAGCACGAGTCACGCGCCCTGTCGACACTCGAGAGTGAATCTGGGTGACGTGAACGAAGGGGATCCAAGGACCAGGAGGCGAGGTGAGGGGGAAATCCGCGATGCTGCGGTAATCTGAACTAGTAGCATCGACGATTGAGGAAGTAGGATATTTACATAGTAATAGGGTTTTTCCATTCTACGCGTCCTTCCTCGCCCGTCTCGGCATTCCCAGGGCCTTTCCGTGACGCGGTGACATGCATGGATGGCCCCCAAATGTCCCAGGATGGGAGGAGTGCGTTTCAGAAGGCCCGGAAGGGCTGGAGATGAGGCATGCGACGTTATCTGCCGCGTCCTTTCGTGTGTCGGGGTGGGCTGGAATGGGGAGGGGGAGCATGTGCTGATGGGCGGGCGGTGTTGCGGTCGGTCGGTCCCTTTGACGACAATGATCTTCTTTTTTTACTGGTGCCCAGAACTGTGATGCCGAGCACCAAGCTTACTGCTGATTCTACACCTTGCCCATCCGGATACGAATATAACTTCGCTGCTCTCTTCACGGACTACCTGATCAAAATCACGAACCCGAACGTATCTGTATTGTAGACCCGTAATGCAGGGGACCTCTTTGCCGCTCCAGGGCATCTCATGATTGACGCCGGGTCTCCTTGCACACCCAAACAAGATTGAGGTAGGTATATTGGATTTTTGCTGCTGGGGGTGCCCATGTTGGTGAACTTTTCCACTCGTTATAGTTAGATCTAGACCATGGCAGCGGTTTTGTACTGCCGACTTTGAGCGGAGAGAGATGGCACAAGCCGAAAAGACGAGAGAGAGCGAGAGAGAGAGAGAGGGAACGAAAGAGTCTCGGCCCACTGGGAGACGGCAATGTGCCGGGGCTGGGGATCGTTAGATGTTACAGAGGCACGGTCGATCGGACAGTCACAAGCATGCGGGGGGGGGTTCAGATTCACATTTTTTTTTTTTTTTTTTTTTGCTTGCCCCGCTGTCAGCTTGGCGGGTTTGATGTCGCACCCAGCGCCAATTGTGAGACAGACACTTACTGAGGCGTTGGAAAAGAGAGGAGGAGGGGGGTAGCGAAGTGACATGGAGGCGAAGAGGGAGATTAGAGAAAGACGGCCGGATCCAGCGAGACTCGAAGGCCGACCCACGACGACGGAAACCCGTAGGCAGCTGTGGCAGGCATCGGCAGATATTAGCTGACATTGCGACAGGTGTTTTTGGGCAAGACAGGGCGGCGATATTCAGATGGAACGGGGAGGATAGCCGAGGGCCACAGCTGTCTGTCTGTTTGCGGCTGGCGTTTGTGCGTTTTATTATTTTAATTATTTGTTTTAGCATGACCGACCCGACGCCGTGGCGAGGCGCCGGTGGGAAACCCACGGCCCTTCATTGGACGTTTTGGGAACAGATAGCCGCGGACACGGAAATTCGGGCAAAAAGAAACAGCGACCGCCGCTGCCTGTGGGGGGCTTCTTGTCTCTCTCTTGCTTTCTTTCATTCTTTCATTCTTTTTCCAAGTTGAGGAAGGCGTGTTTCCTTGCAAGGAACTGATTTGTGGGAAACGGTGGTTCACAATATCCACAAGGCTCCTTTCTTCCGCCTCCCCGCTGTCTCGCTTATTATGGCTTGTTGCTGTTTACTTGTACCTAGGTAGGTAGTATAGGTACAGTGGGGTGCCAAAAATCACGGTACACCTCACTCGATAACGCGTCACAACGCGTCCTCCAACATTCACCTCCTCTTCTTATCTCCCCCATAACTTCAGTAAATTATGGCTGACTTGCAAGCCTCTTGTTCTCACATATAAAGTTGATGGTTTTGTTGCTAGTTAAAGTGATGCAGTCATAATGCTGGTGGCCAGGAAATTAGTGGGTGTGCCAAGACCATTTGGCACCCCACTGTATGTATGTGTGCCGCTCTTTCGCTGTCGGGCAAACCTTGTTTTTCTGTTCTTTCTCCTACCCTTCTCGTTTTTCCCTCAGCGTTTCCTTGGCTGCTACCGGTACTGTCTGCTCTTTGCTAGGTACACTAGGTACACTGTACTACGCTGGCGGCGTCTCTGCGCCGTGGACCATGGTTACGAAAAGATGCTACGCCGTACGTGCTGCTTAGCGAAAATGAGAGTGGGTATGGCCCGGCTGGGATGCTCCCCGGGGCTGGCTCCGTCTCCAGCGCAGCGCCCAGCAGACGCTGAACAGACGCCTTAAGCAAGAAACATAGGCGTCCATGCTGAGATGCTTTTATGCAAGGATGCATCGATGCAATGCATGGAAGAGAAGGGAGAGTGCAGGGTGGCGGGGCCAGACAGGAAATGGCAGCCAGAGGCAGGCACACACTATCTACCTATCGACAGGCATAGGCGGGGCATAAACAGACTGAGACGGACAGACAGGTAGGTAGAGTACGAGCACCTGTCTCTACGAATGGTGGCCGAGGATAGGTAGCCGGCGGGCGGGTAGACGGACGGGACACACACCGGTGGGGACGAGGGAAGACTAAAGAGAGGCATCGTCTCATATTGTTTAGCTTGCCGAGGTACGTATCTGCCTGACACACGTGGTCCACATGGCAGCCGAGCCTACCTCACACCCACAGCCCTTGTCTTTCCCGTCCTGGACTCGACGAAGACGCTTTGGGACAGAAGAATGGACAATCGAGGGAAAGGATGAGGCCGAGTAGGGAGCTACATGGCACGCTTCGGTCATCTGCACTGGAAAGAAGGTGCTTTATGTACACGTACCTACCTACCTACGGAAAGGATAACTTGAAGGGAAAGATGGAAGGGAAAGGGGGGTACGATGAGGCAAGGACGGGCCAGGGGTGAGCAGGGACGGGCAGGGACACAGGTGGTGGTCTGGGCTCCTGCTGGTTTCTGGGCTCATAATCGTACGATGGGCCCCCGTTTCTTTCCTTCTCTGCTCTCTCGACTCTCTTTCCTTCCTCTCCCACTCCATTCGCGTCTCTCCCCGACTCTACTACGATTTCTTCCTTAGTCCCCGACGACTTCTCTCCCCCCCTGCACTGCACTGCACTGCACTGCACTACACTACACTATATTGTACTGGACTGCACTGTACCGACTGTACTCTATTGCACTCGCCTCACTCTGCTCTCCTTCGGGCAAATCCTATTCAGTCCATATTTTCTGTCTGTTCGACCGAACGAGTGACAAAGCTCCGTACTCGGTGTCGCGACAGTGGAGTGTGCGTGTCGATTCATTCCCACACCCACGACACCTTCCCCACCACCCACCGCCCAACCACTGCATCTCTTGTAAACTAACAACCATACCCGTCCCTCCCCGTCCCCATCCCTCCCTTTCCTCCCCCTTCCCTTCCAAACTTGGTGTACCTACCGCAACCCCCGCTCCACACACATCGATCATCTCTGCACTCAACCCAACCCAACCCAATTAACCCAGACTGCAACTGTGTGTGAGTGTGAGGTTAACTGCGCGAAGAATAATCGCTGCAGGGAACCACAGAAAGAGTAGGAAGGCAGAAAAAATAAAATAAGGCCAGCATCATACGACTCGAGCTTCCCGCCTGGGTCTTTCCGCCTGACCGCGTCTCAGCTGACACAACCACTCTTCGCATCCATCCCTCCCAAATCTGCTCATCCCAATCTCTGCCGACAGTCGTACGACTGACAACACGATTCCTCTTCTTGACAGAGTTCGGATCGCTCCCGTTTACACCCCGAATCTCACTGGACCCTGGGGCCCTTCTCGATCGATCCTGTTGCCACCGCCGGCCACTCACATCTCGTCCCGGGGCAGCAGCGGAAACCGGCTCGCCATTCGCGCAACCGCCCCGGCACTCTAGATGGTTTGTGCCGATTTCGATGAATTGAGCATCAGTCCATAGTTGCATACCAAACAACCCCTCAGCAACATGGCGGACCAGGATTCCAATGCCTTATTTGGCCTCGATAACAACAGCCTCGGTGTCGCCCCGTCTTTCCTTGACGACTCGGAGGGCCAGAACGTCAAGCCTGGCTCCAACGGTGCCTCTAACCTAGCCACCGACAACCAGTCCTACTACGATACTACCAATTGGTCCTTTCAGGACACGCCCCCGTACGACTCCTACACTATCGCGGCCACCACCGCCGCTGGCGCCACTTCTATCTTCCAGACGGCTTCGCCCTGGGAACTCTCTCCGAATCAGCAGCAGCAACAACAACAACACCAGCACGTCGTCCCGAACGTCTCGTCCGCCCTCGACCACTCGACCCTCGCTCAGGCTGGCTTTTATGCCGCCTCCACTCCCGCCCCTGCCCCCAACCATTACTCCCAACAAGCTGGCAAACACGACAGCCTTTCGCAGGAGAATCCGAGCCTCTTGACGCCCGCCCAGCAGGAAAAGCTCAGGAACATTGCCATGCCCGCTCATCTCCAGTACCAATCCCCCAAGAGCGAGCCGAGCCCCGGATCTGCCACGAGCGACCACAAGGCAGCAGGACTGTCGTCCCCCGAAGCTCATGACCACTCTAGCAAGGCCAGCAGGAAGCGCAAGTCGTCGGCTGATGTCGACGATGACGACGACGAGGATGACGAGAACCACCCCGTCAAGAAGACGGCTCACAACATGATCGAAAAGAGGTATCGCACCAACCTCAACGACAAGATTGCCGCCCTTCGCGACAGCGTACCCAGCCTGAGGATCATGTCCAAGAGCGCCCGCGGCGAGGATACCACCGAGGACCGCGAAGAGTTACACGGCTTGACGCCGGCTCACAAGCTGAACAAGGCTACGGTAAGTCGAGATGGCAAGGACGAAGGCACTGGCCGAAACGCGGGTACTGACGTTCACAGGTCTTGAGTAAGGCGACAGAGTACATCCGCCACCTAGAGAAGAGGAATAACCGACTCTGCGAAGAGAACAGCGCGATGCAGGCTAGGATTAGCGCCTTTGAGAAGCTTTTCGTCGCCGGCGCAATGAATGGCGCTATGAGCCCCCTCCAGCAACCGCCGACGCCGATGCAGTACCCGCAAGACCATTACATCCACACCCCATCGGCACACCGCGTGGCGAGTCCGCCCAAGGCATAATTCCCGTGCCCGAAGACATGAAGCGCATCATCTCCGCTCAGATGGCAGTTGGCCAGCCTTACCCCGTCCCGCAACAGGGCTATCGCGGAAACCCCAACCTCATGCGGCAGCAACAGATCCAACAGCAACAGCAGCAGCAGCAGCAGATGCAGCAGCAAGGACGCTGGGGCGCTGGCCCTTACTTTGGCAAGCTGATGGTCGGCTCGCTGGCTGGACTGATGATCATCGAAGCTGTGCACGAGAACGAACAGAGCAACGAGTCGCCCGACGGACGTGGTCTCTTTGCCATGCCCATTCAGCTACTCAGCTACCTCGGATCGACTTCACACATGCACTTTGGCGGCTACTACATTTCTCCCGCTCAGATCATTTCTCATTTGAAATTCTTGCTCTTCCTCGGTACCTTGTTGTGGGTCTTTGTGCCCTCGCTGTTTGTGCCATCCGAGAGGAAGCCCAAGAAGGCCCACCAGGTCAGAGAGTCACTTCAGGCCGCAGGCTCTGTTGCGTCACCGATTCATGTGCGCCGGCAGGCGTGGCTGACAGCCATTCAGACGGTCTGGGTTCCGCAGCACAACTTTTTCCTCGAGGCTGCGGCCTTGATCTTGAAGACGATGAAGCTAAGCATGCGCAACGCCATTGGCGTGCATGGCTATCAGATGCTCACTGGCCTGACCGAGGAGCAGGAGGCCGCCCGCGTCAAGGCATGGTCTATTGCCCTGGATGCACAGTTGGCGGGCGGCGACGTCGAGATTAACAAGAGCCGCCTGACGCTTACGCTGCTGGCGTCCGGTACCCTTCCCGAAACCCCGTCCCGACTGATGCTCAAGGCTCTGCATGTTCGCGTCCTTCTCTGGGACCTCGGCTCCAAGGGTCTGCACAATATTGTCGCCAAGAAGCTCGCCCGCTCTCTATGGAACGATGCCAGAACTATGAACCGCATGCTCGCCCAGCTCCGCCGCAACTCGGAACAGGTCGAGGACGACCTCCCCGACCACCTTGCCGCCCTGATTGAGCTGGAATGCGATGACGTCCTCAACAACAGTGTCATACAGCGAGCCTACAACTTGGCATGGAACCTGGCGACGACCGAGGGCGTCACCGAGCACAATGACGGCATGGACTCGGTTGTCGACGACCAGGCTGTGCGCTCGCCCCTCGACGCCGTGGCGGCGTGGTGGTCTAGCCAGACCATCCAGCGCGCCTTGATCACCAGCCTCGGGGCCGATGAGGATGACGGCGACGCTCCGAGAGTGGTATCGACTTGCTTGGAGTCGGCACTCAAGACCGCCCCTATCGGATCTGGTGTACAGGCACGTGCTCTGGTAGCCCGCGCTGTACTCGTCGACGAGAAGCGGGGCGCCAACATTGCCGCTGCACTTCAAGACATCCAGCCGACGGATGAACAGAAGTCTTTCAGCCAGATTGCCGCCATTGTCGGCTCGTCCACAACTGCCCAGGCTCCCGACGTCCAGATGGCGCTCAGGTGCGCAATGGCCATTGCCCACCTGCAGCGTGCCAAGTTGACGGCCGCGGCGCCGCAAGAGGGTCTCCGTCTCATCGAGAAGATTGTCCTCCCGAGGGCCACGGCCAACATGTCGCTCCTCGGCTGCGCCGCACTCTTTAGGCTGATGGAAGAGCTGTTTGCCAGCGGGCCATCAACCGAGTGTTTCAGCACCTCCCTCGAGCGGCTTGCCGGCAGCCTCCGTATCTGGATAGGCAGCGCGCCCGGCGAAAAGTGTGGCCTCGAGCAGGACGTCCGCCACAAAATGGTGGACCGCTGCATCGGCATTACCAAGAGCGTCGTCGGCATGGAGACGGATACAGGCTACGGCAGCATGAGCGAGTGCGAGGAAGAGGACTGCTGATGTGTTCCTTTGTTTCCCCCGTCTCTCCAGGCGGTTTCTCTCCCCTTACTACATTATAGATGCAGTCTTTTCTTCTTCTCTTTTGTATTTGCCACGGCCGGGACCTCTTTGAATTTTGGCGTCGGGCAACCGGAGCAGGATTGTATTCTACTGTATGGCTTGCAGTGGGGCGTTTCTCATTCTACTTATTATTTTTTCCATTCTTTTGTGTAGGGAAAGCAACGAGGCAATTGGCTGGAAAAGGTCGGGACCAGCGGATTTATGCATGGACAGAGAGACCCCCTGGTGGTTGACATTCAAGCTCTCACAAGGACTGTTGAGGGATGGGAGCGGTGTTCTTGGGATATGCACTTGACGGCTCGAAAAAAGTTGCAAAGGGATGTGTCTATAATACGTGGGCCATCGGGGGCCAGGCACTATGCTATGTAGAATCAATTATTGGCAATGTGTCGTTGCTTAGCAGTATATGACGGTGCATGACATTTTGTAATGAGCGATGGTGGTGAACGATGCATGGGGCGGGAAAGACGGCCTGGAGATATGTCCTGATGGAGCAGGTTGCCAGCGCTGGGAGGGTTACAACGGGCAGGATGCCCCCCCGGCGACTTTCCTATCTCGATGCAGATAGATAGATAGATAGGATTGTCGCCACATGACGAGGGTTGTTATATGATGAGCCCGGGATCACGCGGTAAAGAAAAGGGGCGGGATGGGATTGGATCAGGAGAGAGCGCCGGTGACGTTGATGTTGGAAAGAACTCTCTAACACGAGGCCAAGGAAAAAAGCATGGCAAGAGGGAGAGGACACCAAGGTGTTATGCTACACAGGTACTCCGTAGTGAGGCACGTATAGTCCCAGACCGAGATTTTCTTCTACAGGGGCGCGCAGACAGAAAGGACGCCGCCTAGCGTACCTATCTAGGTAGGTAGGTAGGTACCGAATGCAAGTATTCGTCACTAGGTACGGATATCTGTAGTGTAGTTTAGATAAAAGAAAGCAAGAGCGGGATCCCGCCTTCTCCAACTTCCAGATACTGTAGGTACGTGCATGACCCCGCCCGGGCAGAAGATAGGAAGGTACGTATGGAGTATAGACACTCAACACAACATCAACGGGGTAGCCAGGTGCCCCATCTCTTCTCGCAATCTGGGCTGTACACCACAGAAAAGCACATGACGCGCCCGAAAAGGAAACGTCGACATAGACTATTCTCTGCCAGGTGACTGGGAGAGGTTGCATGCATTCGGCGGCCTGCTGAATCGGGATTCGGGGTGTGGTCTGTCCCGTCTCTCTGAGTCGTTATCTTCTGCACATACCGCCGGCGACGCAAAAAGTAAGTCCTGGATCGGATGGGACTTTCGGCGCTGATACAACTTTGATTCTCTAGTATCAGCATGTCGGAATGAGGTCCGTTGCAAAGCGACCAACCAGTTCGCCAAGAACACACGCCGCAAAACCAAATGTCTTGGACGAGGACCGCATGCCGCCGTGATGGCTCAGTCCGCCACGAGCTGGAAGCTCTCTTTCAGCACAACCCAACCTTCGAGCCCCGGTAACCCACCCAATTCGCGACAGTCCTGTTCGATACCGAATCGGAAGTCATCCTGCCGAAAGGGTGTCCATCTTGGATATCTTGCTCCCCTCCCTTGCCCCCTCCTTTGGACCAGGACCGACCGGCATGTGTGTGCCATTTCACTCACGGTACCTAGTAAACCTGACCTCCAAATTACCATTTCCCCCGCATCCTGATGGCAGCCTACCGCTTTGTCTAGATCCAATCAGACGCCAACATCACCGGGCGCCATTTGACGCAAGATTGCAGCCGGCTGGGCAATGACAGCCTGCTCCTCTCGCCCCCCCTCTCCCCAGGCTCGACTATCGCCGTTTGCTGTCGGTAACTGGTTAGTATCGGCCGGCTCGCTCGCGGGCGCGCGTCTCTCTTTCTGGCCTTTTTTTTCTTCCAATATTGACATGTATGGTCGATCACCCTCGCTTGAGATGTCCCCCCTGCCGTCCAACCCATGTCGTCCACTACTCAAGGACTGCGCAAGCAAATCATTGTGCCCGAATTGTCGGCATACCTTCCACTTCCTGCGGCACTGGCATTCTGATGGTCAGGTACCCGTCCTGCTCATGCTTGTGTAGGCAAGGGAGATCGATTACTTTCACTAGCTCCAAGAGATCCCATAGGCAGGGGGGGGAGGAGTAAGATGTCATGTTCACGAGTTCAGTTCCTCGGCGATGGGTAGAACATTATAAAGAGCGGGCAATTGGTCGTGCCTTTGGGCTCTCGTGTTCTGGGTAGTCAAGCTCAAGCGACGCTAATCTTTCATGATGCCTCGTTACTCTCGCTCCGGGCTCGACATGCCACGGCGCTCCTTGTTCGCCGTGTTTGCCCTCGTTTCGTTTGTGCTTCTGGTCACCATTGGCCTCGCCACGCGCGGATCCCACCAGGGCCCCAATTTGCGGTTTGAGCGCAGCGACGATGGGAAATGGCATGCCAAGGCCAAGGCCAAGACCCGTGCCGCGCCCGCTGGCGACAAGTACCTCGTCGGGGCCGGCAAGGCCGACATCACCGGCCCCGTCGTTGAGATTGGGTTCGCCGGCTACGCGGACCTGTCCCAGGTGGGCACAGGGCTGCGCCAGCGCATCCACAGCCGCGCCTTCATCGTCGGAGACGTCAACAACCCGAGCGATCGGTTCGTGTACCTCGTCATGGATACGCAGAGCGGCGACACGGCAGTCCGGAAAGGTATCATCGAAGGCGTGCAAGCGCTTGGGTCCGAGTACTCCGTCTACAACAAGAACAACATCGCCGTGACAGGCACCCATAGCCATGCCGGGCCGGGCGCATGGTTCAACTACCTCCTCCCGCAGATCACCAGTCTGGGTTTCGACAAGCAAAGCTACCAGGCCGTCGTCGACGGCGCCGTGCTCTCCATCAAGAAGGCCCATGAGTCCCTGACCGAGGTATGTCGGCCTCCTCTCCCGCAGTACAAAAATTGGACCAATTAACTGACGTTAACAGGGTTACCTCGACGTGGGCACCGCCGAAGTCACCGACGGCGCCATCAACCGCAGCCTCTGGGCCTATCTCGCCAACCCCGAGGCTGAGAGGGCCAAGTATAGCTCCAGCACCGACACGACCATTACCCTCCTCCGCCTGCAGCGCGCCTCGGATGGCAAGAACATTGGCCTGCTGACGTGGTACCCGGTGCACGGCACCTCGATCCTGCAGAACAACACGCACGTGGCCGGCGATAACAAGGGCGTCGCGGCGTACCTCTTGGAGAAGGACCTCGCGGGCGACGCGAGCGCCGCGCCAGGCTTCGTGGCCGGGTTCAGCCAGGCCAACGTCGGCGACACGACGCCGAACGTGCTCGGCGCCTGGTGCGACGACGGGAGCGGTCAGCAGTGCAGTCTGGAGAACAGCACGTGTGCCGACGGCAAGAGTCAGTCGTGCCACGGCCGTGGGCCCGCCTTTGACAAGTTGGACCTGGGCATCTCGAGCTGCTACGAGATTGGGAGACGGCAGTATGCCGGTGCCAAGTCGGGCTATGTAAGTGATCTATCTCGAGCGACGTGAGTGTAGGAATCGCAGCTAATGCTGTCAGGATGCCCTGGAGTCTTCCTCGACCCCGATCGTTGGCACGAGCGTCAAGTCCTTCCACTTCTTCCACGACATGTCCTTTTACAACTTCACCCGCGCCGACGGCACCGTGGGCCAGACGTGCCCCGCGGCGCTGGGTTACTCCTTCGCCGCGGGCACGTCGGACGGCCCCGGCGCGTTCGACTTCACGCAGGCCGACTCGGGCAAGCCGGACGCCAGCCCGCTGTGGGCGGTCGTCTCGGGCCTCCTGCGCGCGCCGACGGCCGAGCAGGCCGCCTGCCAGCAGCCGAAGCCGGTGCTGTTGGACGTCGGCGAGTTGAGCGTGCCCTACTCCTGGAGCCCCAACATCGTCGACATACAGATGCTCCGCGTCGGGCAGCTGGTGATCGTCGTCGCGCCGGGGGAAGCGACGACGATGTCCGGACGGCGGTGGAAGGACGCCGTCAAGGAGGCTGCCAGGACCATTGTGGACGACGAGCCTCTCGTCGTGCTCGGTGGCCCGGCCAACACCTATTCCGTAAGTGGCACCCCACCTCCTCGATCCATCAGAGTGAACAAATCCCGGCTGACGACGATGGCGACGGTAGCACTACATCGCTACACCTGAAGAATACGGTATCCAGCGCTACGAGGGCGCGTCTACCCTCTTCGGGCCCAACACGCTGCCGGCCTACATCAACCTCACCGTCTCCAACATCGGCTACCTCGCGCCCGCCTCGACGTCCACCCCGCCCGACGGGCCCTCGCCACCAGACAACCGCGGCAACTCGCTATCCTTCATAACGGGGGTCGTCCAGGACGGGGCGCCGATCGGAAAGTCCTTTGGCCAGGTGCTCACGCAGCCGGCAGCGTCGTACTCGCGCGGCGCCGTCGTCAACGCGACGTTCCAGGCGGCCAACCCGCGCAACAACCTCCGGCTTGAGGGCACCTACACGGCGGTCGAGCAGCTCGGGGCCGACGGGCAGTGGACGCAGGTGCGCAACGACAACGACTGGTTCCTCGTGTACACGTGGAAGCGGACGAACTGGCTGCTGGGCTACAGCGAGGTCGTGATCAGCTGGGAGACGGGCGCGGACGACGGGGCCGCGCCGGGGACCTACCGGTTCAAGTACTACGGCGACTCGAAGCCGCTGATCGGAAGCATCAGTGCGTTCGAGGGGACGAGCGGGAACTTCACGTTGGTTTAGGGGATGGGGCCAATCGTTGGGTGGTGGGAGTAATGATGATATTCGGTTATGAATGAGCGGGCGGTAATGCCGATGACAGCTAGCGACTTATGGATACCTTAATGCTACGAATTTCTTGTTTGAGTCCCGAAGACGAATAGTACCCATGCCGTGTGTTTCCGCATCTGCTGGCTTTTATATACATTGTTCATCAAACACGCCGTCGCAGTCCGTCATGTGGGAAGGTGTTTCGCCATCTCACGCATGTATTCCTGGTCTCTGAACATGCACGCATTCTAGCATACGAACCACATACCAAAGTTCAGCTTGGTCTCACACAAGACCCTGTCAACAGACAAATATGCCACGCTGCAAAAAGCAAAGGATCCCGCTCGGCACCGCCGTGATCCCCCCCGCCCCCCCAATAAGCTCAGTGGCTCATGGCTCACCAGGCCAGCAGACCCTTCGTCCATCTTTTCGCTTGCTATGGCTCCTTGGCTACAGGGCGCACGTGGACTGGACAAGGTGAATGCCTGTGACCAGGAGCGAGGGCGTTGTGTGGTAGAGAGCGAAGAAGGCGTCCGGATTTTTTTTTTGGGGGGGGGGGGGGGGGGGGCGATATGGGAAGCTATTTCTGGCGAAGTCTGAGGCGGCGAGAGCATGTCCGAACAACACGGGGCCCGGAGCGGGTTCGCCACTCCGCCGTCGTCGGCCGTGTCCGCGCCGACAGCCGCTGTATATAGGCAACCCTGGGCCAGGTGAAAATTCAAGAAATGTTATCAAATCTATGTCACGACACTGGCTCTTCCTTCATATAACACATATGAGTAACGATAGTCGTGAACATGTCTGCCTCACATTCGATAATGAGGAATAAGTGATCAAAGCAAAATTGCACTCCGCCTTTGAAGTCCGCTTTTCCGCTTTTGAAATCAAGGCAATGCTACATCGAAGCTGTTTTACAGTTTTATTTTCTATCTTCCTTTCTCCACCCCCAAAAGATATCATACAGCATATCCTCCCGAGTTCTTCTGTCTCGGCTCACCCGCCGCCTCGAAAGTGCCGTTCGGCAACAGTCTCACGCCCTGTGCCGTGCTCCCGCCGGGCGCAACCCAGGTGACGTTCGTCCCCAGCGTCTGGAGGTAGCTGGTCGTGGCGTTGTCATAGGCCCACTCGAAAGCGGCGGTGTTGGGGCTCAGCTGGTCGTGGAAGCGGGGCTCGGCCAAGGCTTCCGCCGTGGTCAGGTTCCTGTCGAGGACGTTGTGGATGTTCTGGATGGTCGCCGTGGTGATGCGGCTGCCGCCGGCGGAGCCGATGACGAAGTACAGCTTGCCGTCGGGGTGCTCGACGATGACGGGGGAGATGGACGACAGGGGCCTCTTGCCGGGGCGCACGAAGTTGGCGGGGCTCGGGATGTAGCCGAAGGCGTTGCTCGAGCCGGGGATGCTGAAGTCGTTCATCTCGTCGTTCATGATGACGCCCGTCTCGGGGACCATGAGCTGCGAGCCGAAGAGGAGGTTGATGGTGGTGGTCAGGGAGATGGCCATGCCGCTGGCGTCGGCCACGGCGATGTGCGAGGTCCCCGGCGTCTCGAGCGACTCGATGCCGTCGGGGTTGTACCACGAGGTGTTGTGGGTCCGGAAGTCGGAGATCTTGGAGCGGACCTCGGCGCCGACCTCGGGGGACAGCATGTCCTTGGTGTACGACGTCAGGCCGTCGACGAACGACGGGTCGCCCAGCTTCGTGCGCTGGCCGTAGGCGAAGCGCATGGCCTCGTCGAGCCGATGGACGGTCTGGTTTCTCGCGGCGGGCTCGCCGAAGCCCTCGTACCCGCTGACGATGTTCAGGGCGCTCAGGGCGACGACGCCGCCGGACGGCGCGCCGCAGGCGGTGAGCTTGTACCCCCTGTAGGAGATGCGGGCGGGCTCCCTGATGGCGACGGTGTAGTTCTTGAGGTCCTCCAGCGTCATGATGCCGTTGGACCTCTGCAGGGCCGCGATGGTGGCTTTGGCGAGGGAGCCGGTGTAGAAGGCGTCGGCGCCCTCCCTCGCGATGACCTCGAGCGTGTCCGCTAAGCGCTTCCGCGTGATGGTCTCGTTGAGCTTGACGCGGTAACCGTTGGGTGCGAAGTCGACGGCCCACGACGGGTCCTCGGTGAGGAACTTGCCGTTCGGCGTGACGCTGTCCATGTATCGGACCAGGTCCTCCGTGACGCGGAAGCCGTGGCGCGCCACCTTGACCGCCGGCGCCACCACCTTTGCCCAGGGCAGCTTGCCGTACTTCTTGTGCAGGTACTCCAAGCCACGCAGCTCGCCAGGGACACCGCTTTCGAGATGTCAGTTATTGCCGTCCGTAGAGGGTCCCGAGCGTGAACCGGAAGGGTGGGGGGGGGGACTTACCTGGCCATGCCTCCGTACATGCTTGCGCGCGTGTTGTTCCTGTACATGTCCTCGAACGCGGCGGCCGGGGCGGTCTCTCTGAAGTCGATATACTCGTAGGTCCCGTTGCTCGACCGGACGAGCATGAAGCCGCCGCCGCCGATGCCGCTGTGGTACATGCCGACGACACCGACACAGAGGACGGTGCCCACCGTCGCGTCGGCGGCGTTGCCGCCCTTCTTGAGGATGTTGGTGCCAATCCGGCTGCAGATACTGGACTCGGATGCGACGGCGCCCAGCTTCGGGATGGTGCTCTGGCTCGGGGCCGCGAGGGCGGGCTGCGCGATGCCGAACAGCAGCTGCACGAGGGCAGCAGAAGTCAAGGAGAGCTTCATGACGGGCCGGGACGGGGGGGTTAGCTGGCGAGGGCCTGTGCGAGGGAGCTGGGCTACAAGGTCGGGAGCGGGAACGACCTGGCTGGCTTCAAGAATGTCAACAGGCGCGCCCGAGTTATAATGTAAACGAGACCCGGATGGCGCAATCGTCACGGGGCAAAGTTCACCCCGATCTCGTTATGGTTCCGACTCAGGCCGTGGACCTGGTCGGGCTGTGGAATGGTTCATTTCGGCCGCCCGCAGGGCGGTGACGATCATCACCAACGGTCGGTCCGCCTTATCGCGATGGGAACCGAGAAGCAGATGTGCCTTGGGACAACACAGGCACGCACATAGTATGTGTCGTATGCCCAAGGCAGACCAATTGGGACACTGTATCTCGGCTTCCCCGCAGGGCCCAGAAAAATCACATTTCTCATACTACGTAGACTCAACAACCTGAGATAAGCTCACACAGGACCGGGCAAACTGCCTGCGGGCGTTTTTACTGCGTGCCTGAGCCTCGTCGACAAGGACCGGGCCGGTTGTGGCCTTGAAAACTCGGGTTGAACAGTAGCATCTCATGCGCGTGTGGGTGGTTGGGAAACAGTGAAGGCTGATTGGTGATGCACCACCAAGAAATATCGAGGAAAACGCCGAACGGAAACCCACATTGGAAAAGTTCAGCGGGGTTTGATATCAGATCACCTTCCTATTCCGGATAGCTCACGGCGTCCCCGGCCGCCCTCGGAGGCTTGTATCATCGCGTAGCCACGCTCCGCAACGGGCACAACAAACATACCATGGTTGATGGTTACAATATACAGAAACGCAAATCTACCTCGTTGGTGTTCCAGAAGTCGTGCTGTAGAACAAGTCGCTTTGCCAATGTGACAGGAGTCGATGCAGAACCATCATAAACTCATTACTCGTTATCCCAGCAGAACACGTTCTAGGGCACAGCGAGCTTGACTCGGGTGCCATGGAGCATCTGTGCGAGACAGGAACAAGCCTCAATGCTTTCTACTTTGTCCATAGTGGGGTGCCAAAGGCCTGGAAATAATAATCATATATTACAGTGCAACACCAATACCCCCCTTTCCCAGACTTGGCTTTCCTGAATTAAACTTATTTGTCTATGTAAACAAGTCCGACTTTTGCGAGACGCCTTCCTTATGCGTGTTGGTGCGCATCACCCATCTCCTCTCGGAATCAAGTTGAGTCTGTTTGTGACGGCGATGATAAACCCAAAGCTGCAAGCAGAAGTTTAAACAAGTATATGCGATAGCGGTTACTGTGTGAGATGCTCGACTCTGGTTCATGAATATTGTGTTGTGGGTACAACTATAGAAACTTCATTCTACCCCCGACCAAGCGAACCCTCTTCGCATGCAGGACCTTGTCAACCAACAGCTTGGCCAAGTCGTGGACTAGGGTTACCGCAGTTTCAAACCCAATGCCTCAGCGTTAAGATTCAACATCCAAGGCTGGGGATTGCCTGGTGATAGGTTGCGAGAAAGACCAAAAAGAAGAACAGGAAGAAGAAGGAAGATAGTTACCCAATAACATTATGCTTTGAACGCCTCAATCTCGGCGATTGAAAAGAAACCCTCATGTACCTGTCACATGACACTCTTGCTCGCATCATTCTATGCAGACCCAGCAAACCAGAAACCCAACGCTTTCAATGCATTCCCTCCCGTGCGGAATAGCAGACTACTACTAGGTAGCCGAGTATCCCCCGTCAACAAAGATCGTCTGCCCCGTCACCGCGGCACTGGCGCCGCTCGCCAACCACACTGCGACCCCGGCAAAGTCCTCCACCGTGCCGTTCCTTCCGATCATCGTGCGGGCCGCGTGCGCCTCCGCCTTGTCCGTGTCGGCGAGCAGGCCCTCCGTCATCGGCGTCTCCACGAGCCCCGGCGCGATCGCGTTACACAAGACCCCGCTCCGTGACCAGGCCTCGGCCTGCGAGCGCGTGAGCGAGACGAGACCGCCTTTTGCAGCACCGTAGGCGCCGCTGTTGTCGAAGGCGCGAAACGACTGTTGGCTGACAATGTTGATGATGCGGCCGCTTCCGCGCTCCGCCATCCCGGGCCCGAACGCCTGCCCCAGCGCGAACGGCGCCGTCAGGTTGGCCGCGATGGTGTAGTCCCAGTCTCCCTGCGTTATCCGCGACAGAGGTGGCCGGTGAGACACCCCGGCTGCGTTGACAAGGATGTCGGGCACGCCATGGGTCGACTTGATGCGGGCGCTGGCGTGGTGGAGA